TGGTTTCTCTATTAGTGTCATATCCAGGTCGTAAGATCATCATCTCATGACTTACTACACGAAGCATCGTGTCTTGTTGTGGAAAAGGCTGTGTTGGGAGGGCGAGAGGGCACGGCTAGGAGGGGCGAAGCGGGTGATGTTGTCGTTGGCAGACTGCACGCCGTTGCCGGCGGAGAGAGTAGAGGGCATGATGAATCTAGTTGGGGAATTAGTATACGGATTGGATTTCGAAGCAATTATCAGGCAATTGCATTTAAGAAAAAAAAGTGGTTTGGAGGGGTTTGGATATGCGGAAGAGCAATGGATAGAAGAAAAAATATGGTAACTCACTTTATGCGTTAAACAAGCCGCTCGATGCGAAATGAAGAAAGAAAAAGAAAAAGGAAGATAGAGAAGGGGCAGAAGAAGCAGCTGTTGAGAAAAATCCGCGGGGTGAGATACTCGGAGTACTCGCAGATACACCGTACAGCTCGTCCCAGACCGCTGGATCCGCAGAACAGCTCAACACTTGGCAGTCCCCAAAATACTGGGTACTGACGATACTGTATCCACACGTTAAGTTACGTGGGGGGATTTTCAATTTCAATTCAATGTTGATATATTGCATTAAACAATGTATAACATATAGGATATGTATATATTTGAAGTCTATATCTTCAATGTTAACTCTTCATTCTAAAAATACATACTAAATATTAAAAATAATTCAATATCGCCGTAGATATAAGCCTCGGAGGATTGTACGGGGTAATAAATCCCCGAATGTAATCCCGACTCAACAACTAAAAAGCGGTATCGGGGAACCAACAAGTACTTCAAAATAGATAGAATCAGTGGCGCCATTAGAAGTACCCGTAAGTACTCCGTATTTCTGTGGAGTATCCCAACGAAGCAACTTCCCCCCCCCACCTTAGGATGTTCTCTGGTCTGTTCCTCAACAGGTGGGACCTGCCGAGTTGTACGCTGTAATATCCAGCACAACTTTTTTTTTTGGTGTACGCCGTACACTACAGTACATTCCCACCTTTTCCTCCTTCAGCTCAAAAATATCCCCCTCCTTTTTCCCTTCTCTTTCTCTCTCACACATATCTCTTCATTCATCACATCATGTCCGCCAAATCTATCCTCGAGGCCGACGGCAAGGCCATCCTCAACTACCACCTTACTCGCGCCCCAGTGATCAAGCCTACTCCTCTTCCTGCCTCCGCAACACATAACCCTCCTGCTCGCCTCGCCTCCCTTCACTTCCCCGATGACAAGGCCGTCAAGGATGTCCTTGACCAGGCTGAGGTCTCCTTCCCTTGGCTTCTGACCCCAGGTGCTAAGTTCGTCGCCAAACCCGATCAATTGATCAAGCGTCGGGGTAAGAGCGGTCTGCTCGCCTTGAACAAGACCTGGGCTGAGGCTCGGGAGTGGATTGAGGCTCGTGCCACCAAGGATGTCCAGGTTGAGACTGTCACTGGTGTTCTCCGCCAATTCCTGGTTGAGCCCTTCGTGCCTCACCCCCAGGAGACTGAATACTACATCAACATCAACTCCGTCCGTGAGGTAAGCTTTCCCCGCAGCTTGGAGCTCAATTGAAGAATATGGGAAGCTAATGGTTCAATTCTAGGGTGACTGGATCCTCTTCACTCACGAGGGTGGTGTTGACGTCGGTGATGTCGATGCTAAGGCTGAGAAGCTGTTGGTCCCCGTCAACCTCAAGCACTACCCCTCCAACGAGGAGATCGCCGCGACCCTGTTGAGCAAGGTCCCCAAGGGTGTTCACAATGTCCTGGTTGACTTCATCTCTCGCCTGTACGCCGTCTACGTTGACTGCCAGTTCACATACCTTGAGATCAACCCTCTGGTTGTTATCCCCAACGCTGATGCCACCTCCGCTGAGGTTCACTTCTTGGATTTGGCTGCCAAGCTCGACCAGACCGCTGAGTTCGAGTGTGGTACCAAGTGGGCTATTGCTCGCAGCCCCGCTGCCCTGGGCTCCCCTGCCCTCGCCTCGGCTGATGGCAAGGTCAGCATCGACGCTGGCCCGCCGATGGAGTTCCCCGCCCCCTTCGGTCGTGAGCTGAGCAAGGAGGAGAAGTTCATCTCCGACATGGATGCCAAGACCGGTGCCTCACTCAAGTTGACTGTTCTCAACGCCAGCGGCCGTGTGTGGACCCTCGTTGCTGGTGGTGGTGCTTCCGTCGTTTACGCCGACGCCATTGCCTCCGCTGGTTTCGTTAGCGAGCTTGCCAACTACGGTGAGTACTCCGGTGCCCCCACCGAGACCCAGACTTTCAACTACGCCCGCACCGTGCTGGACCTGATGCTGCGTGCCCCCACCCACCCCGAGGGCAAGGTCCTCTTCATCGGAGGTGGTATTGCCAACTTCACCAACGTGGCCAGCACCTTCAAGGGTGTCATTCGCGCCATCCGCGAGGTCGCCACCGTCCTCAACGAGCACAAGGTCCAGATCTGGGTCCGCCGTGCCGGTCCCAACTACCAGGAGGGTCTCAAGAACATCAAGTCCGTCGGTATTGAGCTTGGCCTAGACATGCACGTCTACGGACCCGAGATGCACGTCAGTGGCATCGTCCCCCTTGCCCTCCAGGGCAAGAAGAGCGACGTCAAGGAATTCGGCGCATAAACAGTTTAATCCCTTATTTGATGTTTGTTCTTTGCAGCGTGTGTCCGTTGCATCGGTTTGTGGTATAATGCATGGCATGATATGACTTGTTTTTTGCGGGATTCCGGGGGAGGTCTGCGGATGTAGATGTCACCCCGGCGTCTGTCCTATTTTGCTGAGGGTACGGCGTTACTTCCCGCCCGGGCGAAAAGACCCGGTCCTTCTGGTGCCGACGTACATGATTCTCCGTTGATTAGATTTCATTTTCCTATGTTCACTCCCGGCGGATTTAGATGTGATCTCCCGTCGGATAATATCAATGATACGAGGCATTTATTGTCCCAGAATTGTTTTATTTGTAGACGTAATTATAGATCGGACATATAAATGTCAGCGTATATATCTATCGAGTACAATATGTGCAGTGCGAAAGTGAGCATTTCAAAAAAAACCGCCGAAAAATACCAATGTAATTAATACATATATATACCGTATGTAATTTTGAACAAGCTCATTTCCAGGAACAAAAACAAGCTCCCGCACCAGACTCCACATAAGCTCCTCTGCACCCCGGATTTACAGGGACATCAGCTCCCGAGATCAGATAGCAGAATAAAGTAAGGACCGTGCCGGAGCTGGGGATCAGACCGAGGTGTGGACGCACTTCCGTTGCCCCGAGATTAGGGCAAGATAAGCATCGGACGAGCGGGGGCTAGCTGGTTCCTATATCAAGAGAGGTTTAGTGTCTATGGTGCTTGGTAGGGCTATAAAGTGGTCTACTGGGATACTCTATATGCATTCTTCGGTGTAGGTTGCTCTTGATTGCTCTTTGTTGTATGGGGAGTTCAATTTTGGTAAATGTTGAGTGTCGTCCTCTTCCTCGTGTAGTACAACATACGCATGTAATGCAAGTTAAAGTTATATGCTGTGGTCATAGAAGGGTGCAAGTTTATATGTAGTATAACTATAGAATTATCTCATTTTTGGCTCCGTGATATACCTAGTAGACAGGATTTCTCTACTATGGACATCCTCGCTTTTTAGACGCGTTTTATATTGGTAGGCGATATGTGCCTGGGCCACGTTATAGGGGAAGCTAAGTTCTACGCAGAACTAGCAGAAATATGTAGATTTTACACGTGATATATTGTTAGAAAAAAGAAAATACTCAATGGGGTTGAGAGGATCCAAAATTACTATTATACAATTGAAGGATCGTAGATATATATACTTTAGATGGTTTTCAGTTATGAGTAAATATATATCTTGCTCGGATATATATTACTCCCAGATGCACTACCTGACACTATACACGGAGTAATAACTATAGGATAATCACCTTTCACTTAGTAACGCTATTCGAAATCCCTGATATCATGGTTGTTTTTGGCAAGACAACCAATGAATATTCGCCGAGCAAAAGCAATATATATGCACAGGAATGGATCAATGCAAGGAATATTCCGAATACTTGTTTATGCATGATTCCGCAGCAAGTGATAGGTCAGATTGTCATCTTGAAGAAACGCATCTTCCAAATATATGTTGACTCTGCTACAATAATTGTCAGGCTGCGTTTCATCTATATCGGAAAGTTGAAATTTAATACAATAGATAATAAAGGGATAGATTAGCCGCATATTGACCCCGTCCACTCTATAGGTGAGAAGCGTTCTAAGTGCTCGGTTCAAGGTTCGACCAGGGGCGTAAATGTATAGATCGATTTGGGTTAGCACTATCAGCCACTGACTATACTTTCCCAATATGGTATAGTCTGCAGATGCTTGATATCTCCATGTGGTTTCCTCAACTTTTCTTTTTTTTTTTCGTCAGACAGGATAACATATATACTACGAATAAATAGTAAAGATATTTTACAAATCCGATGGGTTGGGGATTTTGACACTGTGCAAGCGCCTCCAATCAGATTATAAGCAGACCGACCTCGGTAAGATATACCCGCCCCGGGGGCCAAATCAGGGTTCTGCATAGTTCTATACCACGGACCATTTCAGGCCTGCATTTACGAAGTAGTCAATTTTAACTGAGACATATTGATATCACTCTCTAAGATACTTTCTGATCTGATTACAAATGTTGCAATCGCGTATATACTCCGTACGGAGTGGAGTATAGGGGAGCTGAAAAAGAGCTTAGACTTTTTTTCTCTTAATTTACGTCCCGTCCTACTTATCATCTTTACATCTAATTCCCTACTCCTTACCATTCCAATGAAACCACAACTCTTCACTTTATTTTATCCCAAACAGCCATGGAGTATCAATCAAACGGGCGGTTATTCGCTCTCGCCACTCTCCAATGTCTCATCCCCACCATTATCCTGACCACAACACCTAAACACTCCGCTCTACGTTATCTATCTATACCATGTATGATATACATCGTACTCAGTATGATGTACCCAGTCCAGAAACCGGGATACCCACCGACCAATCTCATCGGAAGCTCTGCAACCTTCGTCTTAACAGCCCTGGACCTGCTACTCATCCACCCTCAAGCCGGGCGCGACTTCGTCGACGCCAATGGAAATACAAAAGGCTTTCCATCCCGTCTAGTCCAGGCTGTTCAATTAATCACATTCTCACGGGCGATCAATACACCTCGACAGGTGAAAAATGTCCCGTCCTTCCCTGAATACTACAAGAGAGATAAAGTGATCCCTCGAGCTCGTTTCTTGGTTAGAGAAACTGCTATCGCTATCTGGCAGTTTCTGGCTCTAGATACACTTGCCGTCTTGGCCTTGAGCCAAGCTATGAATGACCAAGAATCGTCAATTTCTTCCTCCCAATCGGATACCGGGCGAAAATGGATAGAACAGTTTATCCAGACTTTCGTTGCTTGGTTCGTTGTGTCTAGAATCTTGATCAGCTTTTACTACCGCATCGCGTCAATCATCTCCGTGAGTCTGGGTGATTCTCCCTCGAACAGCCCGCCGATAATTGGGAGAATGGCGAATGTGTATACATTACGGAATTTCTGGGGGTGAGTTGTTCTCATGTTTGTTTTGAGTATATCTAATTTGTTGTAGGAAATTCTGGCATCAAATGCTACGACTGCCCCTCACGTCTACTAGCAACTTTCTCGCGCGTGATGTCCTCCGTCTGCCTAGACCATCGTTTGTGGAACGATATGTCAACGTTTTCATCGTTTTCTTTTTATCCGGATTGATTCATGTAGTCATCGATAGTCTGCGGAACGTTTCGCTAGAGGAACTTGGGACTATGGCCTTTTTCCTATCTTTCGTTGTCGGCTATATGATTGAAGACGGTGTCATCGCTCTCTGGAAGAGAACCCGTGGTTCCCAGAATGATAGCTTGCCGGCGTTGTGGCAACGGGCCCTTGGATTTTGCTGGGTCATCACATGGCTCGGTGTTACATCTCCTTGGTTTTTCAGGTCAGCCATGACCAAGCCCGAAGAACAGATGGTTTTGATTCCTTTCAGTCTTGCTGGGCTCATTGACCTCCCTGTATTGCAGAGTATAGTTATTGGCGGTGGCATTGTGTTGAAGTTTGTGTTCGAGGGAGAGATTTGAGATGAGATGACGGGGAAATGTTGAATTTGTTGACATTCATCCAACTAGATCCTTTCAAGTGTTGAACATAGAGACCATGATGATACTCCAGTATATCAAACTGCTTATACAATACCAGAAACAGCCCATAGCACGCTGTTCAATATATCGAGTGACGTCGTTCAATTTGTGAGGCCAGGACCTGTGGAGTGCAGTCCAATTTCAACTCGTAACTCGATGTCGATCCACCTGTATTCCCACGTTATCCACCAGCCGTCGTAGGATAAACGGCGGTATTAACACGCCCAGCTTCTCCATCCTTCACAACCAGTATATCCGCCTCGGCAATTATGCGAAAATCGCATAGTTAGTCAATGGATGCTGGACATTGCATATAGAGCTTAGCCCCTTTTTTCTCGCCGATAATACGAGGGATCTCGTTGGCCGGGGTAATGGTGAGGAATCTAAGAGACAAAAATCGGCGTTTCGGCCATTTTCCCTGCGGGAGGTTGAAGGGTCGGGGGAGTTGAAGTTGATAATGTCTAGTAAGATTCCCCCGCAGCGGGCGCATGTGCGGCCTGTGCGGTGGTCATCCCTCTTATAAATTGAGACGGCGCGGATGTCTCATATAATGAGTGAGGAATAAGGAGTGTTTCAACGAGATTTACCTGTTATGTATTCTTGCAATCTTTGCCGTACTGCGGTTGTTGTTCCCGTGTAGGCCGGAGATTATTTCCTCAGAGTCAGTTAGTAACCACTACCCTAAGTACATGTTTGTAGGAACTTACAGGCAGGATACCACTTCTTCTATAAATGTTATCGCAGTTCTGACTGATTACATAGGTTCTTCAAAATACCTCGGTTCTGTAATTTTACAAGGGCCATATGAGACGGGGTGGGGATAGCTTGTAGCATTTTGGCGACCATAGTCTGCCTTTTGCCTTGGGATCTATACGAATTGTTATTTGAGTATACGATAGTTTGAAGTGGGAGTTTGTTTATTGTGCAAGTAATATGCAGGAAGAAATGAAGACTTGCACTTGGTGACCGTGACTGTATCATACCAAGTATCAAAAGCTTCAACATACATCGTCCTGGTGGGAAGCCTGGTAGAAATGACCGCTCCATATTCATACAGCTACCCCAATCAATAAATACCAATCAACGCCCAAAGCGCTGCGTAATAGCATCACCAGGAGGAAATTCAGAGGAGACAGTCGGTGTCCGAGAAACGCGTGGAAGTCGAGTACGATGTTGCAGAGTGGGATCTGGCCCTCTGCCTAATCAGAAACACATTAGCCGATTGCCTTGGAGACTGTTGTTTAATACATACTATTTCGCCCATCCCAGTTTGGCCGAGCAGGAGGCGGCATTGGGGCTTCGCGAGATGTCTTTGTCTTTGCCCTCTTAGAGCTCCCAGTGCCGCTTCGTTGGTGCCGATGAAGCTGCTCGACCCCATCCTGGTTCACTGGGAAAGTGGGTGTCTTCGGATTCCGTGTAATTGTGGTAGAAGGTAGCGTTGAGGTATCAGGACGAGAAACAGAGATAGGAGGAGGGGCATTGAGCGATGAGAGGGCCTGTGAAACTGTGTCAGAGGCTGCGGTCTCCATTCGGGACTTCATGGCGCGAGCTTTGAGGAGGTTGTAGAGATTGGTCATTTGAGCAAGTTTGTTGTTCTTGTCGCGGTACATATCATTCAATTCCTGGTTTTTCTTTTGGAGGTCTTCTTGAGTTGAGTGCATGTCTGCGGTACAGATGTCAGTCGGACCTGTGAGTAAGGATAGACTTAAGTGAACGGACCGGACAGCTTGTTCTGCAGTGACAGGATCTCTGTGTTGGCATTATGGATGACCTTGTCCATCTGCGTGTTCAGGTTCGCATACTTCTCCGTAAGACTCTTTGCTCGGTATTCCTGGTAGAATCTGCTTGAGTCAGCTTTGGACAACCCTATGATGTCGTTTGATGCCGAGCAAGTGAGACAGACATCTCCTGTGTGCTTTGGTATGCCCAAAATGCAAGTGCACGACCAGCACATTCCATGATTGTGTGCGGATCTAGCCCACTTAACACGCTTGTTTTGTAGTCCTCCGTCGGATTCAGGATTGTCGAGACAGCGTCATCTGGATTAAGAAGGACAGTCTGACACGCGGGACAGTGCCGATTGCTGGTGGTTGGACGAGAGAGCCCGAGGCTCTCGGCGCATGCATGGCAGAAGATGTGCCTGGAACCATCAGCCTCCTGAGCCGGACCACAATGGAGCAACTTACGAGCAGGTTGTCACCACTGCTTTCTCTTTCAATTCTACTCGACACTTGAGAGAATTGCATCTTAGAGAAAAGTCCATGGTACCGCTGGAGATGGGATGTAGTTAGGGAAAGTAAGAAGTAAAAGTCACGGGTTAGCCTTACGAGCCCTGATGTTTAGTCAACCTCGAAAGGAAATCTTGTAATGAAAAGACTTGGACAGAAAATATTTCGTATTTGTCTATTATGGTCATTATGTTCATATTTTCATTTAGAAAAAGAATGTATTCCCCTGCGCATCGCGCCGCGTGGAAGTCATCTTCTCTTCAAACTCTTTCCCGGGCTCATATTCATGCCACAGACTGGCCGGGTAAATGTGCTTGTTTTTCTCATACCACCGTCGATCTACGACCTTGGTTTCTGAGAAATCCTTGTCCGCACCCTCTAGCTGATCGTCACTAGGTCGGGACAGCGGATCATTTGAATCGACAACGGGCGGTTTGTTGGAATAATCAAACAACAAACCACCGGCTCGAGAAAGACTGGGTACTCGATTGGCGATGAAGTAGTAGAATTCATAGTGCTGTGTGGATATTAGATGAGATCTTCGGCTGACGAAAATCACGGTGGACTTACATGTGGAACAATAATATCGCCCTTGACGAGCATCAAGTCGTCGACACTGACTCGTGCCCACTCGCGGCGATTATCTTTCTTCGCCTTGGAGGCACCACTGGCACCACGTACACCCATCTCAGCACCAACCTTCCGGCATCGATCCAGGAACAACCAGACATGATCACCCTTCTTGACTTTGACGGCTCCAGCTGGTATACTCGTTCCATCATAGAAGACAAAGGGAATGAGAATATCGGTATTCTTCACAGCCTCCTGCATGATCAAAAACTCTTTTCGGAGAGTGTCGCGAGCCTGTGCTTCAGCTTCCAATGCTGCCTTTGTCAAAGCTTTGGGTGGAGGAGGTGCGTTCGGGTTTGCTTTCATACGTCGCGCAGCGCCATCCTCGGCGGGTGTTTTCGAACCTGCCCGTGATGCGCTGGAGTCGCCTGGAGTTGCCGGGGATTCCTCCCCTGTTTCGTCTTGATCGTCGCCAAATGACAGCTTGCTTTTCGCAAGAGTCTTCTTTTTCTTCTTTTTTGCGGGACCGTCACTCCGGGGAGGTGTAGATCTGTTGCGCTGCGATCAGCTCAAATGAACGGAAATGGAAGTTGAGGCTCTTAGCTTACCCGTCAGTTACATCGCCTGTAGAGGGAGTTGCACTTCTTGAATTACCAGATGCCAGTATCCCCAGTGACTTGTCATGCGCCTCACGCTCCTTTTGCTCTAGAACTTCTGCGCGCCGCTTGCGAAAATCGGAGAGATGAACAAGACCGACAGTTTGTTCTTTCAGCATCTCCTCCGCGGAGACGCTTTGGCCGGCGAAGGACCGCGGAGTGGATGTCTTGCTATCCTCTTCCGCCATTGTTTGTTTGTGAGATATTAAGCTTAGATTGGATTATTGAGATGAGAGAATCGAGACAGTGACGTCTTGTGATCGGCACGTGACCTTGAATTTCTACTATGTAGCCTTCTAAGTGTATTTTACAAGATTAGCAGGGTATCAAAAGTGTTTATTTTCAGAATTGAAGCATATCTTTGCAATTGTCTAGCTGTATAGCTAATTTATTGTGTCAATTTCAACCGTCTCTTTCGTAAGTTTCAACTGAAATTATCCAGAGACGCACCGCTGCAAACAAGACAAACCCGGTTCCCATGCGCGCAACCTTTGACCTCGATTCTCTTTGATACAACTTTCTGCAGCACTTACCCGTTGAATTGAAATCCAGAAATCATGGACGAAGAAGAAGACGACTTCTATGATCCCGTTGACGCGGTGCCGACAACGCAATCGCCGAACCATGCACAAAATGCAGCTCCCGGCCAAGCGCAGGACAGCAATTACATGGAAGACGAGGAGGAGGTAGAAGAGGAAGAAGAGGACGATGTATGCACCATTCTCGCATCTCCCAGCGACTCTTTTTTTACTAACTTCATCTGCAGGATGACTTCAATATTATCACAGAAGCACCCGAAGGCGCACCAGCTCCCGAGGCGTAAGTTAGCTGCCATCGCGCTCCCTGTACTCTTGTTGATCTTTCTAGCTCCCACCCACGCCATGCAAGCTTACGACAAGAACCACAACGGCCGTCCTCCGCAGACTCGTCCGGGCTAGCAAGGTCTGCGACGCCATCTGCAACTCCTCGATACGAAACCACGACTCCGGTTCCTGGACACCCAGCTGCAGCTGCAAGACCCCCTTCAGAAAAGCCAGGCTCCGCCTATCCAGCCATTCACAGCTCTACCATCGACGTCAATGCAAACCCAGTTCACCCCACGACGGGGAAGCCGATCATGTCCACAGACATGGACGCCGACTTCCCATCCGACGACAAGCCCTGGCGCCGACCTGGGTCAGATCTCTCTGACTACTTCAACTATGGATTCGATGAGTTCACATGGGCAGGATACTGTCTCAAGCAGCAAGGCCTGAGACAGGAAGTCGGTAGCCAGAAGAAGCAGATGGATGATATGCAGGCCTTTATGGGTATGGGAATGCCCCCGATGCCTGGTGCACCGGGCCCCGCTCCCCCAGCTAGTGCTGCGCCGCCCATGCCCGGCATGCCCGGCATGCCAGATATGAACCCGGATATGATGCAGGGCATGTTGGCCAGCATGATGTCTCAGGGCTTGGACCCGTCTAATATGGATCCTATGGCTTTCATGCAGCACGCTCAGTCGATGATGCCCCCTGGCGGGCAGCAAAGTCAACCCGGCTTCGGGGGTCAGCCCCAGGGTCAAGGATTCGGTCAAGGAGGTCAAGGCCAAATGGGCTACGGCGGATATGATCAACGTGGAGGTTACGGGGGCCGAGGACGTGGCCGAAGATGGTAGTTTGATATAGAATTCGTACTACGATGGTAGCTTCAGGTTCACCCTTGGAATAATGGGATTTCATGGCGTTATATGCATACAAAGGGAATGACAATGACAATGGACAATCTACAAGTTCAAACTTCTGTGCATAAGTAAAGCTGTAGGTCGGGGAAGGAGTGTACAATGTAGTTATAAATAGCTATACCAATGGATGCCACTAAATAAAAGCAGTGAACAGCAATGAACACCTAAAGATAAAACATTATATCCACATTATATCCAGTTTGAAGTAACTTATTCTTGAAGAGTAGATGGTCAAAGAAATGGCAGTTCGGAAGAAGCTCATGGTTCGGTCTTGGCATTCTGGAAATTTCTCCAGTCCAGATCTTCTTCCCCCGGACCAGTTCCATCTTCTTCCTTTCTCCATCCCATCTTCAACTTTACGATCTCCTCAGGAATCACCTTCACCTTCGCAATGGTACGTGGTATATCCCGATTGATTCCACAATCCGATATTCCCTATTTCCCCGGCTCCCGGAGAGCTACTAGCACCTCAATGCCCAACTTTTTCTTCCCTCAAGCCGAAAGCCCGGATACCCGAAAACCCGCGCAACGCGCGCGATTCTCAATTCAATTCGACTACCTCATTGAAGAACACAATCACTAACTCAACCCCTTTTCTAGTCTGTCCTCCGCAACATCAAGTCCCTCGCCCCCCTCCTGGACCGCGTCCTGGTCCAGCGCATCAAGCCCGAGGCCAAGACTGCCTCCGGTATCTTCCTCCCTGAGGCTGCCGTCAAGGAGCAGAACGAGGCCCAGGTCCTCGCTGTTGGCCCCGGTCTCCTTGACCGCGACGGCAAGCGTATCCCCATGGGTGTCAGCGCCGGTGACAAGGTCCTCATTCCTCAGGTATGTCCACCAATTACCCTCGCATTTCCGTTAAATGCGAATACAATGCACAATATATGCTAATGCGTTCTCTAGTTCGGTGGTAACGCCATCAAGGTCGGCGAGGAGGAGTACACCCTCTTCCGTGATCACGAGTATGTTTCCTCATCCCTTCGGTCGAGAACTACAACTGACAACCCAACTAGTATCCTGGCCAAGATCAAGGAGTAAATTAGTCTCCAAGACAATATTTTTATACGATTTTGTTTCGCCGCTATCCAACCTCCCTCTGTCATGTCGACATCAACCCCCCGTTTCGCTGTAAAATCGCGACGGGAGTATTGGAAGACCCCTGACGTGTATCATACCGACGCGACGTCACGAGCTTGACCTTTCTCAACGATCTCAAGGACATTGACCAAGAAAAAAAAGAACAAAAACATAAAAATAATACCGAATTGGGATGTTGTCACTGGGTGATATTTGACATTTGATTTAGGTATCATACCAGTTGTGGCTCCTATTTTGGCCTGTCTTTCTATTTTGCATGAGTTTTTGAAGCGCTGGATTGGCCTTGGGTCTTGCATGTCTTTGTCCACTGTACTTTTAAATTAAACTGCTTACCTTCATCTCGTTATACTAGGGTACTCGGTAATTGCAGACTTGATAATCTCCTCTCTACTAATTGGCATATTTTTCAAATTATAGGGTCTTGTCTTTCTAGATATCTTGGAAGTCAAGCTTGTTTAGTAAAGGTAAGATTTTGAGAATCTGATTATCAATACTGGTTTTCAGGGTTGGAGCACCTAAGAATGATACCTTTCTGCCCATCTTGATGAAAGCCCCATATCCCCAGACAACTAATGGAGACTAATCTGCGTACTATAAATATCCTCACTGTCAGTCTCGTGCTCATTCGGGTTCAAGTACGCCATTGATTCGATATTCTTCGACACCCGGTTCATCACCCCGTCGCCTACAAAAGACCCGTATTCCATATCTCGCTCCAACGGTGTCATACTTATAAATACATCAAAAGCCCTTGAATCTGTGCTCGAGTTGGCAACTGTCTCATGGGAGGGCAGCGGGAGCGGATATAGGTTGAAACCAGGAAATTGGTTGAAACCACCAACGCGGATGTTATCTAGAATGAGACGCGCGGCGAACGGATTGATCCCCAGGTCGCGGAAAGTGACTTCATATTCCGACTCTCCTTCAGTGATGTTTTTCATCACATCAGTGGGAAACAATTCATATCGAAGCCTTCCCATACCGAAACACCACAATACAATGGATGCGGAGTGATCTGGGATCGGTACTAGTAATGTTGTGGACAATTCCTGGTAGCTGTCACAAAATTGAGCAAGCGACCTGATTTCCCTTATCCAGGAGAACATCGCAGCTCTGCTGTTATTTTCGCTTCCAGGATCGCAGATGAGAACAACCAGAAGCGCATAGCGATGCATGAGGCGGAAAATCCTTTCCCTGAGCGGGGAGTTAATTCCCCGTGTTCCATTGAACTTTTTATCCCTTGGCCCATGCCCTGGAAGAAACCGCTGGGTCAACTCATGAGGGGTCGTCAAAATAAGCCCGGTATCAGGTGCCAAAATGACTTCAGCATCACAGTGGTATCGGGGATCCGAGGAAGCGTTCCCATACTCCCTGTAGATCAACTTGGGTGGATTGCCTGGCCACCCCTCCATATCTCGTATAACCGACAGGTGAGTTCTCAGGAGGGCTGTAGACAAGAAGAACATCGGTGGCGGGTCGAATGCCGCTCGGGTCACCATTTCCTGCAGTGAGATGGCAGGGCCGGGTAAGCCGAAAGAATCCGATGAATCCTTATCATAGTCTGGGGGATTGTCACCCGGCGAAGGGACATCTGAGAACTCGTCTCGTCCACTTCCTGTGGATTCTGACAGGGAAAGGGATTGATCGTGCGGCGACGGAACGTATCCTCCATCACTGCCTCTGGTTTGCATAAACACGGACAAAGACCCGAGGCCACTAAACACTGCCTTGGATGAGTCCGTGGACTTTTTGTGATCTATGGAAGAAACGTCATGTGGAGGCCTGAAAGGGACCTTCCTCAATCGCGTGCAAGGTGACTTGTAGCCCAGTTTTATGCGAAACTGCTCCTCTTGAGTGGTGCAAGAGTGTCTCTTGTCTGCGGATGATAAGGTATGGTTCGCCATAATATCGAGGTTTTTCTCGTACGAAGTTTTGAAGAGAACATGGTTATCCTTTGCATTTTGCGAAGCTCGTGCTAGCTGAATGACATCCTGACCGTTTGCTGGCCGAGTTATCGAGGAGCTCGAACAGGCGCCATTTGACACAGTAAGCGTATCTTCATTAATTGTACTCAGAGAAGCGGTCACAATTCCCTTCTGTTCACAAGACGTGCCTGTATCTGCCACAGGCTCCATGAAAGCCTTCCTTTCTTTCCTCTTTTTCAAATATCCTCGTAATTGCGCATTCTGGCCGCCGCCCCAGCGGACGGAGAACCCTTTTGCTTTGGTTAGATCTGGAGAAACAATAGAGAACGAGCGTTGCGATTTGGATGGACTGACGTCGGACAATAGTGGGGACGCGCTGTTACCAAGATCAAATGCACTGAATTCACTCTCAGTGAGGTACTTGTAATGATCAGTACTCTTCACGTCAATACTATTATGTGTGGGGGATTCACCTCAGTGCTCACTGCACTTGCAGCCTCATCGTCACCCTCCTGGTCTGGAGTAGGGGGAATATGGTCAGACTCAGTGGTGACAAACTGATGCACGATCCCCTCAGCATCCACGAGTGGCAAGGCATCTCCTGCAAGATGGGATATCGGACCCATATTGGATGACTCGGCAGCCATATTGTTAGGGATGAGGAAATCTTCAATGCTGTTCGAATTGTAGAGATCAAAGACATCGCGCGTGTTGATAGGGACAGAAGGAACATCGGGGCCACTAGGGACCTCCAGACGCACCGAAGGAACAGGTGAGGATAGAGTGGGACTCATCGCGAAATCGGTAGGTAACTCGAACGGAGTAAAAAGTCTCTCAGCCTGATTAGTGAGGAGAGGAGGCTCGCCTTGGAGCTCAGATGGTGTCACTTCCGGAAGGATACCACGCCAGATATTTCCTTTAGGGGTTGGGACCTGGAGAGAACTACCCAGGAACTCGAGATCCTCAGGCTCAGTTTCGAGCTTCTCCATCATGAGTTCGGTGCAGAAGCGTCGGTCGACTTCTCTGAGACGTTCTTCCGGGTTTTCCGGATTGAGACCCTCGAAAGGGGGAGTGGGAACAGTTGGCTCACACGTGTCGTCTGCATACATGATTGGATCATAACGATCTGGATTCTCTGCAATTCCGTAGAATCTGGCGTATTCACGAAGAGATGGTTGGTTGGAAGCCATCTTGTGGCAAGGGAGAGGGAGAAAGTGGTAAGAAGAGAGTTATTACGTTACGAGAAGAGATGAGATGGGAGGGGACCTTAGTCGCGTGTGGGACGTGAATTGGGAAGGTACGCAGAATTGGGAAGGTACGAGGGACCGTGAACACAGTCCCAATTAGGCAGGCACGAGAGATAAGAGAGGGAACACACCTAAGTCCAGGAGAGATGCTTGGAGACATCTAATTATAAAAAGGAATGATAATATCTCGCTGATTTTGATATGTTGATATGTCGCTAATTACAAGAGTAAACTCCATGAACCTCTGGCCAACCTAGTCATTATAATTCGACTGGCGAGACCCATCCTTGTTGACTGCCGGCAGTTCATACAAAGCGTTGAGTTCATCTTCCTGAGATTTTCCAGACTGTTCATGCACAGGCTTCTCTGCATGGACCGCGACACGCACAGCATGGCGGCGATGCGGCGTAAAACCATAAGAAGCACTGTGGTTGGTAGATCTGTTATCCCAGAGTGCAACATCGTTCTCGTTCCACGAGAAGCGAGCATGCATCTCCTGGGTCGTAGCAATCACATCAGTGAGAAACCGGATGATAGCGTCACTTTCTGCGGTTGGGATACCGACGATCTTCTTCACGAAGCCAGGGTTGAAGAAGAGTCCGTTCCAGCCAGTGACTGGGTTTGTCCGGATGAGAGGGTGTTCGGTAGTAACAGGGTCCCGACGCACTGGCCGGCCTAGTGCCCGGGAGTCGTTGGCTTGCATGTCAGCTGAGTGGAGGGCTGTGAGCCCTTTCAGGTAGTTTTGCATATGTGAGGAGAGGATGTCGTAGGCGGCGTATTGCGAGGACCAAAGGGTGTCGCCACCACCTCCTCGTGGTGGGCCGGATAGAAGCTTGAGTGATGTGTAGGATGGTGGTTGGATTTCATAGGTTACATCTGAGTGCCATAAGAAGCTGGGTGTGAAGAGGGCACGATTGTCGCCGGAGTTGTCGCCAGTATAAACGACATGGACGTCCTCGAGACCTGGCTTTCGAGGAACGGATGTGGTGGCGTGCTATATATCGTTAGTATATATTACAAAAGTAGCTCAAATCAGATGTCCTACCTTGTGCAGCTTGCCCCAATATTGGCCCAATTGGCGTTGAGCCTCGATATCGAAGTTCTTCTGGGAGCGGAAGAAGACGACGCCTCGGTATGCAATCAATCTGGCAAGATCATCCCGCTGTGCATCGTCGAGCTTTGAGAGATCAACACCATGGACTTCAGTTCCAATCTTAGGGTTGAGATCAAAGACAGCTGTGGCATCCCTCAGAAGGTTGCGAAATTTGGGGTCTCCTCGCAATCCCTTGTCCTGGTAGGGAGTGTACTCAAGAGGAGGCCAATGGATGTCCGGGAATGAGGGTAAAAGATCTTCGTGTGCATAGTTGTCATGTCGAGTGACTGGTGTCCGGCCGGGCTGATAGCCAAATTTGTTGTCGCCAGCAAGGTCCTTCGCAAAGACAGGAACGGTGAATTTGGCAACAGTTGGGGCCTCAGTCACCACGGATTCTTCTAATGATGGCGCCATCTCCAATCCAATTGCTGATGTATGTAAAGAAAATACAGATGCAAATGTGCAAGGGCGATAGTGGGGCGAGGTTATTGATATTAAAGTATAGAAGTAAGTTTGGATAGAGAGGAAAAAGACGGTTTATATAAAAGCTAAGGACAGTTAAGCATGAAATTAGGCCAAAGTGAGTCAACCCCGGATAACGCCATTCTGGATTACGGATCTCGCATGCCCCGGAGTTCACGGAGATGGCGCAATCTCCCAGATGAATCACCTCAGGCGAAAACAATGGAGAGATGGGAACGAGATAATTGGTTGATAGACATGGAGAATGAGACCCGCTTCCTCTCTCCAGGATATTCAGGGTGATCACGCAATTTTGCTGACGTTGAAGGCGAGATTTGCCATCTTCATCGAATGAACATGGAAACCGGGTCGATGTAACTCTCACCGCTGTTTCAGGTGAGATGTCTCCTAATCAAGGTATTTAAACGCGTGTTTGCTAGGGATAGAAGTGTGTGCAGAAGAGTGGAGGTTGATATTAGGAATGGCGCTAAGGAGACGATCACGCAAATGTGGCGGACTTTTGCGAGCCTCACCGGTCCGATGCAACATAGCACTACCATCTCCTCCGCATATACCTGGTACATGTAGGTAGGATGCTATAAAAATATAGACTTGAATACATTTGATTGGCTTAAATAATTAGAGGTCTGGAAAAAGTAAAGCCTAGAATTACTTTTTATATAGTCCTACGGCCTATATAGATGGCCCTTACGTCTACAACGGTCAGACTAATGAGAATTCGGAGTTAACAGATAAACTGGATGTCATGTTTCGTATGCTGAAGATCAGCTCCCATAATAATACAGACCAAACTCGCTAAAATCTTCCTATCCCTGATGAAGCCGACCATCGCCAAGGGACTGCTGCCCAATTGACAAATCTTGTACTTGTTCCGATACATTGCTCAAACGAGTGGCAACACCAATAATGCCATCCTCAACATCTGAGAGAACACCAGAAAGGTCGCTGATGGTGGACCGGGGGGTCCCCACAGGTCCCTCCCGAGACTTGGAGGTCACAAAGTCGCTGATTTGACGGTTGAGTGTAGCCTCCACACCGTGAAGATGGTCCTCGATCTCCTTGAGGTTGCCAGTATATCTTGTAAGTACTTCCTTCATCTCCTTCGAGCGATGAGAGAAGTAATCGACCAGGTTGACGGGGACTCCATTGACGTCAGTTGATGCGTCACCCTCAACGCCGTCGGGAAGAGCAAGTGTGTTTTTGCGACTTGAGCGCATAGATCGCTCGGGAATCTGTTGATCCTGCACAGACCACCAGCCACCGCCAGAGGACTGGTATTGGAGAGGGAGCTTCAACGTATCAATGGCTCGGAAAGCGACTTGAGCCTCAGCCCCATCCCGTGTAACGAGGCTGCGCAGCCCATCAATGCCACTGGCATCATTCTCAAGTGCGTGTTGGATGGTTTCCAGTTTGCCTTGTACAAATTCAACATCGTTAGGAATTGTGGCACCCTGCTGCTCGATGGTCGGGAGCAGGTCTCCGACCTCATGGCACATCTTCATCTGGTTCAGGATGTGCTTGTCAATAGCCTCAATTTGACTACGGATCTCATCCGCACAGCTCTCAAATTTGGTGGTTGGTAGGAGATTGCTGACGTCAACTTTCACGCCTGGAATCACTGTGCTGGTGGCGGTGCTTTGTTGGAGTGGTTGTGTAGTCTGTGCGGGTGCAGGCTGGCCGAAGAGAGAGAGGGTAGGCTTTTGAGGTTGTTGTTGTTGGGTTGTGCTCTGGCCGCCACCACTGTAGATTATTAGAATATAAGCCATGAGACGAGACAAGCAAAGTATCCATGGATGGTCACTTACAACAAGCCTCCCGTAGTTCCTCCTGTAGTTCCTCCCGTTGTTCCTCCACCAAGTCCACTGCCGAGTCCACCGAGTCCAGCAAAGGCTGGCTTTGCTTGAGTTTGAGCTGTAGATGTACCGCCGCCGAAAAGAGTGCTGCCACCCAAGCCACCGCCCGTTGTTCCTTGAGTCGTACTGGTGCCAGCGCCAGCAGTTGCCCCACCGAACAGACTGCTCGTGCCAGAAGGCTGTGTGGTTGTAGTGGTATTTGCGCCTCCGAAAAGGTTGCTGCCGGCCGTACCGCTCTGCTGTTGACCTCCAAACATGTTGGATCCGGTCGTTTGTGTCTGTGGTGTAGTTCCTGTGGCTGGGGCTCCGAACAATCCTCCCGCTGGTTTAGGTGTAGTTGAGCTCGCGGCGTTCCCGAAGAGACTGCTGGTATTAGTTGCGCTGGGAGTAGCTGTGGATGTGGCCATGTTGCCGCCGCTGTTGATGGGAGGTTGCGGTTAGCTTTTTTTTTTTCCTGCGAGCTCAACTGGATCGTAGGCTGCGAGCCACAAATCACGAGATTTTGGGAGAGAAATCGAAGCGAATCAGAGAAAGGGGCGATAAGTCTGATAGGTGTAATGAGAGACAAAAGATGAGAGGGAGCACTAACAACAAAGAATTGGTGGAGTTTGTGTTGAGAGAAAGTCCACCTGCAGCAGGCGCTGCTGCCTTGGGAGCAAACATACTTGGTTATATGACAATAGGCTTCAAATTCAATGAAAATGGAACCTGTCAATGGGCCCCTTCAATAGGAACAAAGCTGCGCAAATGCGATTTGCGGAATGCGCGAAGCTGCTCGGTATTTTATTTATCCGTTCCGACATTTCCCCTGCCCTTTAAGGCCTCTCTACTCATTTTTATATGGCTTTTGTTTGATATTTGGAAATTACATAGTAGACTTTGTATCTGAACCTCATTGAGATGCGTTTTGCCATCACTGTGACCGCCGAAATATTTGTGTAGCTCGCGGACTTTTGACCGAATCAATGTCCTACTCGACCTATTCATTCTCATTTTGAATCTGGTTTTACTGAGAACTTTGAAATCCAATGAACTGTTGATTAGACGGCATTTGACATTCCCACCGAAGAAGCCAGTGGTATTTGTCGTCATGGCTGATGAGAATGTCAAAGAGTGGACGCCAGTATGCGTGGCATCAACAAGAAAACATAATGGGTGAGAGTTATCACCAATCAATTCATCGCGACTCTCTCCAAGTTCATTGCCAACGGTTAAAGCCAATCTGCGGCAACCTCTAGTGATAAATCCACTGATCAGGATAAAGATCTCGGCTATTTCAAGAGTGCAGAATGGTAAGTCTAGAGCACTGCGACCTATGATCGATATTTACTGACCTTATGATGTACAGGACCCCAGATGGAACGACGCTGATTACTGATTCAGAAGATCATTCTATCAGAACATGGATCTTGTAAGATCGCCTCGTTCGTGCTATGGATCCTTTCACTCACACAGTCAGGCCACCGGATCTACTAGAGGACAAGCCCATCCACCACATATCCCCATACTCAACTCTACCCTCAGCAGAACCGACCTATTCTACCGCAATATATCCCTTCTACAACCTTCAGGATCCATCAACTACTCTGTTTCTCTCATCTGTCCGTGATCATCCAATTCGACTATCATCAGCCCTTGCTCCTGCATCAGTGGCTAGCTACTCCCTGGTGAATCCAATGACAGAAGCATACATAACACCACACTCGATGATTTATCCATCCTCACTAGGAGGGACCCAGTTCCTCACAGGTTCAGACAGCCTCATTTGTCTCTTCGACGTGTCCCGAACAGGATCACAAGGCCCAATATCTTCAATGCCAACCATCCCCAGCAAGCGCAAGCAGATTGTCGGTGGCGGCGTCGGCATGAAGGGCATTGTTTCAGCCCTGGCTCTGAACCCTAGCGGGGACGGTATTCTTGCTGCAGGCACTTTCACCAGACATATTGGACTGTACAGCTCAAATGGCTCGGGTGAGTCCCTTGGGACTTTCAGCGTCGCGAAGACCAACGCAAATCGCGAAATTGGGGGTCGCGGAGTTACACAGCTTGTCTGGAGCCCTTGTGGCAGGTACCTGTATGTCGCTGAGCGCAAGAGTGATGGCATTTTGGTTTATGATGTTCGGGTTACGGGGCAACTGCTTGGGCACTTGCGCGGGCGCAAGGCTCTGACGAATCAACGCATGAAAATTGATGTTGTTGCATCTGGTCCTGATGGCGCCCATGAGATTTGGGCTGGCGGTACCGATGGGTTTATGAGGGTTTGGAGAAGTCCAGAGCACTGTGCAGGTGGGAAGGACCCCGATTGGGAGTACAAGGTGCATGATGGTAAGTCTCTTGATAATGACCAAGATGCTCAGTGCTAATATATGACAGATGCCGTGACGAGTACAATATTCCACCCAATGGGAAGTGTTGCTGCAACCTGCTCTGGGCAGCGACATTTTGTTTCAGATGATTCTTCTGACGAAGACATTCCAGCGAAGAACACCAAGCAAGCGGATAACAGCCTCAAGGTCTGGTCAATGCCATTTCTGATGTCAGAAACCGAGGAAATCCGTGACTCAGAGCCAACAGCCTGAAGGGGAAAATGAAACATATCTCATTATCAGCTCCATGGGTACAGAAATGAGATGATGGACCAACTGGGCCAATTATCCAATAAATGGCCAAATGCCACCTGCTGGAATCGAATGTCTTGGAGGGAAATGGGTTCCATTTCGCATAAAGCATCGAATCAATGTTTACAGAGAAGCATTGTAGATACTCAAGAACAAAGGCCGTTAAATCACAGCATGGACGTAAATTATTTTCTAGCTAAATGCTCTACCCGTCTCGTGTAATGTGTATTGACATCTAAAACTATTTCAAATACTATGTACTGCCTTAGAACCCATATCAGTGTCTCAAGGAATCCGAATGCCATATTTGGCATATGGGAAGTCTTCCAGGGTGGAATAGAGCTGACCAAACCCATCACCGATCTTGCCAGGGGTTCCGGATCCTTGCAGACGCCAAGCCTGGAGCTCCTCTGCCTCTTTCTCAGCATCGGACTTCTCTTCTTCCTTATGCGAACCGGTGGCTCCAGCGAGAACCTCTTCCTCACGGCCCTTGAAGGCTTCTAGGAGACCCGGGTGAGGACACCAGGCAACCTGCATACCGGCACGACGACCAGCTTCGACTCCCGGAACCGCATCCTCAAATACGAGGCACTCCTCCGGCTTGATCTCTGTCTTCCCCTTGTTGCGCAGCTCAATGTTGATAGTCTCCAATGCAAGCAAGTAGATATCAGGAAGAGGCTTGCCTCGACCCTTGCCGATGCGCGGATCATCACCAAGAACCTTGTTAGGTTCAGGGAATGCCGAGAAAAGCTCTGTCAAATGATCGGTCTTTAATTTGTAGTTGCCTCTGTGCGATGATGTTGCTAGCGCGATGTACACGGGCTCGTCGGTTGACTGCGTCGACACAAGGTTGGACAACAGAGTCGGCACACCGGGGAGCGGCTGTGATTTGGGGAAATAGTGTTGCTGGAGAGCTGATCGCTCCTCATTCAGCTGCTCCTCGGTGATAGGGAGCTGGGCAAAGTCATTGAAGATTTTGCCAGCCTAAATATAGTGTAAGTATGTGGGTATATAACGATATATAGTGGGAGACGAACCTCAGGCTGGGGCCGACCCTGCAGTTGCGCCTTAATTGACCAGGGAAGCAGGGGTCTGCCGTACTTCTGGAGGATTTCGTTGGTGATTATGGAGTACAAATCCTCTGAGTCAATCAACAAGCCGTCCATGTCGAAGAGACATGCTCGGATGCGGGGAAGGCTGTCAACCGAGTCAATTGATTTTGAACTGCGACTACGATACGAACCACATTGTACTCACTCATTAGTGGAAGCCATTGCTGTATGATCCGTTTACCGGTGTTAAGAGTGGGATGTTGACAAGCCATTTTGATAAGACGCGGGGAAAAACGTTATCAGTCCCGTGATTGAACCCTTGGCAACATCTGATGTTCTCCGACGACGATCTATTCACAAAATGAGCAGTTCATCTAATGCACCCGAACGCGACGGGAAAGGTGTCTCCGTTCATGGCGATGATAGTGGCGACGAAGATGTCTTCCACGATGCCCACTTTCCCCCCGAGGAAGAAGCCGTGAGTCGGTGTTCAAGCTCATAATCGAGCCGCGTGTTGACTTCAATCTTCCTTCCCACAGCAACTCCTGAAGGAAGCCCACGAAATCAAATCCGAGGCAAATCAGCTGTTTCTCGCGAAAAGCTATGACCAAGCCATCTCTTGTTACGACCGAGCTCTCGCTTCCTGTCCGATCTACCTTGACTACGATGTCGCCATCATTCACAGTAATATCGCTGCTTGCCATCTGAAGTTGGAAGATTGGAAGGCTGCAGTTGAATCCGCAACCATATCCATCGAACGCCTGAATAAAATCATTCCGCCGACAACACAGGACAAAGGCGACGAGTCGAAGGGGAAACAAATCCCAGAATCGGACAACAAACACACAGATGCAGTGGTTGAACTATCTGGTGACGACGAAGAAGCCGAGTTGAAGGAACTACAACGATTACAAGAGGAGGATGAGCAGCGGAGCAAAGTGATGCGGCTTCGAGCCAAAGTACTCATGAGACGCGCAAAGGCGAAGACCCAAATTGGTGGCTGGGGTAGTCTGCAAGGTGCCGCAGAGGACTATCAAGCTCTTGCTGCAATTGAAACCCTTCCGGCAGATGATAAACGGGTTGTCCAGCGGGCATTGCGGGAACTACCTGAGCGCATCAATAAGGCGCGTGAGAAGGAGATGGGTGATATGATGGGCAAACTGAAGGATGTGAGTACTCTTTCCCTGATAGTATCCATGTCAAAATGATAAAGCAATACTGATATCAGGCAGCTTGGCAATGGGATCCTGAGCCCATTTGGTCTGTCCACAGACAACTTCAAGTTTGTCCAGGATCCAAAGACAGGGGGCTACAACATGAACTTCCAATCCTGATCAGATTTGGCCAGACAGACATGATCGCGTCATCTATTCTTTGTACTCCAGCAACATCGGGGTCATGAAATGGATTTCTTTCTCAGCATATGCATACCTGGCAGGAAGCCACAAAGGCGTTCTGACTTTTGTATTTTCTTTGTTTTATTCCAACAAATGCATATTTTGACAGTTAAACAACTCCAATCCCCACTAAAAGATTTACCAGTCCAGAAGGGCCCGCATGTAAGGATCAGCTGGGATTGTATACTTTCATTGTAAAATGACGGCACTTTTCCCTATTTGATTGTATGCATGTTTTTCAGAGTCATGAAACATGTCTCGCAAGATCTTTGTAAATATCAATCATAGGAGTGTGGTTATCTTTGACCTAGCCAAGACTAAAATATACCTGGTAAAGCCGCTGCATGACACGGCGAAACCCTCAACCCATTTGATCTTAAAAGCCCAGCTTTCGCACCAAAATATTATTCCAAATACTACAACCTTGTACATCTCCAACCATGAGTCTCAAAGTCTTTACCACTGAGTCGATTGGGGCGCAGAGAAACCACATTGCGATCTACATCGAAACCGATCCCAGCGAAGACAGGGGCTGGCTGCACCATGTTACCGGAACAATCCTGAACGGGATGGATTACACACCCAGGGAAACACCCAACCCGGAGATACTGCCAGAACATGTGCCGGACTCCAAGAAGCAAATCGCGATCATTGACGAAGAAGATCTCGAGCGATTCCGGGAGGAGTGCTGCCTAGCAGTTCTTCCCCCGCGAGCCCAGGTGACGCTCAAAGGAACCCGACTGTATCCTGATATCCCGCTCTACCGCTGTACAGAGTGGTTGAAGGATGTTGAGCAAATGGCTTTCAGGAAGGGGATTTTCAAGCCTCTGTGATGGGTTCGTTATTTCTTTGTTTTCTTGGCCTTTTGGGACGTACAATGATACTGACACAGAATGCAGTACGTTTCCTTTTATGCACCCACCTGACATGAGGTCTACAATTAGGATTCCTCTGTTATCCTCTAGAAAGAGTTGAAATAAATTATTCTTGTATGCAGTTTTAGTCTTCTGGGACTGTTCTTCGGAATTTTCTATAGCGCAACACAATAGTGTGTAACTGAATGATTATTCTGCGAGGTTGATTGAGTTTCCTGTTACCAACCTCGCCGCTTTAAGAAACTTGCTGGGGACATCAACTAGGCCATTCTATTTCTTTGATATGAGGGCCCAAATGAGTGGCGCGAAGATCATGGCCCCGGGAAAATGGCTGTAGTCGAGCACGAACGTCGAGGTTTCGTTCCACAGACAAAAGAAGTTTCCAGGATTTTGCGGGTCTCATTAGGTTCGCTAATATTGAAGCGGATAGGGCTTGAATTTCCAGAAGAACCTTAATATCGAACCAAGAAGACGCAACTCCTCCGGTTGTTTGATGAGCCTGGGCCATAAAGTTAGGAACTTTCGTCGAATGATAATGCACTCTCAATTATCAGTCCTGGAGATCATCGCCCGAAATCCCCGCCTTTTGGTTAAGTCACGATGTGCAAAACAAGGACTCAACTATGCCTCCGACTCCAAGTGTAAATCGTAAATGCACTAAGCGTTATCGCCAACGTCGTTGTATAGCAGAAGCTGTGCTGACGGTATGACGTCGTGACCCGCTGCACCATTGATAGCAAGTTCCTATACGGCCACAATATCTTATCCGGCTCGTTTTCAACTCCGGCAGTTTCCAGCTCTTGACACAGATCGAGAGTATTATCGAATGCGCCCTCAGTCCAACATTTATCAATTATCGAACCAAGCCAGACATTTTGCGTACTAGGAAGATCCTCCCTTCGAGGCCATGTACCTCGACTTACTTCTGGGGGGATGTCTTTAAAGATATCGAACTCGCATTTCTCCCCAACAATGACCTCGTACATCACAGACCCCAGCTGCCCAATGTCTGTCCGTATAGAATTGCCCCCAAAGTCAGCTTTTTCCATACTAGTATCGAGAGGTAGTTTTATCGACTCCGTAAAGTCACAGAATTTGATCGATAAACCAGAGTCGAGAAGGAAGTTGCGGCTGGCAATATCTGCCACAATAATTCGTCGTTCGTGGATATATGCAAGCGTGCGAGCCATTACCCGAAACCAAGAAAGTTGGAGATATTTCGACACCTTGTTCTGTTTCAGATAGGAACGTAGATCCCCGTTCTCCATCAGGAGAAGTGTAGTAGCTGTCTCAGAGCAACTTAGGAAAGGAACGACACCGTCACACTTTCCCAGGCGCTTGTATATAGATTGTTCGTGTTGAAGGGATTCAATATTCGCTTCGACTTCCTCGTCGCTACTTGTGCTCCACTTGAGAGGTAGCTTGATGGCAAGTTGCTCTTGACGGACTACCAACCCAGTTCTTCCAATGCCGAGAATCTGCTCCTGAGAGAAAGAACCGACGGCATCGACATTGCGGGAAGACGACATTGGATTACCCGCTGTGAAGGACAGTAGGAATAGTGGAGGCAAACAAGAATGGATTCGAGAACCAGTTTGACTCCTCAGGGGAGTATTATTTCACATAGGTAGGCAAGGGCTGGCAGATAATAAGTTTAAATACGCCATCACGTGATTTACGGGGCGGAGTGGATATGTGGCGGATCCAATGGAATGCTTGAGAAGTCTCGTGGTCTGATTGGTGCCCAAATTTACTTCGGTAGGAGAAGTTGACTAATATAGAACAATGGCCCCGGGGCCATTCCTACCCGTGGACGCCTTCCAGCTACTCCGTACCGACTGCAGCTATACCGTCACTTTTTGAGACAACAGCTCATTGGGGCCCATCGGCCACGCTTGCCTAGCCCCACATCTAAGCCCCGATTTTAATGGAGTGCTGTGAACTGGGCAGACCACCTGGGCTTCCGCTGGATTCGTCGTCATCCTTCTTCGGAGGCGGGTTTATTTTGCCTCGATGATTAGGGCAGTCTCCTCGCTTTCTAGAACTCCCTTGAGAAGTTGGAGTAAGGACTTCGCACTGCGAATCTCTCGTATACGCGTCTTTGCACCATTCAACGTAATCTCTTTCAGGGTCGAATTTGGTGCAGCCTCCTTTTGATTTTCCAGAGCAGAGAGGGTAGCTAACGGGGGTCTTGTGTCTCTGATAGCACATATTATCGACCTAGAAGTACTATTAGCATTTTCAGCTTTTGTTAGGAGGGACGTTAGGTCTCTTACTAGAATCGTGAAGGCTAGTTTCCTCTTGTGTTTGTATTTCCTGCGCGACTTAGGTCCGATACTTTGTGAGTCCAAGTTCTACAACGAAATATATACGACAAGAGGGTCAGTGCGGCCAAACAAAAAAGTTAGTATCATGCGCGAGCAAGATAGGCAGGCTTACTCGCTTAGAGACGCATTATATTAGACGAGTCCAAGGGCCAATGTGTGAAATGTCTGCGTCACGACGCTCGGATTTGTTGGACAGAGATAGGGTCGTAGGACTTGATCTCTGCGCATCTGCACACGACGCGGGGTAACTGCAGCACACATAAATGACATCTATTGGGTGCCTTGAATCGGGTGGACTTCTGAAAAGTCTCAACTGATGACTATGCTGCCTAAAATATAGCAATTAGGCGATCAAGATCACATAGTTAGATTTAGAAGCTAAGGAAATATATGTTCCTATACTACTTCTAGATTTACTGGTCTATAACAGATATTTCTTATGCCTCTCCTTTTCCTTTCGGCCTTACTTGTATTGAAGGGCCCCTAATCGCTATACAAAGGCTCCTACCACATATTTCATGGCACCTGGATCCTGGAGACCGAACATTCCCACAGCTAGCAGGGCCAGAGCTAGCGCGGTTAACGTATCAAGCCATATACGGGCGGGATACTTGTCCGAGTGATCTAGTCGTGCGGGATGAATACTTAGGCTGGACGCCAAAGAAGCGTCCGGATAAGTAAGTCCATATCAATGCACCCCAGTGGAAATAATTAGCGCTGGTATCCCCATATCTAATCATTTCCTATACGAATAGCCTGATTGACTACTATGGTGTAACATTTGACCACCTTGTCCCAACTACTGATATCAACCCTGAGGTGTCACAGATTAACATTATTGAGATTGAGGATGATAACAGTGTTTACGTGAATACATGGCTTTCTTTCGCAGTAGATCCGGCTGAGTTCATTGGGAAGAAGGTACTAGCAGTGCCGAGATGTTGCCAAAAGAGAAAAGGGTCGCAGGATTGCTGGCGAGTGAATGCACTTGTGGACTAGAGGGTTAATGAATGGGAACACTTGAAGGGGCCTAAAGAATTCAAAAAAAAAATGTGTACAAATGAAGGGTAAAAGCCATATCAGAACCACTTGTCAACGTACAGTTCTGAAGCCAACTAGCTTTCTATGTTAGGGCCTTTCTGTCTATTTAAATGGCATAATGCTCCTTGTGTATTTAGAAGCTTGCTGTCCTCGAGCTTTCATGATTGTAATCTATACCCGGCCATGAAATTGCCGATGCAGTCACCGAGGAAGCGGGGGTAAACGGTACTAGCTGCATGTACTCCTTCGAGGGCGATATTCAAGCCTCTTCGCGTCTAGAAATCCATCCATCCCGTCACCCGTATTCGGTCCAACCGCTTGTTAGAGCACCGGGGTATTGGTAGACCATTGATCCGGTTAGAAATGAACCATAAGACATCACCTAGCGCAATTTAATCAATACTTAATTATTTCAAAGCTTTCATCCCCTGATAAGCCCCATTGTAGCCCTCAACCTTCTCACTCATCTGGTGGAACACAAACTGCGCCAGACGCGCAGCGGGATACAGCCGCAATCCCGTGGGGTTGACGACCTGCATCAATGCCCCCACAGCCCCCTCATATCCACTGTCCATAACGCCGGCATGTATCGTGACCCCTGACCTAAATAATGAGCTGCGAACGAATACCTCGCCCATCACATCCAGAGGAACGGAGACGGTCTCGTTGAATTCTACAAGGTAAGAACCCTGTGCAAGATCCAAATATGGCTTTGTATTTTCCTTTGATGAGGGAAATGGTATCTCTTCAGTCGAGGCCGGCTGCCGAAGTGTGTTATCCAAGTCGATTATTCCGGGCGAGGTCCATTTGAGAACACGCTTCAGCGTGAGGTCTACACCGCAGGGTTGGGCCTGCAATGTGGGATATTTGACATTGCGGATAATGGAGCGAGTGATGAGAGAGCGGCCAGGGAGGATCATGGTCAACAGACGTCGGAGTCTGCTTCTGATCTCAGTGTGGTCTCCTGTATTTCTTGCTTCGATGCATGGAACATGGAAAGGGGTTAGGCAAACAGAACAAACAAACCAAGCAAACAGTTTGCCAATGCCCATACTTCACCGCTTACTTTCATATCATCTCCTGTCCTGGAGGACTACAACGAAATATCAATTGAACCGAGGAAGCCAAAGGGCCGAGCCTTGGAAACTTGGAAACTTGGAAACTCCATTAATCTCATCCAATCAAAACACAGCGCGGGGACAAAATGCGGGGGCCCACATTTCGGCCCAACACATATGGAGCCCTCAATGCCGAGTCCGACTCCCGAAGCTATGTGTATTTGGACTACATTGTACTATATAACATTTGATATCTTTGCTGTAATACCTTTGGAACAGTTCAATTGATATTATACCTAAAATGCCAACAATCTACCGTTCTCCATATCCAGATATCGATATCAAATCAGTTGATTTGGTCTCCTATCTGTTCTCAAATCCTCTCAACACACCCTTGGATCGCCCTTTGTACATCGACGCCATCTCAGGAGAGCAATATACGTTCGGTGATGTCATTCAACGAACATGCTCTCTGTCCAACGGGCTTCGGCAAAGTATAGGTGTTAAGCCGAACGATGTCGTGGCCTTGTTAAGTCCCAACACAATCGATTACCCCGTGGTATGCCATGCAATTATTGGTTCCAGAGCTATCGTTGCTCCGACCAGTGCAGCGTTGACAGCAATCGAGCTTAACGCTCAGCTCAAGACCAGCGGGGCCAGATTCATCATTGTCCATTCATCTTTACTCGAGACTGCCCAAAAAGCAGCAAAGGGGACTTCCGTCGAGAAAATTGTCTTGATCGATGGCCAAACCCAAAATGGTCAACCCACATGCAATCATCTAGCCAGCACATTTGCCCCTGGCGATTTCCTCGCTATAGATCCGGCCGAGGCAGATCGTCAACCCACATTCATCTGCTTTTCATCTGGAACATCAGGCGCAGCCAAAGGCGTAATCACAACACACCAGAACATCACCTCAAATCTCCAGCAATGGCGTCACAACCTAGAGTCTGGTCTCCCCTCCCAGCGTCCAGCAAGAAAATCCGCCATTGCCTTCCTGCCATTCAGCCATATCTACGGTCTCAACCTGTTCATCTGCCAATGTCTAGCTTGGGGCACGACAGTAGTAATCATGCCCAAGTTCGATCTCGAGCTGTACCTCAATTGCATCCAGAAATACCGACCAGACGAACTGGCTTTGGTGCCGCCCATTGCTCTGATGCTGGTCAAAGACCCACGGGTCTCAAAGTACGATCTAAGTAGTGTGCGCAAGATCATGTCTGCTGCTGCACCTCTTACAATCGAATTAGCGTCTGCCCTCGAAGCAAAGCTCTCGGCCATTGCCAAGACACAGGTATTCTGTACCCAGTCATGGGGTCTGACAGAGACATCCCCAATGGCGACTACCATCCCCAATGACCGCATGGATAAGCGAAATACAGGGGTGGGTTGTCTTGTACCCAATATGCAGCTCCGCTTTGTAGATCCCGAGTCTATGAAAGATGCAGCTGTCAAGTCTGACGGGTCTACGGAGCCTGCGGAGATCTGGTGTCGTGGTCCGAACGTTGTGAGCGGGTATTACAACAATGACAAAGCGACGAAAGAGTCATACCACGTGGATGAGGATGGAATGAGGTGGTTCCGCACCGGCGATATTGGAACCATCGATCGAGATGGTTATGTCGCTATCCTAGATCGTATCAAGGAAATGATCAAGTATAAGGGGCTGCAGGTTATTCCTAGCGAGTTGGAGGGAAAGTTGGTTGACCACCCTGATGTGGAGGATGCAGCTGTGACTGGAATCTGGGTGGAAGAGAAGGCCACTGAGCTGCCGGTTGCCTTTGTGGTTTTGAGTCGCCAAGCTAAGGATAGGGATCAGAAGGCTGTTGTGGATGGGATCCATGCGTGGCTGAATGAGCGCGTTTCCAACCACAAGCGTCTGCGTGGTGGCATTCAGGTCTTGTCGCAAATTCCCAAATCGCCGAGTGGGAAGATTCTGCGTAGACAGCTAAGGGATTTGTTGAAGAGTCAAGTGCCTAAAGCTCGTCTGTGATTTTAAACATTATATGGACTACAAGCGCAATTTATGGAAGAGAATATAAAGGTTTGGGTGAAGGCAGCTAACAGTTTTCCGGTAAACATACAAAGCATAGGCATCAAGCGACGAGAGAGTCATTGGCTCATCCTCCATCGAAACATCCTTCAATTCTTTGAGGCGTAAGGCGATTGCGACACAGCCTTCCTCATGATGAACGCCAACATACTTGAGATATGGGAATAGCTTCCGCCGGGCCTCGTTTCCATGATAAATTTTGCAACCTGTTATCATCCAGTTAGCTAGCTAGTTCTATATCGAGATTTCGGAATTTATCAATATACCTCGCCCCTTTGGTTGATTCAGAGGAAACGAAACTGCTCGCCATTCGTGCTCAGACCGTATGCTGTGGCGTTTCGAGAAGGCAGGGTCCTTCTCTCTTGATGCACACAGGCTAGATATAGCATGGTTAGTAAATGACGTTTCGAATTTGAGTAGACAAGAATAGTCGGCCGCATAAGCGGCCTTGTGATGTCTTTTCGGCATTTTTTTCCGTGGTCTTCTCAGATGTCATTCTGTTTAGATAGGTCCACGGCAAAGGAAGAGGCGCGAAAAGCGTTAACCTGTGCAAACGACTTTTCTATGTATAACTTTTGATAAAAACTTACCCATATAGCCCAAGCTCTCGTCATCGCATTTGCTAACGAGGTCAGGCTTCTTTGCTTCGACGAGTACCAAGCTGATAGCCTTGTCAGGGCCACTTGCGTCCCCGTCCCACAAGGTATAGTCACAGGTCCCCTTGGCTTGGTATAACTTTCCATTAAGGCGGAAGGGACGAGAAGTCAGGTACGTCTCCATCTAGAGATTCAATGGCCATTGGCCATCTTCTGGTGACGGGACAACTATATCTAGGAGAGAGAATAGGATATTGTTGATTATGCAATGGGCAGCTGCTTTGTTTTGGGTTGAGTAACGCCAGTATTTGTTGGTGATCTCGATCATCCATTCTATTAGCTATTAGTTCCAGCCCAATAAAAGCATTAAGTCGCTTAGAGAGGGAATGACTTACGGGCCGCATCAGAAAGCTCTACCGTTGGAAGCGGGGATGGTGGCTATGGGTGAAGTTTAAGGGATTTATCGCTTTGCCATTGCAGTCCAAAGCCAGTGAGGATGTCATCCCTATCCGCCTCACCAATGGGAAGTGTCTCCATGGACCCAGCCTTCCGAACCATCTCAAGCTCGTTTGAATCCCTAAAAAACTGGAGATAGAGCTCCCAGAGGCTTTCGTTGGAAGTGGATTCAATGCAGTCGGTAACATACTTCGCTTTGACCTTTTTAAGGATCTTGGCCATGTGGGCCTGTTGTCGGCAACCACCTTCGGACCCGACTTCTTTGGAATTCGTCATGTTGATGGATGGTGATGTGATTGTATCAGGTTGGGTAGAGACTGTAAGGTGGATCTTGAAGCTGAGGATGGTTAAGGAAAGGTGGTAGAGAGGAGAAATCGAGGTTCAGTTTGAAATACCAATTTTGGAAGCCGCCGACAGTTAGGTAAATCTATGATCCATGGATTGTCACTTGCTTTGTCACTTGCTTTTAAAGAGTTGCTACTAGGTAGTCCTAATTAGGAAATAGGTTGCTTAACGTTATCTCTGCTATTTAATCAAAAGATCTACCACTAGTCTAGAACGTATGAAACCCTATAGTTTCTATTATCCTTGCTCTCCTCGGAAACTTCAATATCCTTGCTCTCCTCGGAAACTTCAAGTTCTTCAGGGCAGGGGGGGGGGGGGGGGGGGGGGGGGTAAAAAGCTTACAGTCTCAGGTACTTGGGGTGGTGTGGTCCTGTTGTGGTGTCTATTTGTGTGGGGGTGATTGGGGGGTGGTTTTGGGTGGGGTGGTCATAGATCATAGGAAACTTCATGACAGGATCTGTGATATTCAAAAGCTTTTCCTTGTCGCCACAAGGTTGGAATTCTGCCTAAGGATAACGAAAACTCGATCCTTTTTCAACCTCTTTGACTAGGCAATGCATTGTTGTAGAACACGCAGAATATTGTCCTCTTCTGGGTTACATTATCATGATATACTTGTGCATTGTGAAACATCCTCACATCATGGATATCTGTGAGTCGTAGCTCAGAGGCACCCGCAAGCCTAAGGTATCCCGCGAGTACCGTCTCTAACTGGTACCGCATCCAATGATTGGGCCTCCCCTTGAGGTTCTTTAACTCGACTAGAACGAATTTATCAAGTCTTTCGGCCGGCGTGCTCCGCGAGACTTGGCTATCTAGGCTGTCGAAATTATGACTGGACTGTCTCGATATTGGGAGTCCTAGCCTTGTATTGAATATAGTCAGTATACGAATGCTTGAAGCGAGGCTGGATAACTCGATTGACCTTTGATGGATAGATGAAGTGGAGTACTGTGAGATGCAGAGTGGCTGCTTTGAGCTAGGGAAAGCTAAGAGTGGTAGGAAGGAAGGTTGTAATAGGAAAGTTACTTCAATTTATAAGAATAGTGCTCTGTATAAGCGGCGTGTGATATCTTTTTAGTCGTCTTTTCAGAGGTCTTTTTGGTAGTCTTTTTAGTAGTCTCAAATTGTCCTTTTAGTAGTTTTGTATATTATTATAGTTATCTTTTCAGTAGTCTTTTCAGCAGTATTTCTAGTAGTCTTCTCAGTATTCTTCTTATATACCATTCTCCATAGCAGTTACAAAGTATCTACCCACTACCCATTTTCCTACCAAAACTCACTAACTTTGAACCCTATTCTCTCACTAAATTTATATGATAATAGTTTTTTTTATATTATTTTAATAAGAGATCTTTATCAGATCAGTATAATATCTCTTTCCGAATAGTCCAATATATATGGCTGTTGAGTGGCAAGTAATTGACATCCAAATATCAAGATAAATTGTCATTTTATAGTGGCTACCATACTAAACTGGTGCTGAATCTCTACCATGACTTTGAAAATTGGCCACACTACTAGGAAAAATACTTACGGATATAATTTTATAATATATTACATTGAGCTTCCAATTATAAATAAGATGACTAAATGAATAAAATAGGCTACAATATGAATTCATCGAGAGAATAGGATTCAAACTCGGTCAGTTTTGGTGGGAAAATGGGCAGTGGGTAGATACTTGGTAGCAGGGTCCGTATATTAGGCTGTCTCGCGAGTTTCGTTAATGTTTTTCGAAGTTTGGCGAAGTCTTTTTTGACGTCTCATGCCTTTTGGAAGAGGTGTGGAAAGGGGACACGTTCTTGATTTTGCTAGCAAAGGACAATATTCCCACCCCGAGTCCTCTATTCTCGCGTCTGAGTTGTAGAATGTCGGGGATTTAATAAATAGCACGTTCATGCGCTTCGGTAAGTTTAGATGGTGCCGACAGATCTCTCTTCCTGGGCCTCCCAGCGAAGCGTACCAGACCTTCTTGGGAGGTGATAAGATCTACGTGGTAGACGAGATCATTAAAAGTGTACAATGTATTGAATTGTATGAAGAAGTCCGTAGTTGTAAAGATTACAAAGTGAGGAAAGAGTAGTTATCTACATATGGGGCTGACATGTGATCTAACATGTGATGCAGGGAGAAGAACAACATACTGACGGTCGCGCGCAATAGATTGTGATTGATGCTTTTCAAAACTGCGTCGCCAGACTGACCAAGCACCCTTTTGGTCAGTTTAGTAAATCCCTAGTTTTATAGTCCAAAAAAACTAACACATTGCCTATATATCTTATACTACACGTGTATAAAACCAAATCAAACTGGTTATTTCGGCATATTTTTTGAATATTTTACCCCTTACATATAATGTACCTAGGTAGTCAGTGAAATATCTGAATTGCTAAAGTACGACTCGGGCGATTTATATCGGAGCCCGCGGGTTCCGATCGGAGACAACTGACTTCCCCTTTCGAGTCTCATTTTCATTTCTTATCAGATGGAGATGACGGTCATCTCAATGCGTCTTACAAATTGCATATACTTTCTATCAATCTTGAGCTTCACTTCCGAAATCGCGAGAGCTACTCCCTTTCCCCCAGGTTGATCTGTTCAACCTACGCTTGCAATTTCGACTCTCACTCACAGTGACTCACCCTCACTTGCCATGGGATTATGGAAGCCTTTCTCAGATGAGAAGCAAACAAAACGACCCAGGTTCGTCGAATTAAGGGCGTCAAAATGGTTCATAATGTTCGTCGTCTCCTTTGCTACCGGAACGGACATCTTCATGTACGGTCTTATCGTACCGGTCACGCCAACCGCGTTGACAGACAGAGCGGGCATCCCAGAGAAAGATGTTCAGAGCTGGACATCGATTCTTCTCGCTCTGTACTCCGCTGCTTTGTTGGCCTTTGCACCTGTTGTCGGGTACATCGCTGATCGAGCCGAATCTCGCCGATGGCCTTTACTGGTTGGTCTCGTTGCGCTGGCCGCTGCGACATCCCTGCTGTGTGTCGGCACTCATATCGCGTTGTGGATTGTGGGTCGCTTGTTTCAAGGGGCTGCCGCTGCGGTGGTATGGACGGCCGGCTTGGCGCTGATGGTAGACACTCTCGGAAAAGACGACCTCGGTCAAGCCATTGGCTATGTCACCATGGCTATCAGTCTTGGAACATTAGCTGGACCTCTTCTTGGTGGTGTTCTCTATGAGAATGGTGGATATTATGCCGTCTTTGGTCTTGCCTTTGCTTTTGTCGCCATCGATGTCGTCTTGCGATTGGTGTTAATCGAGAGAAGACATGCTACCCAATGGCTAACGCCGGAGACGGCTTCGCCCTCTGTAAATGGAGATCAATCCACGGAAAAGAAGTCCGGGGAAACATTAGGACGTCCCCTGTCACCGACTAATGCCTCTGAACCCCTTGAATCCCAACCGCCTTCTTCCCGCTCACCGGGTGCGTTCAGGCGCGTGGCCATTTTATTGAGCTCGCCCCGTCTAGTCGTATCGGTCTGGGCATACTTCATCCTGTCGCTCGTTCTGACCTCATTTGACAGTGTCCTTCCGCTATTCGTGCATGAGACATTCGGGTGGCAGCAGAGTGGCCAGGGTCTGGTCTTTCTCCCGCTTATGGTGCCACATATCATAGATCCCCTGACGGGGTTAATTATCGACAAGTACCCCAAATCCTGTCGCTACATTGCCACGGGGGCATTCCTCGCTGCCGTTCCTGTGATGACCCTTCTACGGTTCGTCACCCATAACTCGATGCAGCAGAAGATTCTCCTATGTGCGCTCCTCGCTTGTGTTGGGCTGCTTATTGCCATGGCTATGCCAATTCTTGTTATAGAGGTCTTCTTCGCCGTGAAGGAGAAGGAAGATGAAACTCCTGATATCTTCGGTCGCGGTGGTGCTATGGCTCTAGCTTTTGGGCTGTCGAATATGGGGTTCGCGACTGGAAGTCTGATTGGGCCATTTTTTGCAGGATTCATTCGCCAGGAGGCTGGTTGGGGGACGATGGGATGGGCATTAGGGTTGGTAACTGGCATATCATCTGTCCCACTCCTATTGTTCGTGGGTGGCTGGATCTTGACAAAACCGGAGAAGTCAGATAATGAAGTCCCAGGCGCACTTGGGCCTTGAGTTGGCAAACCAAACAAAACTAACTTGCATAAATACTCCATACTTTAGTTATGTCTCAATACAGCCTCGGTTGTCAGGCATATCAACCTCGCTGGTTGTGGAACAACACTACAACACTACACCATTTCACATCCCGAATATCATACGATATTTACCTCCAAAAGGAATTAAAAAATAAAAAATAATTTCTAATTTCTAAAAAAGAAGTCTCCCCACAAGTGTTCCCCGCAGCCCCACGAAGATGGTGCTAATCTGGGCTCGGGACTTGTTCGAACGAACATTAGCCGTGATAGCTCGGCCAAAGCCGTCCAGCCTAATCTACTTTTTTTTGTTACCTCCCCATTTCTATACTCCTGATTGTTTAATATGGCGACTCCTGAAATCAAACACTTACCCCTGAATGCCACATTCAAGGGCATCCAACGCGATCCAAATGTACCGGTTCATCAATTCCTAGGTATAAAATATGCCAGTATACCGGCACGGTTCGAGAAAGCCGAGCCTGTGCGCCAGTTCAATGGAGCTGTTGTCGACGCCTCAAAATACGGGTAAGCTATATTCAAACCTACAAACACAGGCCACGCTTGAGGTATAATTGAATTAAAACACTGACATCCAATACAGTCCGATTTGTCCTCAACCAGATGTGGACGTCCGCCATCTTCTCCGTATTCCAGAAGACTTCGCCATTGCCCCCGAAGTACAGAATGAATTCGAATGCCTGAATCTAGAGATTACCTGTCCTCCCAAGTCAGACACAGACCCTTTCCCTGTTCTGATCTGGATCCATGGCGGCTCTCAGATCGTCACATTCTGCTCTGCAGCATCTAAGATCTGTGACCCGACTAAGATTGTTGCCGATTCTATCAAGGCAGGCAAGCCTATCATCTTTGTGTCCATTAATTACCGCCTAAATATCTTCAGTTTTGGAGATGGGAAGGAAAAGAACCTGGCGCTGAAAGATCAGCGTCTCGGTATTGAGTGGGTGCGACAAAATATCGCTGGCTTCGGTGGTGATCCTGTAAGTTTTATATTCACGGTTTTTTTTTGCAAATGCTCATTACCTCTAGCAAAATATTACCCTGTCGGGTGAAAGTGCCGGTGCTATCTATACCCATGCTCATCTCATCACTGGACCTCCTGTGAAAAGGGCCGTCATGGCATCTGGATCTCTTTATCTGTCCTCGCCATTGCCAGTTGAAAGGGGAGATGGCCTTATTAAAGTATTAGAGGCGAAAGTCCGAGAGCTTGGTCAAACTTCACTGCGTGAATCATCTGTTCCTGCACTGGTTCAATCATTGAAAGAGTGCAATGTGAATACAATGTGGATCCAAGAGGAACCTGAACTGGAAGGCTGGGAAACTAAGCCTGAACAGGTTGAAGAAGTGATGATTGGCGATGTTGAGTACGAGGTAAGTTCAGACTTGGCCGTAACTGATTGGAACATTGTTAATCTGTGCTTTAGTCTGTTATTTGGCGCAACGGTGTCGAGCTCCTCGACGGAGAGACGATTGCAGCTGCATTCGACAGCGATAAGCAATGGGGCAATCAACTTCGAAAGATGTATCAAGTTGTCGGCGATCGACCAACTGCCGCGAAGCTAGGAGCTCTAGATCTCGTCAATGATATTCGATATACTCTTCCGGTCGAGGTTGTTACTGAGAAGTTACGCGCGGCCAACAAGCATGTCTTCCGATACGTGATTGACCAGTCTAATCCATGGCAACCATCAAGCCGTGCACACCATGCCGTTGATCTGCTGTTTCTTTTCGACGGCGTTGATCTATCGTTCAATCCTGCGGCTAGTGCTGTTGGAAAGGAGATGCGGCAGCGCTGGATTCGATTTGTCAATGGTAATAAACCCTGGGCTGAGGATCTGAGATTTGCTTTTGGACCTGTGGGTGAGTGCAAGGAGATTGATGAGTTGCAGGTCGCTGCTCGTCGGAGACTTGAGCATTGTAAGGTGCTTAAGGAAGCAGGAGCGGGCGTGTATATGCCTATTGTCTTTGCTTTGACTGCAGGGAGAATTAGTCTTTTAAATTAGTATGAAATAATAGACTTGAAATGGATATAATCAAGTGAACTGTTACAGAATCATGAATTCGCTATTTTTAGTTCTATAGATTTGTATAAATTTGGCCAGTTGCCTCAACTCATGGAAACTATCAACACCAAATTAATGATCAAGACTCAAATTCACATTCAATTCACCGTTGAACCAATTTCATAAGTTGGCATCAAATTCCCACCATCTCGGCAGTTGAATCAAATCAATCCCGTCCGCATTCCCCCAACACAACTCGACGCTTCTCTCCCGGCGGGGGGAAGCCACAGTTACTCAGCCCTTACTCATGTGGGGCCCCCAGGCCCCACGATATGCCTCCTTGCAGGAAACAGATACTTCTCTTGTACAGCGTCAACCTGGTTCAACCTGGTGACTCGGCAATTCGATTGACCATGACTTTGCCGAATTGCGAGGTAATTCGACCATAAGGGGTATCTAGATACCAACATCTCGCGTCCACCTAATGCATCGTAGCCATGATGCATGTTCCGAGGCATTATCCGTGCCTTGCCGTATGGTTCTCCCCGGATAGTCGGATTAAATGGAGGAGTTTGCGAGGAATCTTGGACTCGGGTACTTCTTTTTGGACCTGACCCCACAAGTATGGTCTGATGGAGGAACTATATAGAGTCGTTGAACCCCCAATATTTACTGGAGAAGACGAATAAATCTGCCTCTGCTTTTCTACTATATCTTCCCCTTTCTAGCTGTTTCTATCACTATGCGTTCCGCTGATTCCTTGTCGGGACCCGGGGAGTATGAAAAGATATTCCATTGGGCTGAGACTCAAAAGGATGGAACTATCCCTTCCTTTAAGACGAGACGTAACGATCCTTACGAGGTATGTTGCTCCTAGTATCTTCCAAGATAATTGGCCTCGCATTGACTCTTCCACAGTATCAATCCGGTTTTGGCAATTCGTATGTATCCTTGCATGAGTTATATGTCCATGGTTAGCGAATCGACATGCTGATTTCATATTCCCTGAGCAGCTTCGAGTCAGAGGCCATTCCTGGGACTATTCCCCAAGGTCAAAACAGCCCTCGAAATGTGAGATTCGGTCTCTATGCCGAACAGATCACAGCCACTGCTTTTGTCGCTCCCAGACACTGTAATAAGAAGGCTTGGCTATACCGTGTCCGCCCTGCCGTGGCCCACCAGGGATTTGTAAGTATTATGTTCTTCATTCTAGATACCAGCACTAACATCATTCGCAGACAGAACTCCCAGACAATAAAGATACAGAGTCAAACTTCCTACCCTTGAACCCTCGCATCCATGTATCCCCCACCCAGCTAGCATGGCACCCCTTTGATATCCCCCAAGACGAAGTGGACTTCGTTTCAGGATTAAAAACCATCGCCGGCTCAGGTGACCCCACACTACGCGAAGGCCTAGCCACACATGTCTACGTCGCCAATTCAAGCATGAAGAAGAAATCATTCGTTAACTCCGATGGCGAATTCCTCATCGTTCCACAACAGGGAGCACTCGACATTCAAACGGAGTTCGGTCCTATCTTTGTACAGCCAGGCGAGATCGTTATCATCCAGCGTGGTATCCGTTTCAGTGTTAACCTTCCAGACGGTCCTTCGCGTGGATATATTCTCGAAGTCTGGGGTACGCAATTCGAGCTCCCTGAACTAGGACCTCTTGGTGCTAATGGTCTTGCCAATGCTCGGGACTTCTTGAGTCCTATTGCTCAATATGAGGTCGTTCAAGAGCCTTGGGAGATTATTTACAAGCTCGGCGGCAAGTTCTTCAAGAGCACTCAGAACCACAGTCCGTATGATGTTGTAGCCTGGCATGGAAACTACGTGAGTTGATCATTATGATGATTATAAAGAATCTATAACTAATGTCATTTAGGTACCCTATAAATACGACTTGACCAAGTTTGTCAATGTCGGTTCTGTCTCAGTGGATCACATCGATCCGTCTATTTTCTGTGTCCTCACAGCCAAATCCCGAGATCTCACTGCACCCATTGCTGACTTCCTTACTTTCTCTCCTCGGTGGGATGTTGCATCACGTATGTCTGGTCAATATATTGGTTTGTGGACAATGGACATTGCTAACAATACCAAAGACACATACCGACCTCCGTATTACCACCGCAATGCCGCATCCGAACTAATGGGTCTAATCTACGGCGGTTATGGTGGGCGCTCGGATGAATTCCAGCCAGGCAGTGTGTCATTCGAATGTGGCAGTAAGATTATCCCGGGATTTTCCATCGAAACAAGTCAATGCTAATACTCTCTAGTGGTCCCCCATGGCGTTGCATACGAAGAGTTCAAGGAAGCAACCGATAGTGCACCACCGGTGATGCAGATCTCCCAGGCATCGATTGCGTTCATGTTCGAGTCCTGTCGTGCTTTCACAATTACTGATTATGCATGGAATAGCGATAAGAAGCACGAGCATGAGCCTAAGATGTGGGATAGTTTGGTGGACAATTTCTCCAAGCATGCTAAGGAGGTTGAAGAAATTCTGGCTAGGGCGAAGAAATAGTCTTCTACGTGCTTTTTAGCACAATGTACACAACCGTCTCTTCCCAGCCACAACTCGAAGCATAGAGGTTGCATTTACTGTCACCATGTTACGCAATCTATCTAATACTATGTTTTTAAGCACAGTCAGTATATGCGAGGGCAAGGTCAGATATGCAGTGGATGGTTACGCCGCTCTACCCAATATGGTCCCTAGATTTCATAAAAAGAAAACATACTAAAAAAAAAGCAACAAGCAAAACAAGCAACTTGATAAATCATATCCCTGAAGTCGGTGGTCGGCGTTTCGGTGTCCGCGCGGATCCCGGGGAGCGAGAAATTTGGCCGGCGACGGGCAAAATCGTCGACTTGTCGCATACAATAATCTCCGATTTGCGATGTATTGGCTTGTTTTTTCAAATCAAATTATAGAAGTATGGCCATTGAAGTAAACTATAAGACTAAACATGTGTACATCATATGTGGTACACACTACATCCTCTCTTTGAATTGGCCTACATTACATTCTTGAAACAAGTATAGATCTCATATAAAAAGTTCGTATATACTCCAATCCCTTCCTGTACCAACTCTAACAAATCCCAGATGGGAGGCCCATATGCACCCAGAACAGCCTCAATGGGCGGCCGCCCAACAACATCCCTCGACATTCCAATCTGCGCCGTCTTCCTTGCCCTGTTCATCACCGGCGCAGCAAGCCACATGACCCTCCTCCGTCGCAACCTGGCCAGAGGCCATAAATTCATCCCATCAGGCGTGACATTCGGATTCTGCATGTCCCGCATCATCGCAAACATCATCCGCATCGTCTGGGCTTGTTATCCCACAAACATTCGAGTCGCAATCGCGGCACAGATCTTCGTTGCTGCGGGTGTTTTACTCCTTTTCATTTTGAACTTGTTATACGCTCAGCGTATGTTCAGAGCTGTATATCCAGTCCCTGGATGGTCGAGGATATTATCATGGGCATTCAAAGCGTTATATGTTCTCGTCGTGGTGACTATTATTATGGTTATTACGTCTGTTGTGCAGAGTTCGTATACTCTCAATTCGAACACGCTTCGTATTGATCGGGATATCTTGATCTATGGTCAGACTTATTTCGCTATCGTCTCGTTTCTGCCGATTCCGCTTGTCTTGCTTGTTCTTCTGTCTCCGAACAGGAAGCAGATTCAGCAGGTTGGGTCTGGGAGTTGGGTTGTTAAGGTCTTCATTGTTGGACTTGTTAGCTCGTTGCTCTGTCTTGGGGCGTCGTTTCGTGCTGCGACGTCTTGGATGCCGCCTCGGCCTGTCACAGAGCCGGCTTGGTATCATAGCAAGGCATGCTTCTATGTCTTTAACTTTACTATTGATATTTTGGTCGTGGCTATCTTCTTCGTTGGTCGTGTTGATCAGCGATTTTGGGTTCCAAATGGAAGCTCGAAAGTGCGCCACTACAGACGAGATGGAAGCAGTGAGAAGAATGAGCAGGCTTCACAGGATGGACTTTCTTTCTCGGGTGATGAACGGGATATTGAGGGTAGTGGTGTGTCTGAGGGCGTGACTGAAGAAACAAAATGATTCAGGAGAACATTCTAGTTCCCAGGTTGTATTGATGTTAGATAGAGCCATGAATATGTATAATATAACTAATGTTAGATGATAATGAAACCATGGATAGACCAATTATCGTCATCAGAACTAGAATCGTGGCTAGTGAGTGACGCATATACAGTCATGTCATCGTGAACCAGAGCTGCTTTCTAGGTCAGGATGGCAATCATTTGAGGCGCGGAGGCTAATACAATCGTCCTTAGACTGCAGGCGACAATCAATCATGTAGTGCTAGTCATTAGCAAGGGAATAATATTAAATCCTAGCCTTTAATGCGTATATATCGGCTTCAACTGATACCACTGTTACCCAATCAACCAAAGATATCAGGGGAAATATGTTGGATGGCCTGCACTGGCACTTGCATCAGTTGGTGTTCTTGGGAAGGTCATGTACAATAGAAGATCTAGCCCAAGTTCATCCCAGGTCCCCGACAATACTAGGGAATTAACCAATGCGGAATATAGTGTATTCCTACAGTCCCATGAAACTGGGTCTTGCAAATGTTCTTTTATTTTCATGATTGGTATCAACAAGTGGCCAGGCATCGAACCATACAGAATTAAGTAGGCGAGAGCCCTGTTCGATTGCAACCCCATTCTTTCTCCGCCAGTCCAATTGCCTCTCGGACAAAAATGAAATCTATCAAAGGAAATAATCGGGTGTGCGCCTGGATACCATAGGTTCTCCCGCCCGGGGGCAAGGATCGAATTGTAGGCTGGAGAATGTCAGTTGGATATCCAAGAAATCATATGCAGTACAACTCACAATGTGTATTTCAAATGCTCATCAATCTCCATAATGGCGGCCTGATTGCCGCAGCGGTAACAGTAATTTGGTGCTGTGGTCCAAGTTAGGGTTTCGGTCCGTCAAATTCTAGCGACGAAAAACATACCTGAGAAAATAGTGACCACATTTCGATCCTGCGACCAGTTATATCCTTCCATCACCAATTGATGGGCACGTGCCACCAGAGTCAAGCCATTGTTGTGGTTAAACGCTTCGGAAATGTCCTGTCCAAACGTGTATCCAGCACCTCGGGGGGAGATTCCCCAGCCGCATCGGTCATCGGGATCACTCCAGAGCAAGTCACACATAGGACCCTCGTGGGGAACTTCTTGGATACGATCAAGCGACCGGATGTTGTCAAGAGTGTCAATGGACGGACTCAGTCCACCGTGAAGACAGAAAATCTGGTTTTCGATGAGAGCAGTAAGGGGAAGGTAGTCGAAAAGGTCGGTGAAGTATTTCCACACATTAGCATTGCCATATTTGCGGAGACATTCATCATAGAATCCGTAGACCTGTGTGATCTGTCGGGACTCGTGGTTTCCACGGAGGATGGTAATACGGTTTGGATAACGGATCTTCAGGGAGACCAGAAGGGTCACTGTCTCAACTGAGTAGTAACCACGGTCGACGTAATCACCTATATCAAGAAAAAAATTAAAAAAAAAAACGTTACCCCACAACGCGTTCATCCGACCGCTGTCCACTTACCCATGAAGAGGTAGTTTGTATCCGGGTTAGGACCGCCAATGCGGAAAAGCTCCATTAAGTCATGGAACTGACCGTGTATATCACCGCAGACTGTCACTGGGCATTTCTGTGGGATAGTGTCAGCGGACTGGACGGGGAAGACAACAACCCGACCGAGAAACAACGTACCACTGGCTGCACATTGGATTCCTCCTGCAATACCTCTCTTGCCTGCAAGACACAGAAATGATCAACTTGAGCTTCTTATCAATCTGTCAAAACAAGGAACCCACCCGATCGCACAGCCGCCGCACATCTTCCTCCGCTAATTGCTTGCAAGTCATCAAACTCTCGATCCAGCCGTCCAAAGTCGGTATGGACCCCGGGTCGCTTGTTGGCGACAAGTGGTGTGGCTCAGGGGACCGCGCAGTATCGATTTCCATGTTGTTATCCATTGCGTCGGTGTGCTCAGCTGGCTGAAAAGGAGGGGCCAGCTGGGGAGGGGCGGTCTCGTGAGAAAACGGAATTCGTGGATGGACGCAGGTATCGTGGGGTTTGGAAAATATGTGGAATAATTACGCTCCAGATGGAAATTCAATTAAAAGACAACTTCCCAGGATTGATTCAAGGGATAAGGGGATGGGTTGGGAACGCGAGAAAGGGAGAAGAGATGGGAGTTCGGGAAGGTCAAGGTTGAGAGTGGTGAACAGAAGCGCCACACTTCAGCCACACACCGCTTTCTCCATTGCTGTCTACGTAATTATCAACTACAACAGGACGATTATATAGAACGATGGGGTTTATATCTTTGTTGGTTTATGTTAAACCTCTGACTAGATAACAAAATAGGTGTCCATGAAGATGGTCCATGTTATGGGCCCAAAGGATACGGGAAAGTTGCCAAGAAAGCATCGAGACATGGTAGTAGCTTCGTATTATTCTTGTCAACGTTGAAATTGGTCCATCTCATTTGGGGACAAAGAAGCATCTTTGTTACAGTCTCACATGCTCGTCACTCGTTAGATAATGTCTCCGCCAAATCCACCACCAAACCCACCAAATCCGCCCCCACCTTGTCCATTATTACCAAAGGGTCGTGGATTACGGCCAACAGGTGGTTCACCAGGTCCTACAGGATCATATCGTGCACCGGGTGGTGCACGAGGATCATACCCACCATTACCAGCTCCTCTCCCGCCGAAGAGAGGGTCATCAAAGGTAGGATGCATACCCCCGCCACCTGGACCAAAGCCAGGGCCCATAGTTCCACGCAAAGGATCATTGGGACCAAGTCCTGCTGGGTAGAGATCTCGTTCCCCAATATTGTATGGGCTTCTGCCTCCAATGAATCCTCCTGGATATCCACAAGGGGGCCGGTTGAGATCAAGCTCATCTTCGAACCCGGGCGGAGCAAAGTCTGGTGGGTTGGGCCGCCGGGGAGCTGCCGCTAAGGGATCATCAAATGGACGTGGACGAGCAGGCCGCGGAAGGGAGCCATCCAGGGGAATCCCCGGTTGTCTTTCTTCTTGTGGCCTGGTTCTGGCCAGCTGGCTTGGATCTTCATACCCCTCTTTGTACAAACCGGGCGCAAGTTTCTGGACGACGTTTATTTTGAACAAATTGACCAAATCACCTAGTCGAGCGGGCGAGATGAAAATATCACGCAGGGATGCTGTTATATTCTCTGAGGACGATAGAGGGAGCGCAGAGGCGGAGATGTAGTCTTTCGTGGGGATGTCGAACGAGCTGGTCCGGTCATCACCCAAGGCCAGTGCGAAGATCACTGCATTATTTCCAAGTCGACTCACTTTGAGGAGATACTGCATCGAAGACTGCGCGTGTGCGTACCGAAAGGAAAATGTATCGTTAGCGTTCCATTCTGCGGGGAGGGATGCTGTATCTGTAGATGTTTCTGTAGAAATTAGAAAGAATTCACTGATGGAAACAAATTTTAAAATACCTAAGTTATGGTCTTCATCGAGACCAACCAATCTGAAATCAACTGCTGCCATGCATGCATGGCCGATCAGAGCCACAGCCTCATATTGTGTTTTGAGGCTCGGCTGTCCATCGCCCGCTGACTGGATAGCTTTCACGGCAAGGTCAAGGATATTATCCTGGTGAAGGGCATCTGCTGGTGCCATTTTTGATGAATTTCTTATGTTTCAAGTGTACAATAATTGATGGTAAAGAATCTGAGATATCTTACAAGATAGAGTGATGATGCGGCTCGTTGATGCCCAAGCTGACATCACATGGAGCTAGCCGTCTTTGGAAGCTGTGGCGTCGGAATAAATATCCACCGCTCTAGCTATCTGCCCCACTTGACTTTTCTATTTTTGGCCGAACAGAGGGCTGCATACAAGCACTGATATTGATGAATGGAATAATTTGATAGATTCGCTCCAGAAGTTTTCCCTCACTATAACATGGACTTGGGGAAATTCTTCATTGCTTGTCGAACTCCCAAGTCTGCCAAAATTTCCTCAGTTCCACCCAAGATAGCATCGAACTTATAGGTGCGATGGAACATCTCAATGACCTTGCCCATTCCTGACTGAGTGAGACCACGACCACCAAAGATGTTCGTAGCGATACTGGCAATCTCGCCTGCGGTATGGGTACAGTGTGACTTGAGCAGTCCGATGGGTCCACCTAGATGCTTCGCTTGCTCGGCGTATGACATGTTGCACATCTGGTAGGCGATAGATTCGAGCCATGCCTGGTTAGACTCAGCGAGGGAGATCATGCGAGCAATCCTATCAGATGTTAGAAGGGAAATTTTGGCAAGGGATGATCTAAGAAAAACTCACTTTTGACGAATAACTGGTTGCTCGATCAACTTCTTGCCAAAGACGATGCGCTGGTTGGACCATTTCAGTGTCTCTTCCACGACCATCATTGACATGCGAGCCAAGGCGGCCACCATCATAAAGCGCTCGTGGTTGAAGTTGCTCATGATAACGATGAAACCCTTGTGCTCCTCGCCCAGAAGATTCTGAACCGGAACCTTGACATTCTCAAACTGCACGAAAGCAGTGGCCGCGGCAGTTGAGTATGAGGTCTTGATTTGCTTGGTCTCCACACCCTCGCCGCGTGGAATCAAGAGCACCGAGAATCCCTTGTCGGTACGGCAGCCAGTGACAAAGTAGTCAGCGAACATGCCGTTTGTGATCCATTTCCTAGACATTGTTAGCACAACGCTCTTGATTAACGTAGCAAATGCGAGCAGGCTCACTTTGTTCCGTTGACAATGTAATGTTTCCCGTCGGGGGTTTTCTCTGCAGTGGTCTTTAGGCCTGCCACGTCGCTACCGGCAAAGGCCTCGGTGATAGCCAAACACATCTTCTTCTGGCCCGACAAGACTTCACTATTAAGACGCTCCTTGAGTACAGGATCATGCAGCCATTGCTGAACAGCTGTCAAACTAATAGCCATACCGGCCATGTTGCCATCCTGGAAACCTCTGGCATTGGCACGGACCAACTCTTGTACTATAATCATATCATGGATATAGTCGAATTCTTTTCCATCCACAACTCCACCGAGCAAGGTGCGGTTGTGCAGATGTTTTCCAGGGCCCAGTCGCATAGCCAGAATGTTTGTCTCAGCCATGCGGTTGATTAGCTCTTGGCTGATGTAGGTGCCATCCTGCTCTTTCTCTTGCGCTTCGGGTGTCACATATTTATCTGTGAACTCCCGGATAGCTTTTTGCAAGCGTCGGTGGCTCTCATTGTAGTAGGGAGACTTGAATTGGGGTCGTAGCCAAAGGGGTTCGGCGTAGGGCACAGGGCTCAAAGCTCCAGGGACGGGAACGATGACCTCGGGCTTTTCGCCTTCGATAACACCAAGGCAAAGCTGGTCACGGTATTTCTCCAAAACCTCCTGGCGGTGCAGGTTGTAGAAATCAGTTGTTGCATCCTGACCAGCAACCTGAGCAAGTACAACAGCACCACCGGGGTGGGCGTCGACAAAATCGGTCAAATCATAGACTTGGTGGTCGATGATGCACCAGAGGGAATCCTCGGTGTTGTGTTTCGCAACCTCTGCACGAGTGAGAATTTCCGGCATATTTTGAGTATGAAAGAGGAGAATAATAAAGGGGGATAATATTAGTAAATACCCCAGATTATAAGTCGCCAATCATCCCTCACCTGATTCAAATTGAGCCGAGGCCCGAGAACGGTGTGATGTCAAAACATCGTGTTTCGGAATTCTTGGCTGCAACCTCAAGTACAAAGACCTCGGAATAGATGATTACTATGTATGGATCAAAATATACTTGGATTTAGGATATAATATTTTCATAGACTATTGAATTAACTACGTTGTACAAGGGCGTTTATGAGCTCATATGATCGGCACTTTCAACTTCGGCTACTGGCGGAGCAACATAGAACGTACAATGTAGAACATACATTATATCGATCTGCAAGGGAGAATTGAAAGAGAGTTGATAATTTTCTTTCTCTGCACCGTAGGCCACCATGACTGCCTTGGTCGAATCATATACTAATCTTGTTTCTAAAATATATATCTTGAACCGATGCTTGAAGATTACGAAGAAAGTGATTGGGATAAGGGGATTGTATTCATTTCTACATCTTGACGTTATCGTATATTTGCACGCCATCAATGATCACCCTTCGAACGACCAGCTTTGATGTCTTTCATTGCCTCGTCGATTAACCACGCACAAACAGGCTGCGCATCCTTTCCGACCCGCCAACTGCCCAGCGTAACACCGTGCTGTTCAAGCACCTCGCTCGCGCGGTCCCAACGACGTCGCCAAAGCTCCTCGCGCTTATTTAGAAGGGGCGCAGGCGGTACGCCCGATTCGCCATTGGTATCTGTTCTTCTAAGTGATTGGTTGGACGAGAAATTGAGTCGGTCGCTGGCATATTGGAACCCTTGATATGCAGCCTGGGCGGCTGCCGCTGGGTATGATTGAATGCTGCTCGGAGTGCGAGCCGGTGTAGTTGATATGGAGGAATCTGTACTGGATGTAGAAGACCCGGTATTTGTGCGACGTGGAGGCGGACGAGGGGGTGGTGGCTTGGCTCGTGTAGCTTGTGATTGATTCTGAGAGCCTGCAGAACTATTATTGAGGCCTTTAAGCAACGAGGAAGCTGTTTCATTCGTTGATGTCCCAGAGCTACTCTGAGATGTTGAAGGAGAGGGATCTAAATCAATCAATGAACCTGTCTTGGGAACTCCACGTCTGGGTGGCACAGGCGGGGCTGGTTTGCGCTTGGGAGGCTCTTGGGCTGGCGCCGGTTTGGACTCTTCTTCTGGCGCATCGTGTGTAGCAACGTTGCGCAGGGATGATGGCCTAGAGCTCTTCGCCAAATCAGCTGGCGTAGAAACCATGCGCAGTGCAGATGGTTTGATTGGTTTCGCTGGGCGTGGTCGTGGAGTTGTGGGGTGTGTGAGCCCCGCTGGAGGTGGCTGATCACCGATGATAAGATCTGTGAGATCAATCAGGTCCTCGAGGTCAAGATCGCTGGGATCCGGATCGCGATGGCCTACGGGCACTGGAGAGTCAACAGCAGCTGTGCCACCTCGGGGCGGCAGTGCTGGTCTGTTGCTAGCAGCGTCCGACTGGTCCACTACATTTGGTGAACTGTGACTGCGTTTAGACTGGTCAAGATGGCCGACGGATTTGTCGAAGAACTTCTGGGTTTCTGAGGTCGTAACATCACGAATGAAGATACCCAGAATGCGGCCGGGATTTGCTAAGACAATCTCCGTGTAAACCTCTAGATCAGCTTCACCACTGTCGCCGACAAGAATGAATTTTCGTTCTGGGAAGTCGCGCAGGATTTGCTCTAATGACCCCCGCTTCCTCTCTGCGGTGGGCTCAAAGATTCCTTGAAGCATGCCCGAGTACTGTTTGAGATGGAAGGAGCCAGGAGGTAATCCTACCATCTTGAAGTACCGCTCAAGTAGGGGATACAGCTGCCAGGGAGCATTTGACACATAGTGAATTTTCACACCCTGGTCGGCCAGTTTGCAGTACCAGTCGCTGACTCCTTCGACCGTCAATTCATCCAATTCACGGACGAAGGTGTTTCGGAACATTTCTTTCGCTCCACTGGCAATGGCTGAGTGCTTGACTGTATCATCGATGTCGCTGATCAAACTGATTCCAACCGGATCGATGACCTCAATCGGCCTTACGACGGAGAGGTCTTCGGATGCCAACACGCGAACATGCGTTGGCACAAAGGGAAGTGTAGCGCGCAGAGTAAAATGACCTGATTCATCCGTCGTGATATTTCGAGATTTGCTCTCATTGTCGTTGAAGAAGAACACCGTCACTGGCATGCTCCCAACTGGATTCGTCAAGAATGGACGAAGTCTTTCCATTAGATGGGCATTCGCCATAGATAATTGATCTTTAGTCAACGGTGCGCTAGGATGGTGTGCTTGCTCCGCATGCGAGCCTTTCCAAGCTGGGTCTGCTTCCTTCTCAGCCTTTGCGACTAATGATTGGAGCTCCTTGTCGATGTATGCATCATCTCCCTTCCCAGAGACTTTGTCGTCACTTTCATCATTTGTACTTCCACTTGGTGTAGAAATCCCGCTCAGCTTCCTGGCTAGTGCAATCATCAACCGGTGCTTTCGGCTCATCGGCCCCCGACTAGGAGAGTAAATCCAGCCACGCACGTCAACGGCCACCACTGCATCTTCAGTATCCGTTGCATCCCAAGTAGGTGTGGGGGGTTCATCATCCTCATGGGTTGCACCCCTGTATTCATCGATTTCTGCCCACGACTCACGTCGCGAACGTGCGCTAGTACCGGTGCTTTTCTTCTCTGTCAATTTCCGAGCATAACTGGGGAAGACCACCATCTCCTCGTCGCCTGACCGTGCGATCTCCACATCCGGAAAGGCACCGGGGGTATTGTAGTAGTCCTCATCGTGTTCATTCCTCTGCCCCGACCATTGTGATGTGTAGGCCTGTCGTAGCTCATTGGCCGCTTTGAAATATTCGTAAACCTTCTTTCGACGGCTACCGGGGGCAGCAGCACCATCGCCATTCCCTGGCCCCCATGTTGATGAAAGTCCGGACTGCGCCATCGGTCCGTGGCGGGGTTCTCGGTTCGACTTCGGGTACCTTACAGCTAAGCTGTTACCGGCTACTGCAGCAGGTTTCCGCGACCTTAACTGTCGCCGGGTTCCAAGAAGATAGGTCACCAGGCGCCTTCCAAGTCTGCTGTCGCGTGTAGCAAGTCGCGCTTGTCGCTGGACAATCGCTCGGTAGACCCGCGATTGGGCTCGGTGTCGGAGCGCGGGGAGGGTCTCGTGCCGGATGCCCCAGAGACGGGATTGTGCTCGTCTGGTTGCGTGTGCGCCAACTATAAGACGAAGTATCTTTGAGAGTCTGCTGGGTCGAGGCTCGCGAGGGAAGGTCGGGAAAAGGTTGGCAGGTGGGCGTCTGAAGGGAGAGGGCCTCGACCGAAAGATTGGCCAACGAAAAGGTGATTTAGGCGCCAGGATCTCGTGTGGTATGATGTATCAGGGTAAAGAGTGTGAAAGAAAAAAAAAAGCCAAGTCGAGTTGGCTGTAGAAAGTTGATTCGCTGCGGGGAAGAGATCGGCCATGACGATGATTATTCGGATACTCTCACCGCGTTGCAACCGAAGATTCTGGCTGGAATATAATATTTTATGTTTTCTATCTCTAAAACAAGTCGTTCGATTAACTTATCAGGTGAAATGACCGAAATGTTACTCTATTGACTTATATCTATATAATATGTTGGTTATAGGGGGCATGTTCATGATTCGTATGTGAAACATGTGAAACCAATATTAGTAGAAACACGAAGTAGATATCCAAATGCATCACTGGGAGGATTGTAGATATATTATTAAGTAGAAAGCCTCTTGCTTAAGATATTGTCACTAATATACAATAACTACCCGCTAATTATGAGCTATCCTCGGTGTAATTCACTTTCTTCGCACGAGAACTTCGTCGAGAGATTGACGTTGAAGCCGGAGCACTGTCCGCTTCCACTGAGATATCTTCAGTCTCTTCAGACTCTGTGGTAGACTCAATATCTGAAGCCTTGCGCTTGTTGCGAGCCTTGGTTGATGGACGCGTCCGCCTGACTGGCTTTTTTACTGGCGTTTCTATCTTGATGGGTGTATCTAAGGGAGCATTGTCTGCGATAGACTCAATTTTACCCTTCTTTGAGGCGCCTTTCTTGGGGCTTGGTGTAGCTTTAGGTTTCACGATTCTCTTTGCCGGTCGGAGCCATTCTTCCATGCCCTCGGGCCAGTAGACTCTGCCATCCGGTCCACCCATTCCGACTTCTTCGTCGGGGATGGTGCGAGGTGGTGGCATTGAGCCTTCTAGGTCCACGAAGGCTCCATTCTTCTTTGTCCTTTTGGGTGGCTTGTGTGGTTGGTTTTCGTCGTGCCGCATGAAGGGTATTATATCGTTCACAAGATTGTAGCCGGGGAGTTTGAAGTTTCTCATCAACTCAAATACGGCTTGTTCTTTGTCCTTGGCCTCGATCATTAGGTCCATGGTGGGCGGACAAGGGGGTAAGGTAGTAACGCGGTCACTGTGTTTGCGCCTTTGACGTGGTGTGATGGCGGATGCAGTTTGTTCGGAATAATGCATCTTCTGGGTGATATTCTTCCGAGACCATGTTGCTGATATACGGTCGTAGAGGGGTATGATGTCCTCGGTGCCTTCGCGGACCTCATTGGCATCAAAAATGATATTATGGTGGTGATAGTCGAGGACAAGAGGAATGTTTAGCTCCTCGCAAATAGGAAGTAGATCGTGAACAGACCAGCTAACATCGTCATTCTCCAGGACCAGCCGATTTTTGATGTCCTGCGACAACATGGCGTAGTTCTCTCGGAAGCGGTCTAGTGTGGCTGCCTTATCACCAAACACCCCACCCATGTGCAGGATCATCACCGCATCACGGTCCTGTTGAGGGGGAAGTTTGAGTAGCTGGAGCATCTCCGAGTGATACTCGAGATCGCGGGTAGAATTTTCAACGACTTCTTTCCTCGGGGATCCAAATTGAGTGAATTGCCCAGGGTGAACCGACACCCGGTGCCCGAGTTCTGCAACCACACGTCCTACCTCTGCCAACGCCTCCGAGGCGAATGGCGCTAGCTTATAGCCATATTCCTTGTGACTGGCAAATGGGAACATCTCACTGCTGAGCCGCATGAACTTGATGCCATACTTATCGTTCCAACGAATGATTTTGACCAAATCACGTACATTCGCCAAGCCTAGCCCCTCGACGAAGGCCTGCCCGCGTGCAACATCGGATGGTTGGTTGCGGTCTGGACGATTCTTGACCGTGTGTGCGGGCTGCTCGGGGTCTTGGAGCGGGTGTCGATTTTCGATTATAGATGCGATTCGACAGGTTCGAGAACAGAATACGGAGGGCGTCGAATAGCGAAGGTACGTATTTAGACAAGCCTGTTCAAGTCAATTTCGATGGTCATCGGCAAGACGTATGTTGGGCGCAGCGCGCAACTCACATATCCTAATCGGCCTTTCCAGGGAAGGGGGAGGTAGCTGCTGTTCACCGGAGGTGGCCGGCCGAGTGCCTCTTTTAGCTCTTCCGCATCAAGGGGAATGTCTTCGTCTGATTCAGGGTCCAATTCCGCCTCTGCCTGACCAGCAGGCAAAGGTATATCTCCATTGAGAATATCTGCTGGTTTCACCTCCGGCCTAGGTATCTTAGTTGCTCTGGCCATATCTTCTGGATCCAGATATCTTGATTCTGGGCCAAAATGCTGCGAATATGTACGTGATGATGCAGCTCTCGATGTGTTCAGGGAATGTGCAACACTTTTAAATGGCAAGTGTGGACCATAGCGAGCCGCATAATGGGCATTGTGGACTGGGGCGAACGATGTGGTTCTCGCCACGGGAACGAATTCAGGGAATCTCAATGACGTATGTCGACCCTGGCTAGCTTCCAAGGAACGGACATGGATAGACAGACCCTGCAGCAGCCGAGCAAAAGACTGACACATTCAGCGGAATTTTGGAGGTCAAGGAGTGTTGGGGTTGAGGAGTTCGCAAGGGCGGGATGTTCCATGACGCGCTAATCAACGCGACTCACCGCAGTCCACCGCGGCATTGAACCTCCAGTGTCATCAACCTCATCAACCTCATAAAAATCACAATTTGACTTAATCATGTCCACAATGGCTTTTCGGGATTTGAAATTGACTCAATCCTGGTTTATAATATACATTAGTGCAACATATGAGCCAGCCGATGCATCTGGCCCCATATGGCAACCGCTTTCCTCTCGGGGATGAACCTCCTACTGCAAGGAGTGGAGCATTGAACTTGGCGAAATATAACGCCTGTTCTAACCTGCATTATGACATATGTTGCACAGGTCACATAGTTTTTGTTTGCTTTAGTCTGCAGGGGCTATGTTTGTAGTACGTTGTACAGCAGGCGCCGCAAACACGAACCTGTGATGTCTTTTCAGTGGTCTTTTCACTAATCTTCTCAAATATCATTCCGTTATATCCCTTGTCAGCCTTATATAAATTAGTTCGAGGGAGCAGATCGTTTCCCCAAGGACTGAACACCGATACGGGCAATGCTTCACAAATGACATATATGATATACCAGGCGGAAGGAATTATTCCGAATCAAGTCAGGAGACCAGAAAATCGAGGGCCCAGGGTCTCATATAGCGCACAACTCGAACTAAAGGTAAAACAGGCGTATTGGGTTCGTTGTCAAGACCTAAAGGCAAGAGTGCAGTACATCTGTGTAACAGTATAAGCTTGATTTAAGATCCGGGGGTATATAAGACCATCTGGACAATGAAGATCTATGAATTTATGCGCCATACCAGTTCTGGTAGTCTAATTAGCTTTAACCAAATGTAACACTGCGAGCTTGATAGTCTACATCCGGTTTTAAATGGCTATTGAGGTGTACAACAACAACGCAGCAAGTAAGAAGGATATTAGATCCACAAGCAAGATATCAAGATTGGGTAAGCGTTAATTCGAATTTGAAACCGCTTTTATAGTCGCATGCTGTGAGCAATCTTCTCATTCTCTAATTTCAAAGAGTCATTTTCATTACGCAAGCATCATACTACAGAACAAGCACAATTGCCGCGATGATGCCCGATCCAATTGAACCCAAGCTGGTTTCTCCAGAGCCAATTGCCATATGTGGGATGTCTGTACGTCTCCCTGGGGGCGTGCACACACCTCAGCAGCTGTGGGACTTCTTGATTGCCAAAGGAGATGCCCGTGGCTGTGTACCAAAGTCCAGATATAATGCCTCCGCATACTACTCCGAAACGCAAAAGCCGGGTAGTATCAATACTGAATACGGCTATTTCCTGGACGAAAGCATTGATATTGCTTCGCTAGATACTTCTTTCTTCACAATGGGGAAATTGGAGGTGGAGCGAATGGACCCGCAGCAACGGCAGATGCTAGAAGTTGCCAGGGAGTGCATGGAAGATGCTGGAGAAACAAATTGGAAAGGACGACCAATTGGCTGCTACATGGGGAGCTTTGGTGAAGATTGGATTGAAATGTGTGCCAAAGAAACTCAGCAGTATGGCCAACATCGAGTGAGCGGATGCGGAGACTTCATGTTGCCTAACCGAGTCTCATATGAGATGGACCTGACAGGACCGAGGTGAGTTGGCCCATAGTATTTCCGATAGATTGCAAATGCTAACTGCAAAAAAATAAAGCATGATCGTGCGTACCGCTTGCTCTGCAAGCCTTGTTGCACTTCACGAAGCATGTCTGGCAGTCTCCAGGGGTGACTGCGAGGGAGCCATTGTTGGAGGTGCCAACTTGATAATGGCACCAGAAATGACAACTACCATGACCGAGCAAGGTGTAATTTCACCTGATGGATCTTGCAAGAGTTTCTCTGCCGATGCCAATGGCTACTCGCGAGCAGAGGCAATCTCTGCTATCTTCGTCAAGCCTCTGGCTGATGCCGTCCGGGATGGAAATCCTGTTCGAGCAATTATCCGTGCTACAGCAACTAACAGTGATGGAAGGGGTGCTGGAACCGGCACCCATGTTCCTAATGATATTTCGCAAGAAGCCATGATCCGGCGCGCGTATGAGGTGGCAGGTATTGCAGATTACTCCCAAACCGCATTTGTCGAGTGTCATGGCACTGGCACACAAGTCGGAGATCCCATCGAAACGCGAGCAGTGGGCCGTGTTTTTGGCCCTTCTGGTGGCGTCCTCATTGGGTCTGTCAAGCCTAACCTTGGTCACTCCGAAGGAGCATCTGGGATCACATCCCTGATCAAGTCAGTGCTGGCCCTAGAAAATCGTATCATCCCTCCAAACATCAAGCTCAAGGAGCGGAACCCCAACATTGGGTGGGATGAATATGGACTCTCGGTCCCAACAGAACCGATGCCATGGCCCGAGGCTCGGAGCGAGCGAATCAGTGTGAATTCCTTCGGAATTGGAGGTAGTAACGCTCACGTTATTCTCGATTCAGCTCGGAGCTTTGGTATCTCCCCTGTTGCCGCGCGGTGTACTGTTCTGCCGCAGTTGCTTGTTTATTCGGCAAACAATGTTGAGTCACTAAAACAAATGATTTCCCACTACACAGACTATGTCCAGAAGAATCCAAACAGAGTTGCCGATCTGGCGTTCACTCTAAGTAATAGAAGGGAGCATCTCCCTCACCGGGCATTTTCCATGAAAAGTCCATCGGGCCAGCTCACGACTTCGGGGCCGTCAAAAATTGGGACGACACCAAATATCGTCATGGTTTTCACTGGGCAGGGCGCCCAGTGGCCACAAATGGGGGGCTCAATGATCCACAACTCCGCCTATCCCGCATTTAAAAAGAGCATTGAAGATCTTGACTCACATTTGCAAGCCCTCAAGCATGCCCCAAAATGGAGCATTGAAGAAGAACTGTTAAAGGGCCCAGATACTAGCAGACTTGGCTTATCTGAGCTATCCCTGCCTCTCTGCACGGCAATTCAAGTGGCTCTGGTCGACACTTTCGCTTCCGTTGGTCTTTACCCTGCCGCTGTTGTGGGGCACTCTAGTGGTGAAGTAGCTGCTGCGTACGCTGCCGGTGCTATCACGGCCAACGAGGCAATCATGATTTCATTTTATCGAGGTCAAGCTACCAAGTCACAAACCAAACCTGGTTCTATGGCGGCCATTGGCATGAGCACCGAGGATGTCCAGAAATATATGGAGGCTGGTGTCGTCGTTGCTTGCGAAAACTCACCTAAAAGTGTTACCCTCGCCGGTGATACAACTGCTATTGCAAATGCCGTTGCCAGGATTAAGAATGCTCACCCTGATGTCCTGGCTAGGATATTGAAAGTTGACAAGGCGTACCACTCTCATCATATGGCTGAGATAAGCGATGAGTTTTATGCTTTAATTGAACATGAAGTACTCGCCAAGGCTCCAAATAAGTTGTTCTTCAGCAGTGTCGAGAACAAACTATTCACTGAGGCCGAGAAATTTGGCCCCAAGTACTGGCAGATGGGCATGCAATTTCCAGTGCTCTTCTGCTCGGCTGTTTCGTCTATACTCGAGCACCAGATTGCGGAGAATATAGTGCTGCTTGAGATTGGACCACACTCGGCTCTTGAAGGTCCCTTGCGGCAGATTCAGAGTCATCTTTCCACTTCTTCTCCTTACATCTCTGCCTTTGTTCGGAACCAGGACAGTACAGAGTCCTTTCTGACCGCCATTGGGCAGCTGCATGTTCTCAATGCTGTTCCTAGATTAGAGAAGATCATTAGAGAGGGCTCCACTCTCCCAGATCTTCCGAGGTACCCATGGGATCACTCAAAAAGATTTTGGTATGAGTCTCGATTGAGTAGGGAGTGGAGACACCGCGAGCACAGATATCACGATCTTTTGGGCGTCCGGGTACCAGAGAGCCCTGACTCTCACGCTGTTTTCAGAAATCTCTTTCACTTAAACAATGCCCCTTGGATTCGTGATCACAAAGTCGGCGATAAAATTGTCTTCCCCTTCGCCGGCTATGTTGCGATGATTGGCGAGGCTGTGAGACAGCTTACCGGGGTCAATGAGGCATTCAAACTACGCAATATGATTGTCAACACTGCCCTTGTCTTGAACGAGGGCCCGGTTGAGATCATAACGTCACTACACCGCCATAGATTGACTGATTCTCTTGACAGTGAGTGGTGGGAATATACCATCACTTCTTACAACGGAGCCAGTTGGACTAAGCACTGCTCGGGCGAGGTCAGATCACATAGCGAACGCCTTGAACATGTAAGCACAGAACGTCCTCTTGTGCGCAAGGTTAAAACACGCCGATGCTATCATTCTATGGCCATGTCTGGTCTCAATTTTGGGCCATCGTTTCAACGCCTCGACCATGTCAAATCAGACACTGTTATGCCGAAAGCAACGTCCGAGCTTATTGCAAAAGATACTGATGGGAAAAACTATCACCTACACCCCACAGTCATCGATGCCTCCCTACAGCTTCTCTTCCTAGCTGCTTCTAGGGGATATGCCGAACAAATAACCAACCTGATGGTTCCTACCTACATTCAAGAAATGTCGATCTACCGCTGTTATGAGAATGTCCATGTCCAAGCTTCCGCATCTTACACCTCGAACGGCTCTATCGTTGGTAGCAGCCAATGTATTACTGCAGGGGGCAAGGTTGCTTTACGCAGTTTTGGAATCAAACTCTCTGTTCTCGATCGGCAGAACTCTAACAAAGAAGAAAATGTGACTGCTTGTGCAGAATGGGCACCCCATATTGATTTCCAAGATATCAACAGTCTTATCAAGCCAGTGATTGGCCGTAGTGATTATATGCCTGCTTTGGTAGAGCTATCTCATCTGTGTATGATTCATACACAGCGTGTCATTGCGGAGCTAGATACTTCAATCACGCACATGCACAAGTATCGATCATGGATTGATCGTTATCTTATGTCTATGGATTTGCGGAGTCTCCAAGTTCTTGACAACAATGCCATTCAGCAGCGAGTGAAGGAACTTGTTCACCAGTTGTCGGAAACCAATGGCGCCCATCCTGCTGTTGGCATTGAGGTGGTTTTCAATAACATCCGGCAGATTTTCACTGGGGAAGCTGAGGCTCTAGGCCTCCTTCTAGCCGACAACGTATTGGCCAACATTTACAACGCTATGGATCAGTGCGATATTTCCGAATTCATCAAGAAATTGAGTCACAGCAAGCCTGATCTCCATATCCTCGAAATAGGTTCCGGAACGGGTGGATCTACAGCTAATATCCTGAAGCTGTTGACACCTGGGAACAAGACCTTATACAAGAACTATGCCTTCACTGATATCTCCTCTGGCTTCTTTGTTGCCGCAAGGGATCGGTTTGTCAATTACCCGAACGTCGAATATGCTACTCTCGACATCAGCAAAGATCCCTCCGAGCAGGGTTTCGATGGTCGCAAATACGACCTTATTCTGGCGACCAATGTCATTCATGCCACTGCATCCTTAAAAAAAAGTTTGAGCAATGTTCGCAAACTTCTTTCCCCCACCGGCTGGTTCTTGCTCCATGAATTGACACCCACATCCAAATGGATCAACTATATATTTGGAACTCTGGTAGGATGGTGGTACGGCGATGCTGATGGTCGATCGGACGACCCGTACATAAGCACTGAACGCTGGGAGAAAGAACTCAAGCACGCTGGATTCCGTACTCCTGAAGCTGCTGTTCTGGATTCTGACTATCCACATCAGTTGAATGCCATGATCGCGGCTAGACCGGAAATTGATCTCACACCCAAGAAAAGCGTCACACTATTGACCCTTTCTGAATCAAGATCTGTCGGTCCTCTGCTTGCAGCTCTGGAGAACCGAGGGTACTCCGTTTATCGTTCTCGCTTTGATGAAGAGCCCCTCCCCGACGACGGACAAGATGTGATCGCCTTGCTCGATTATGAATACCCGTTCTTTGACAGCATAGATAACCAACGCTTTGAATCTTTCAAGAAATTGGCGGAGAGCCTGAAGGAGCGTGGTATCCTCTGGGTGACTCGTTTATCACAAGCTAAATGTCAGGACCCAAGATTTGGCCAGATCCAGGGCATAGCGAGGACGATTCGCAATGAATTACATGTCGACTTTGCTACTTGCGAGGTTGACAATCTTGATGTCTCCCAGGAAAAGCTCATCGACGTATACGAGAAGTTCCAAGTCCGCCAGGAGGACCAGACCCTCAAGCCTGAATTTGAATACGCCATTGTCGATAATACGGTCCAAGTTGAGAGGTATTATCCCTTTTCCACGCAAAATGAGCAACATATGTCAGATTCAAATAGTGGCATGGCTCTTCGAACTAGTAAGCCCGGTAGCTTAGCTGCCCTACACTGGTCTTACGAGGATCTCAAGCCTCTAAAGGGAGATGATGTGGAAATCGACACTTACGCAACCGGTTTGAATTTTAAGGCAGGTCGAATCGCAGCAGGCAGACAGAAAGATACACACTGATACGAATATACAGGATAATTTGTGTGCCATGGGCATTGTCGAAGCCAAGGATAATGAATTTGGCCTCGAAGGCGCCGGCATAGTTAGCCGCGTCGGTCCGGAAGTTCGAGGTCTAAAGGTCGGTGACTGCGTCATGGCCGTCGGGAACTGCTTATTCGGGACGCAATTAGTACTTTCCGAGAACCTGTGCGAAAAGATCCCAGATGGCTTAAGTTTCACTGACGCAGCTAGCATGCCTTGCGTGTTTAGTACATCAATATACTCCATCTTTGACATTGGAGATCTGAAAAAGGGACAGGTCTGTTATCACTCAAGCCTCTGAGATTTTGAGCCGTCTTTTAACATATCTTACAGTCCATCCTTATCCACAGTGCATGCGGTGGAGTTGGTATTGCGACCATTCAGCTTGCCAAAATGGTTGGAGCCGAAATTTATGCAACTGTCGGTAACCAGGACAAGGTCAAGTATCTCATGGACACGTTTTGTCTCCCTCGGAATAGGATATTTGACTCCCGTAATACCTCGTTCGTCGAGGATATAATGCGGGAGACAAACGGACAGGGTGTTGATCTAGCATTGAACTCTTTGTCTGGTGAAGCACTACATGCTACATGGAAGTGCATTGCACCATTTGGAAAGATGGTCGAGATTGGCAAGAGAGACTTAACTGGTTCTGGAAAACTCGACATGACTCCTTTCTTAGACAACCGGAGCTACTGCTGTGTTGACTTGGATCAAATCTGTTCTAGGAAGCCCGCCCTTGCAAAGAAGTATGTATCATACATCCTGGAGGGCACACCACTGAATGCGATTCAATAACTGACATACGATACAGGCTGCTGAAGGAAATTGTGACCTTACTCAAGAATGGTCACATCTCTCCTATCCGACCTATCAAAGTCTTTAGTTCTAATGACATACACCATGCCTTCCACTATATGCAACAAGGCACCCATATCGGAAAGATTGTCGTGTCGATGCGTGCTACCTCAGGCCAGGTCACCACGGTACACAATATCCAGCAACGGAAAAAGCCCATACAACTTGACAGTTCTAGTGCGTACCTGCTTATAGGTGGCCTCGGAGGTCTGGGTCAGGCGATATCTACGTGGATGGTCCAACATGGAGCTCGTCACCTCATATATCTCTCCCGGTCTGCGGGTTCAAGCGAAACCCACGTAGACTTTGCCCAAGAGCTTGCCAGTATGGGATGTCGCGCCGACTTTGTTCAGGGAACTGTTACCAACCTTGAGGATGTGAAAAACGCTATTGCATTGGCTCAAGGCCGGCTTCGGGGTATCTTGCAGATGGCCATGGTGCTCTGTGATCGGAGTTTCACAAACATGACACTGGAAGAATGGAATACGGCTGTCGATCCGAAGGTCAAAGGAACATTGAATCTTCATAATGCTTCGGTATCTGCCAATGCGGAACTTGACTTCTTTGTCCTTTTCAGTTCAGTGTGTGGTGTCTTTGGACATCCCGGTCAGAGTAACTATGCCGGTGCCAACACGTTCCTGGATGCCTTTTCACAATACAGGTTAGGCTTGGGACTGCCATGTTGCGCTATTGATCTCGGTATCGTCGAGGGAGTCGGTTATGTTACCGAGCAGGAAGGAGCTTTACAAAAGTTCAAGACTTCTGCTGCCCTAGGCGGTACGATATCGGAGGCTGAGCTTCTAAGCGCGGTAGAGGCGGCAATGAGATCTATGCCAAGTAAGTCGAGGCCAGAAGGAAGCCACTTCGGCGTTGGAATTCAGCCCAATGCACCTCTAGCCGATCAAACAAACCGTTCGATTTGGAAGAAGGACATCCGAATGTCGGTATTCCATAACACTGGAGCCGCCGGTACCATATTAGACTCTGCTTCTGGCAGTAGTCTGGAGACCTTCATAACACAGGCCAAGGGGGATGCCGCGCTCCTCAGCCAGCCTGATTCTTCTCAAATTCTCGCTGTGGAAATTGGGAAAAAGGTATTCAGCTTTTTGCTGAAGCCGGAAGAAGACCTGGTAACATCTTGCTCTTTGCCTGAGCTTGGAATGGACTCTCTCGTGGCAATTGAGGTGAAACAGTGGTGGAAAACGACATTCGGCTTCGATATCAGTGTCCTCGAATTGATGGGAATGGGCACATTCGATACACTCGGGAAGCACGCTGCTCATGGCATGCTTAAATTGTTCCATGGTATAGAGGAGCAGGCCGAATGAGCATTATATAGTTCTAATAAACCTAGGCAGTTACTACTAGTAGTGCAGTTTAGAAATTCTAGTCCCCAAAAGGCAATTATATTCAACAAAAATACTAGGCCGTATAAGCGGCTCTGCGATGTCTTTTCAGTGGTCTTTTCAGTGGTCTTCTCAGATATCATTTTGTCTAGATGTCAACACTTGAGGTCAAAGGCAAAAAAAAAGGTGGAAAAGGTTTACTTTGTGCTGACTAGGTAGGAGGCCCAATTAGGAAGTCGGGCTATGGAGGAGTAAGCTAGATCGAGCAATAAAACAAGATGAAAAGAACAAAAACACAAAAACATACAACAGTGAGGATTCGCTGGTGGTCACCCACCCAACTACTAACTCACCGGCGTGTGGCTTAAGTACGGCTGAGCGGACGGGAAGCCCTGTTTTCCACACCCTATGGTCGTATGTACAAGGCTATGTATTGGAGAGAATCATATATGTATAATGTGCTTCAATCATCCTGGATGGTCTATTTGAACCAAGTTAAATACAATGGGCCAGAATCCTCCCCGGATGGCTGAGTGGGTGAGAGACACAAGGTCATCTGATTGCTGAGTGAAACAGTGAACCCGGGTGATACCGCATTGGGAAGCTCAGTGATGATGAAAGTGGTCAGGGTTTCGACCCCCGCCACAAGTAGTTGGGGAACGGATCATTTTTTTTCCTTTTCATTGTTCTTATTTATATCCGTCGATGTATTTTTTCAAGGTTATAGATCCAAGTGGAGCCGTCACTCTCGATTTGGTCTAGTGTAAAGGACCGGGTCCACTATGATGCCCGATTCCTCAGGCAGAGATGCATGTTCTTTTGCCTGAAATTTGCCTGATCTTAGACCGCTTTGGACACCGCTTCAAATAAATAATTGAAGCTATTCCCACCACACAAACCATCAAATTGAGCATATCCCTGGCGTTGAACAGTCCCCCGACAGCACAAGTCATCAAATTGAAGCTATTCCCACCACACAAAAAGTATAGAATCGAGCATTTATCTGGCGTTGAGACCTTTGCCATCACTCAAAAAGATTCTACGGTCGGGATAGCTTCATCTTGCCTGCCTATTTTCAAAGGTAATGAAATCATCCATGGATACCTTGCTTATGAAGGCTCTGTCATTGTAATTCAGTTATTTTAATCTCTACCACTCTAACTCAAACATGGTATGATACCCCTTGCCGAGGGACTCGGAATAGCGTTCCCCAGATGCCCAACGATACAGCCAGCATGGCGAGTAGGACCGGCTGCAAAACTGCAACCCCCTTGGCCTCAGCAATAGCGCCAATCATGAATGGGAAAACAGCACCACCACCCATAGAAAAAGCAGCCGCAAATCCAATAGCAGCAACGTGAAGATCCTTCGGTAGCAATCTGGTGGCCACAATCACAACCCCGGGGAAGATAGTGCCCATGAAAAACCCAACAAATGCAACTGCTACAGCAGACACGATAAAATCAGGCACAAGCCAGAAGATGAGCTCAAAAGCAATCGCAAGCATGAGGTATATAGCAATAGACAACTTCTCTCCGATTCGTGGTGACACAAACCCTAGCACGAATCGACCCACGGTGATGCCGAGCCAGTAGCCTGTTTCGGCCATTCCGGAGTCAAATGGGTCGCCGTGTCGGACTTCCTTCATAAACACGACAATCCAGCCACCGATTGCGACCTCAATTCCGCCATAGAGAAATAGGAAGATAGCGCATATCCAGGTGACCTTGTAGGTGAGGGCAAGACGTGTTTGAGAGAATACCCCTCCCTCACCTTGGAAACCGGGGTTCTCTTGTTGATATTTGCTCCCAGTTTCATTCCAGAAAGCGCTGGAGGAGTATAGTAGTGCGATAACAGCTGCTCCAGTCTATATTTCATTATTAGCAGTGGCTTCAGAGTGAGACAGAGGATCAAAAATACCATCAGGTAGTAATAAGAATACCATTCCCATCCGGCTTTGATAATCAGACTTGTGGCAACAAAAGGGCTTACTGTCCCCCCGATGCCATAGAATCCATGGAAGAAACCGAGCACTTCATTCGAGTTCGCCATATTCCCGATCCATACATTCCATGCCGCATTGTGGAATCCACTCCCCAAGCCAACCAGTATATACATAGCCACCAGTACTGGAAAGGGCGGGTGGAGAGATATGACTGAAAACGCAATCACATGGCAAGTTGGAGCAATAATCGTGATTCCTCGTCTGCCGAAAGTCTGATGAACGAAGTTGCTCAAGATGGCGGATACGGTATATCCCACAAAAGGCGAAAGGAACACTAGGGAAACGACTGTATAGCTTTTTTGATAGTAAATCTCTAGCTAATCAGGGTAAATAAGATAATCAGCAATTTTATACACAGATCTGGTGAATGAGTTGGTGGCACAAACATAGGGAAGGATGGCTCCATATGCAGCATCATTGGCCCCCATCACAAATGCACACCAACACGTGGCGGTCACCTTCCATATTGTTGTTTTCAACTCGTTCCATCTAGGTGCCACATTTCTCTCATGCAACAGTGGAGTTTCTTCGGTGTCTGGGGACATAGCTTCAGGCGTATATTGGTATACTGCAGGCTCGCCTGGCGTTGGTGGCTAGGATGATTGGTGGCTCCGGATTTCGCTTCTGGTGCGCATTTCTGGTGTGAAAAGGCCAAAGTGAGATCTTGGGGGGAGATTGTCAGATTGTGGGGTTATATGAGACAATCATGCGGGGGAACTCCGAGATAGATGTAACCGTAGCCTATCGTATATCTGTGGGCTTGTAGGTAAATATATGAATGTGAGTCATGAGTTATATCTCAACCCTGTTTTACTACTAGCATATATATACCACAGAACCCTGCCAGTCTCCAAATCGGGTCAATTCAAATTCTTAGCGTTGTAGATACCTAGGGTGGGGTTGAATTCACTAAACCCACTTTCGGTTATGATCGAATATATATATATATCTACAGTAATGCGAGGGAAGAGATATGGTCTCCTTAAAAGATGATAAAATTTACAGGCATATTAGAATATTCATCGATGAACTAAGCTCTTGTGGGAGACCGGTGGGAGACCGGTGGGAGGCCGAGTATGAAACACAGTTATTAATCAGTCTATGTGGATTTCTAATTTATATATTGCTAAAGTATATAAATTCGACTACTGCCTCTAGATTTCAGTATAAACTGAATCACATAATAGTGTTGAATCTATTCCTACTGTGAATCTAAACTACAATGGCTCTCCCCCAAACCTACAAAGCCTTCCGGCACAGCTCGGGCAACACACCTAAAACACTCGAAGCTGCCACAGAAGAACTCCCGTCATCACTCAAACCTAGTGAAGTATTGATTCGGATCCACGCTGTGTCACTGAACTACAGAGATGTGGCAATGATGCATGGAATCTACCCGGTTCCGGTCACCGAGCGATGTATCCCTACATCCGATTGCGCCGCCGAGGTTGTGGGACTTGGATCTGATGTTCACGATTTCCAAATTGGAGATCGAGTTGCGCCTATCTTTGATTTGAGCAACATCGATGGCACCGAAGAAGAGCATTCGGTATTGGGTGGGGATGTCAACGGAGTGTTGCGCGAATATGCGGTGTTCGACCGAAATGTCTTGTTCCATTTGCCCAAGCACCTCTCTTGGGAAGAGGTCAGTATCTTGAAATTGTGGTGACATCTAACATACTGATTTCTTGACAGGCCGCTTGTATCACTTGCGCAGGAGTGACCGCATGGAATGCTTTGGAAATGCCTCGATCTAAAGGCACTGCTCTTCTCCAAGGTAAATCTGAATCTGCTTTCCAATCATTTCGAATTATACTTACAATGTTACTCAGGTACTGGTGGAGTTAGCATGTTCGGCCTACTGATCTGCCTAGCTGCTGGCATCCGTCCCATCATCACTTCGTCCTCTGGCCAAAAGCTCGACTTGGTAAAGGCCATTGCGAGTCCAGGCGCTGTCAATACTATCAACTACCGAGATCAGCCTAAATGGGAAGAGGAGGCTCTTCGCCTCACCAACGGACGAGGTGTCGATGTTGTCGTCGACAATGTTGGGCCCTCTAGTATTGCCCAGAGCCTCGCCTCTCTCGCTAGAAGGGGCACGGTTTCGTTAGTTGGGTTTTTGGGTGGAATTAATGTCGATCGCTTCCCTGATACAGTTCTTCCGACTTTGGTCAAGAGCGCCACTATTAGGCATGTTGCCCCTTTATATTCAAGATAACAGATGTGCTAACAGCGTTACGCTTCTAGAGGAATTGCTGTTGGCTCTAAGGCTGACCATGAAGCCTTGTGCAGCTTCCTGTCGGAGAAGAAAATTGGTCTGAAGCCTGTCCTTGACAATGTGACTTTCTCGTTTGAAGATTCGCAGGCGGCGTTCGATCACCTTTGGAATGCGAAGCACATGGGCAAGGTTGTGATCAAACTATGAAGAGTTTTGAATGCGAGAATACATGAATAAATTGGAGATTTTTGAATATCAGTCATAACAAACCAATGTTCAACCCCATAAATGAAGTTTCAATTCTTACATCCGTTAAGAACATCCCGGGTTCGTCACCTGAACTTTGGGAATGAGAGACTTCTTACATCATGAGGCAACGAGCTTAGTACACCATGTATGTAGTGGCTACTGGCCTTTTTTTATTAAGAGCTAAAAAATTAACAGATAGCAGAATCATAATTTGCCCCAAAGCCTTCAGCTTCACTACCTAGACAGACTCCGTTAGTTCTCTCATCGATATGCCCAACTCAACCCTACTCATCCGTGCAATACCACGGATTACATTTCGAAACACGTCGTGTAAGGATATTTGCTTGCTGAAAAGAGTTTAGCTAACAGCATATATCTATAGGTACCACTCCGTTGGCAAGATTCTATGCCAACTCCACGCAGTCACCGCAAGTGAGCGACCCAGCTTCCACCTCGCCGGAATCTCAAGCCATCAACAAAGCTCGAGGCTTGAAAGGTCGGCGTTCCGACCCCGCCGGCTCTACTCAGTCCCCAATTTCCCCTTCAAACCAGAGGGACCTCGCTGGCGAAACTCACGAAGGTGACGAACCAACGTCACCCGGTGCACAAATCAAGAACGATCCTAGTATGTCCACAGAGGAGAAGAGAAAGAATGTAGAGAGGGCTGGGCAGATGCCTATGGGACCTGAGGATCGTTAGTGGATCTTTTTCCTTATGGGCTATGTTAGACATGGAAATTTGAGGCCTTAACTCATATCATGATTTTCGTTGAACTACCAGGAGGTCGTACTCAACATCCAGCTAAAATTCAAGTCTTGGGTTATGATAATGAATGATTTTGTAATTTTGACTTCGGCAATTGAAGCTAGGAACTAGGATACAAGTGTGATTTATGTTTTCTATCCACTGAAGTAGATACAGCTGCATATTGGGAGTCATAAAATTCGTGAGCTTTGATTGGTTAGGAAAAGATTTGCATAGGGGGCGAGCTATCCAAGTCGTCATTTCTTGGGGTTATGGAGTAAGTGATCGTGAGACATCGTCGTATGCCGCCGAAGTGTAACATCAACAATGGTACCAACCGGATTTGTCTTTCCCCAGACTGAATATTTTCGGCCTGTTCATGAGCTGCTGGGGGTATAATTGGTTTGTTCCTAGAGGCCATGAAGTTTCTGTGGGTAGTTTTGTTCTTGGAAAATGATCATAGCCACCCAACACAAAGAGGAAGGTGGGTTGAACACTGGCTGCCTAAGACCATGAAGGTGGCTGATCTGCGGGTTACTGTACAAATGCCATATAGGGCCGACATGACGATGAAGGTAGAGTAATATGGGGCGGATGGGGGCGGCTGCTGGAATGAGCTAGCAGTACCGACCTCACCAAAGAGCGGTTGGCAAATTTTCACAATCATTTTTCTTCCATGCTTCTGGTCATGTATCGATACCGTGTTGTTGTCGTTGTTGTTGGGATTGACAAAATTGGCATCATACGCAGCGGTCAAGAAATGGGGACTGGGAAATCAGGCTATGGATCGATCGTACGCTGGTAAGATGGATCGTTAACAAACCCCAGTTACCGTACCTATGGGGTCCTGGTGGTGTTTTTTCTGGACCTTCAATTTTAGCGAGGCAAGGTAGCCAGTGTATATGTGGTGTATCCCGCGTCCGTACCCCAGCTGCTTAATTGGCAGGTGGCGTGAAAGTCTCGTCTGCATTAGAGCTAGTGGCGTTCAAGTGTGACAAGCCATTCAAGATGTTCTGGCCCGCTTGCACCTTTCATCATCATCTTGCTCAGGTGCTCGTTTAACGTCTTGGTTGATGGGATTGTGTTGATTTGAAACATGAGACGGATTATTTGTACTGGACAGTTCAGACAAAATTCGTTCCTGGAAGGTCTCGAAGGGTGTAAACGGGATTTGTCTGTGTTGGACAGTATGAAAATTCGTTTGGGTTGTGGCAGTCGCTGGTTTGTCAAGCATCGCTAGGAAGTCGGAGGTGATCTGAGCCTCGTAGAGATGAATAAATTCTCGATCCATCGGGCTTACTACGAGAAGACGGGACTTGGGTATGTGAGCCACGGAAACAAAATGGTGAAACCTATGACAATTTCAGGGGTAAGGAGCACTCACCAAATGACTTGCTCGTCCTGGTGGCTTCAGGCAGTGCTCCTGAAATTGGGCCAGAGATAGCAGGACACACACAAAGTATGGATCTTCTTTCCATTCCTTGGGCGTGACCCGAGCGAGCTTCTTCTTATAAAGTGGGGAAATACCGTAATCAATATCTCTAACACGATCGCGAGGCGAAAATTTGTGGTAACGAGTACCAGTGACGTTTGTGTAGTTCAAATAGCCAATCACCGGTAGTGGTTCTTGACAGGCAGATCGGTCGGGATGGCCATGGTGATAAAACAAGGTGTAGAGAGGTCGATGAACAGGATGACCCCCGAAACTGAAGGAAGTCCCTTTGCTATGTCCTCGTTAATAACAGAGAATAGAGACTCTCTGTGGGCACTAAGTAGTATCTCACCTGCATTCGTTGAAGATGCTTCCCTCGGATAGCAAAATGTTTTTGAGGGCATTCAATTTCACTGGGAGCGAGAAACTATTGGCAAGTGACCGCGCATCACACTCCCTTTCATTATGTTTCCCCTGTAAGGGCCGTTGGTCGTCGTGAGTGTCCTCGATCGAGGGGGCATTGTGAACATGTCGAAATCGACATCCTATTAATTCTAAATGGCGGGAGGTCCAGAACAAAGGTTTTACCAACATTTCAGGCTGATGGCGCATGAGCTCAGCGAGCGATATCACATCGTCATTGGCCGACATGTTGGAATAAGTGATGATGGAACAAGAGTAAAGAGGAAAGGCCCCAGTGGCTTATCACGATGCCTTACGCCTGATTGACCGCCCGTCTGACCGCCTTCCAGATGTAAAAATTTAATGTAAATTTATGTTGTACGAAGGCCCCCACATTTCTCCACGTAGTCTGCTCCGTACAGAGAAGTACTATGGAGTAAGTAGTATTATATATGTTATAAGAGAAACATATATATTCTTAATATTGGGCAAGGATCCTTCTACTACTATCTCTAATAACCTATCGTAATTTGCCAATCCGCTTTTCACTAGTTACCTAGTTATTGGTTGAAAATATGTAATTACCTTACATTTTCATTTAACTGATCACCAAGCCATCCGAAGTTTGGATGAGGCTCTTAGGCACCTACAATAAGCCCCCACCTTCTTCTCCTTCTCTACCGAACTTTGCAATCTCACCACTCTTTAACCTCGGGAGAGGTATCCACAACATACGACCTGCAAAATGTCCACCTCGTACTTTAGTACTATCACCAATGAATCGGCCTTCAAGACACACTTTCAACAGGAGAATGGGATGGATTTTATGGATATCAAACTCGTCGGCGCCAGCGAATGGGGGCGTGGTCATCTGTTCGCCTGTCGCGTAATCCGGCGACCAACTCAGCGCTCCGTTCTTCCGGTCTTGTCTAATTATACAAGGCCGTCGGATTCGAAGTCCTCCCCCGAAATCATCAACTTTGTGAATGGCCCACCAGACCTGACGTACATGACTCAAAGCGAGCACCAACTTGTACGAAAGTTTGGCTATGGAGTGTCTCTTGGACAGATCTGAGCAGCGTTGGCAATGTTCAAAAATGGACGTGGGCGTCGCGGAAAAGAAAGCCCCGTCTCTGATGACGAAACCGGTGAAGGAGAGGAAATAGCAAAGCGAGTCAGACGAAACACCCTCCAGGAAGATTACATTGATTCAGGCACAATGCAAGTTGATTCCAGCAGTCCACGAGAGATAAGCTCCCAAGAGACATCTTCTGCCGGTTATGTCGACTCCGAATCACATATGCTCCTGGCCTCACCAGAAGATGAAACTTTACGGCTTGCATCGTGCGTCATTCGGCATATCTTGTACTTTGGCACCCCGCAGGATTCTGTGGATTTGGGAACCGTTGTCGAATTCCGGGATGCGAAAGTGAGAATCGCTGTACAAAGCCCCTTACTGAACCGAAAAATAGTAGCCATTGATGATGGAGGCCTCTGCTTGCGGAAGGAATTCAACGGTCGTTTTGAACTCATCAAAAATCACCTGGCGATTCTGGAAGGCAAAAGACAATTTCAATGTCTTGAAGACGGCCGGCCGGTCATTTCGGATGACTGTCTCGCCCAGATGACTTGTGAAGCTCTGGTAGTCGCCGCCGCCGATCCGTCCGAGGAATTGCATCGAAACGGGTATCACTCTCTTCTCTTGCTTATAATATCTAACCATTTCAGGATGAAGATAATACGTATACTAACAGCATGGAAAAGAGTTATAGTAATCAATGCTACGCAGCATTATATGTGCTTCGTTCACTTCGAAATCAGCAAGGAATATTTTTCAGATTTTGAATCGCTTTCACCCAGCGCCTTTCTATATGTCAATTCCACTCCTTGGTTTGATCTTGACTCTCAGTCTGGGAGGAAGCAAGTGGTCGCCAACCTTTGTGGTTTGATGCGAAGGGAGCGCGATGCCTAATTTAGTCTCTCGGGCGTGCCGTGGAGTTGGAAGAGAACTCCCCAAGGCCGGTGGCCGAGGCATCCATTACCAAGTGGAAGTACAGGTCGTAATCTGTAGGCATTTCGTACGATAGAAGCTTTAACGAATGCAGCCTTTTTTTTTTTCTTTCTCCCTCTCACGTATCTCTTACCCATCTCTTACTTTATCTCTAACTTATCTCTCCCGTCGTTTCTCATTTAACTCTCACATATATCTCACTTCATCTCTCACATTTATCTCTTACTCATCTCTTACCTATCTCTCACTTCATCTACAAATGTATGCATATTTCACTATCGCATAAGCTAGCTAATCATCTATCTAATCTGAAAATTCTACCTAGGCGTCATCGCTTACATACTATTACACCAAGGATCACAGGGAGAACCTTAGATCACACTAGAGGTAGTTGTTCTCGCATTTCCGCTTACACCCGAATTTGGTCTTATTTACAATATGTTGCCGCCGTGTAAGAATTAATTGCTGTGAAATTGAAGGTCCAGTACATAGACCGGGTCGCATGGAAGATTCAAATGTACTGTACTGTAGGAGGAATAAAGTAATATATGCAGTATGTGTGTACCTCGGGAGGGCCCGGGGCATCCCTTGCATAACGATCAGGAATACCTACCTAGGTACCCGTGGACCTGAGTGAGCAAAAAGCAGCAGGGATAAGATCAAAAAAGGAAAGCCAAGACATGTCCATGTTATGTAGTACTATAGGTGCTAAGGCTACTTTCTTTACGTTTATCTAGGTTATGAGAAAACTACATATGTAGATACCAAGAAACAATATAATCCAAAAAGCATCATAAAACATACGGTAGCAATACACTTAAATTACGGTCACGTGGTGGTTATCCCCCCCAATGTTTCCCCGACAGTCTCCCAAGTCTTGAAAACTTATCTATCTTAGGAAAAGCCACCTCACAGAAATCCTTTCTAGAAGAAATGACTAGAATTTCGCAGCTATCCCCAATAAAGACTAGTCTAAAGGAGTTCCTTCAGCCGCTCCGAGTCGAACTTGAGACCTTGTATGATTTATCTTGTCGGCTATCATCGTCTTATAAAAAGTTGGCTGCGGAATCTACAGAACACTTTATTCCATCAGCTCTTACCCGTCTTCCAACGGGCCATGAAACAGGACGCTATCTAGGTGTCTATTTTGGTCTGTCCTACCTTCGTGTGGCCTTCATCGACCTCTTAGGAGATCAACCTGTCGAAGGACATGCACGCGTTCGGCGCACATTAGAGAAGGCATGGCCTATTGAAGATCATTTACGACATGATCATGTTATTGACCTTTTCACGTGGATTGGAGACTGCATTGCCGAGGTGGTGGCAGACAGACTGGCCAACCCAAGTGAAGACCGGATTGATCAAATAACGACAGGCATTTCCTTTTGTCTTCCTATAAAGTATAGTTATCCCCTTACATTTTGCTGTGTGTTCGTCGACTAACCTAGTGTAGACAAGATTCCCTTGATGAAGCTATCTTGATGCCAACAGGGAAAGGCTTCTCTCTAAGCTCAGACCTTAATCTCCGCCAAGCCTTGTTGAATGGATATGAACGTCACACATATTCAACTCATGGCGATGAAATAGACATGCCTGCTAAACGCCGCAGGCTGTTCTCTCTTCCTAAACTGAAAATCGCAGTCATGATCAATGATACGACAGCAACCCTTGCTTCATTGGCGTACTCCATTCCTTCTTTGCCCAACACTCGTGTTGTTATGGGTCTGATCGTGGGCGCGGGATGCAACACGACCGTTCCCATGAAACTTGCCGACTTGCATGAATCCAAAACTAAAAGCATTCTTGAAAAACACCCCGACGCAAAGGAAACGCTCATCTCGACCGAATGGACTCTCTCCACTGCAGCAGCTTCTTTTGATGAGCTTGGTATTCGAACAGAATGGGACCTTGAGCTGGATAGAAATTGCAAAAGACCCGGTTTCCAGCCAATGGAATATATGATCGGCGGTGGATATACTGGCGAGCTTGTCCGCATTGTCTGTTATGATTGGTTCCATCGAATTTTGGGAATACAACGCTCTAAGTTACCACTGAAGTTGGTCGAGGAATATTCTCTTTCGACAGAATATCTCTCCCTGGTTGTCGCCTCTTCTATGTCCGATGAGCGCTTGGCAAGTGAGTTGTCCAAAACACTTCAACCATCACCCGAGAGTGATTGGACCTGGTCGGCTGAATATGCCCGGGATATTCGAGCCATTGCCTCGGCTGTGCAGGGTCGAGCGGCTTCATTGGTGGCATCTGCAGTTGTTGGTCTCCTAGGCTGCACCAATGAAGTCCAACTAGGCGATATGACACCCAAGTGCAATGAAGAACAAGTCAATACAAAACCTAAAGTTACTGAACAAACAGACTCGTCAACGGGTTGGAATAGTGGGCCCGAGGAGCTCGCCGTGGCATTCTCGGGTGGAGTCATTCAACACTATCCTCACTATAAAGAAACTGTACAGAGATATATTGATCGACTACTACTGCGAGCTGGTCCTCAAGCAGGCGGAAAGAGTGTCTTCCTGCGGGAGGCCAGCGATGGCGGGATCATTGGAACTGGTGTCCTTGCAGGAACAGCGTCGGGGGAAATTGGAGAAATCAAGGCTACTAACAATTAGTTATCAGTTTCCCTCGATATTGTACATATATACATTATAAGATATATTTTATCTGTTGCGATTTCCCCCTTAGAGTTTCAGCGCGAAAAAATGCCCCACCCCACTTTGTCTGTACATTTTCATCTCGTTCTGTCAACTGAACAACTTATTGTTGAGATCCCAAAATTACTCGATCTAAAGTTGTAAAGAGCCTCATATCTAGCCTTTCACGAGTATTAAACATCTTTTATTGCCTATATATATCATTTGGTTCGGACCCGCCAAGAACCCTGAAAACTTTTCCTTCCTTTGCCCTCACACGAATCATCATAATGAAATTCTTCGATGTGAGCATTTGAAATCTATTCTATTGTTCCTATAAATTTGGTTAACATTTGACACAGGTCGCCGTCACATTCACTGCAGACCAATTCCAAGGCATCTACCGAGGAAAGCAATATCACGAACCTGATTTTGCAGAAGTCCTAAAAAGAGCCAGAGACCATGACTGTGAAAAGGTCATGCTCACCACCATGACTCTTGAAGGAGCAAAACAAAATCTGCAAGCAGTCAGGGAGTTCCCCGCCATGTGTAAAATGACCTTGGGTGTGCATCCGTACCATGCCGCCGAGATATATGAACAGCCAGATTCACAATATCTCGATGAGCTGCGCAAACTGGGTGAAACACTTCTCGCTGAGAATCCCTCGCCTCTAGCGGCGTTTGGGGAAATCGGATTGGACTATGAGTACCTGGATCGGGCCGATAAGGAAACGCAGCAACGTGCATTCCGTGAGCAATTAGAGCTCGCCGTGCAATTTCAATTACCGCTGTTCTTGCATGTTCGTGAATCAGCCGATGACTTTATTTCCATCATCAAGCCTTTTTTGCCAAGACTCCCGCGCGGTGGTCTGGTGCATTCTTTTGCCGGAACGAAGGGGGAGATGCTCCAGCTCGTGGAACTGGGTCTTCAAATTAGTGTCAACGGTGTTTCGTTTCGGACAGATGAACAGTTGGAAATGGTTAGGAGTATTCCATTGGACAAGTTGCAACTGGAGACTGATGCTCCCTGGTGCGAGGTCTTGGCTAATGACCCCAAAATCGCGTCTTACTTGGAAACTGCGAGACCTTTGCCGCCGAGTCGGAAACATAACAAGTTTATACTGGGGCAAATGGTAAAGACGCGTAATGAGAGTTGTTCTATGGAGCGTGTGGGGTTAGTTGTGGCGGGTTTGAAGGGTGTGACTATGGAAGAAGTGGTTGAGGCTGCTTGGAATAATAGTAGTCGGATGTTTTGGTTGTGAATATGTTTTCGAAATCAATGTGTATAATTACATAGAATCAATGAACAGAACTTAGCAGATTTTTGTTTTAATCGAGGTAGTCTAGTTAGATCATTGGAGCTATTGATATTCGCTGCTCATTGGGGCAAATGCGCAGCACGTCGAAATGCACGATGTAGGTCCCCTGGCAACAAGCTTTTTTGCCCACATAAAAATAATGAAAAGCAATCTTCATAGACCGAGGATGTAAGCAACCTTGGAAATCTCTTTAGGAAATCATCATTGGTGCCCTGGATAGGCATGCAGGGAGAGGAAGACAGGGGTTTCAGTCGCCTTTTAGGGTTTGCCCTGGACTTCATGTTGATCCCGGAACTTGATTGACAGGAACACTGACATTTATAAATAATTGTGACGCGTCCGTACTTTTTTTTTAGTATTTTATGAGGTCATCTTAGAATTCCTGACCAGGACTTAGCCCACAGAGATTAATGCACGTTGGAATGAAGGAAAGGTACCTTTTCACATTTAATCCCTCGCCCCCTATGAAGCTTACAATCCAATTGTTCCACCAGTAATACTTGCCCTGAAACAGTTCATTCACTGACGATCTGGGTATCTACGCGACATAACGAGGTCCCGTAATTTGCGCGACTTTTTCAATGTATGTTTTATGGTGTAACTAATATAGGCCTGTTAGATTGCCAATGATTTATCCTTTGCCGCTTATGCGAAAATAAGTACATGCAACGGCGAAGGATTCGAGGTCGCTAGACTGAGAGCTATGGTTAGATGACATTCTTCACGTTGCGAGGGCCATAGGTCAACCATCAGCGCATGGAGACCGCAACATGATGGCATCCGCCATTCCTCTGTACAGTTATGTGGAATGCTTCTGGCCACTACAATGTATTTATACTAATTGTTGTCGTCAATCCTAAATTTATTCCCTCTTCTCAGGACTCTATTCTTCAAATTGACCTTGCTGACCCTGGTGGTTAAGTGTTTATCAAAAGTCTCTATACAAAAGTTCTCAAAGAGGTAAGTCAAGTGTTAGCAACTGCTTCGTTCTTTCCTCTTTTGATGTTACCAATATCCATTTTGGGACTAACAAGCACAGAAACACATATCACAATGAAGGGCACATTGATCCTTTCTGGCCTTATGGCCACTGCTGTTTCGGCTCACATGCAGCTTAGCAAGCCATACCCCATCCGCAGTCCCCTCAACAAGGATGCCAAGGGCGAGAAAGATTATTCTTACACCAACCCTCTCTCCACCTCCGGCAGTGACTACCCATGCAAAGGATACGCCAAGGATGCATTTGAGGCCGTCGCTACTTGGCAACCAGGCTCCTCCCAAGAGATGGCTTTGGAAGGCAGTGCCGTCCACGGAGGCGGCTCATGTCAGCTTGCATTGACCTATGATCAGGGTAAGACCTTCAAGGTCATTGAGTCAATTGAGGGTGACTGCCCTATTGCTAAGAGCTACCAATTCGAGGTCCCCTCGGACGCACCAAGCGGTAACGCTCTCTTCGCTTGGACCTGGTTCAACAAGGTCGGCAACCGTGAGATGTACATGAACTGTGCTATGGTCACCATTGGTGGCTCTGGCAACCGCAATAATACTGGCGACTCTGAGGACAGTGAGGAAAGACGGGGTCCCATGCACAGGATTGAGGAGGAGCCTAACCAGAAAGGGCCTAACGATGGCCAAGCCGAAAACGCCAAGAGCGCCTTTAGTAGCCTCCCCGACCTCTTCATTGCCAACGTGAACGGGCCTGGCAAGTGTGTGACCATCGAGGGCCAGCCCGTGCATTTCCCCAATCCTGGCCCCAAGCTCATTGGCAAGGCCGAGGGTCCTGGCTACAAGTGCTCAGATCACGCTCCCTTCCTCGATAGCACCACCAAGTCCGAGAACAAGCCTGCCACCAGCAAGAACTCGGAGAAGAAGCCCGCGACCACCAACACCAAGTCCGAGAACAAGCCCGAGAACAAGCCCGAGAACAAGCCGACTACCACCCTCACCAAGGCCATCTCCAAGATTGCCCAGGCCTTTAGCACTGCCGCCGCCGACGCTGACACTCGTCAGGTCTCCACCGAGGATGTATCCAGCAACCAGTTCAGGGACACCGTTGGCGGATGGTCTTGCCACTCTGGTGAAATCATCTGCTCCCCCGATGGACTGTCCTTTGCCAAGTGCACTAACGGCAGACCCATCTTCATGGGCTCCGTCGCTGCTGGCACTCTTTGCCGCTGGGGCGGTATTGTTGCTATCCATTAAAGATGTTCATCTTCCTATTTTTCATTTCTCTTGGTGATACTTTCTCGATACATCCCAGTGGATATTTCAAGTCACAGCAGTCCATAGACTGTATCAGACGAGCTAAATCGCTCGCCGCATTCGGACTTAGGACTTTGACAGTTGATGTTTGCTTTCCGCCCGGATTTTGGGCGCTGTGTGTTGTTTTTCCTAATCTTTTACCCATGACCTGTTGAGCGATGATCCCGTTGATTTCCCTATGCTGACAATAATGTCATGCAAAACTATGTAATGATTATGTGTGTTGATTCGAATTTTGAACCCTGTTATGTTAGACCTTTCTTTACCAATGATCCGCGGGTAATGATATAGTTTTCAATTAACCCGGCCGCCATACCATATTTAGAACTAATCTCTCCTAGTGTGTACTGGGACTTTGGGCTTCTGGTCAGTCCATATCCGACAGCGGCAAGAGCACCACCTGGACTTGTGCAGACAATGCAGACTGAGCTATCGCCGGTGGAGTAATGAACAGTGTGAGTATAGTGTACAATTGTTTTCCAAGGGTGTATTATATCCAATAGGGGACGCTTGCTTGAAGAACGCTACGGTGGCGAGGGACTACTTGCACTTGGAGAAGATCAGAGTTAGAGACCTATATGTATATCAATAGCTCAGGAAATGAAATCATGCTCACAGCTTATTTTGGCATCCAACACCCACGCTGATAGACTTCTACCAAGATTACACAATCTACGAATTCTAGTAATCTATTACAACCTGCCCCTAGACTAGCGAGTTACACTAGACCTAAAAGACCACTATAATTGAGCATTATGCTCAGATATTCCAGGCTCCGATATATATACCTAGGTAGTGCATGACATGACATAATCCAACATGAATTGACGATGTTAGGGCTTGGGAGAGATATATTACGTATCCCATCTCGTCCTTTTGATTTGCACCGCAAAAGGCGAAGTGGGACCACTTAGCCATGACATTTAGTCATGTTCTATCGGGTTAGATTATCCTTAGAAAATAGGCCCGTGAAAAGAAGTTGTCGGAATGGCCATCCGTTGAGGTCCACTTGATCGGGTTGTCCGGGTACAGGTACCCGGGTGAACCCTAAAACATTACACGCTTCAATAACCTAAGGGAGGAACAGTTAGTTCTTACATTAGCATTTATGAAGACTGAAAGAAGCGATCAATTAAATGAGGTGTCGGCTGTAAAGACGCGTTGATCTTGAATCACAGCCCTACTGCAACAGAGCACCCTTAACAGACCACCACTGGGATTTTGAATGCTCGGGTACGGCAGCCGACATGTTGGACAATGGGGCGTTGCCATGCATCAAGTTAATAATTCCCGTTATGGGAGATAATATTATCTCTATAAGGCTCAATATCAATAGTTAGTATATTTAGTTAGAAATAGAAGAAATTGTAGGTTTAGAATAGGAATGGATTATATTGTACGCGACAAAGGGCACAAACTCTAGCACTAGATCTTATATTCGGCTGCCGTACCCGGAAATAAGCTCACAAGCATATGTCTGATGGTGAACGAAAAGTGGGAAGGTAAATTTAGTCCGTTGTATAATTCTTCGACTATTTAGTGTTTCCCCTTGTCATTCTAAGCCTGCGCGATACGAATCTATGGGAAGGCTCACGAGACCATTCCGCGAGACCATTCGCATAGAGTTGTGTGGATATGGCACCGGGCGTCGCTTTTATTCTACAGGCGAGCAGCTAGAGGGATATGTATGGATTCAAACAAAGGATGTCATTCAACCGGGCATGGTAGAGATCTTATTCCGTGGTCAGTAGATTCGGACCTTGTCCTGATTCACTCCTGAGACTAATAAACTGCCCTAGGTCAATCATGGATCGAGAGTGATGGTGTCATGTTGCCCGTTAAGACATACAGAAAAAAGACTTTTTTGGAGTTAAGCCAACCTATCGAGGATGCCGCATTCTCGACGTGCCAGAATTCGAAGAACGAGTACTTTTACAAAATACCTTTCTTTTTTATCATACCGACTGAGCTCCCTATAAGGATCTGCCGGCATGGAGAAGATTGGGGAGCCCTTCACTCTCATCTACTGCCTCCACCATCTCTCGGATATGCTTCGACGATTAAGGAGAATCATCCAAGATTGGAAGATCTGTCATCTACCAGATTTGGAATAAGCTATTCTATCCAGGCAAGACTTTCGAACAAGACCGAAGAGGATAAGGCACCCTGCCATCCCGGGAAACCCGCAGAACTGGCCGTACGAATCCTCCCCGGTACGAAGGGAAAGTTACCGGCCAGCATCTTCGATGCTCCGCCAGTCTACACAAAGAAATTACAGACTGCCAAAATGATATACAATCATGATACCAAAGGGACATTGTATGTTGAAGCCTTGGAGCCTCAACCAATTCATCTCAGCGCAGTTCATCACGATGAAATCAAATATTCGACTACTGTCCTTGAAATTGTATTATGGTTTGCATCAGTGGATAATGAGCCGCCACCGCTTCGTTCCGTCTCAAAGAAAGTGGTGGCTCATACCACTGCGCGAAGTGCATCTTTTCGTCCTTCGCCATCAGCCCTAGTTTGCCAAAGTGAAGAAGCCACCCATTCCTCCACCGTTCATCTAGGCAACCTGGACTTCTCCTCAGTGCGATGGAAGGAATGTTCGCTCACTAATTACTTCGAGAACATGAACATTTTCAACGAAGAACGGTCTCAAGTTCACACCCATGCCGCTACTTCAACGCCTAGGCGTCTTTACAGGGCTTCGGTCGCCGTTCCGATATCTCTTCTAACGTCGAAGACATTTGTTCCTACTTTTGAATCGTGTTTGTTATCACGGTCGTATGTATTGGGTGTTACTATTTTGTTCGGCTCAATAGGGAAGGCTTTGAAGTCCCCATCGGTCAAGCTTAAGGTTCCTCTTCGACTAGCAGGGCTTGATGGATGACACACAAGTTGAATATCGTGAACCCTGTATGTATAATATAGTTACTCTAGATTGAATGCTGGTCGAAGAATCCTGTTTTTCAACGCATGAGAAAAGCTCCCCTGAACCTTTTATGGTGATTTGTATGGTTAACAATGTTTTGTTGGGTTAAGTAGGGTATCATTTAACGTCAAACCCCGTTCTTACTGTAGAAAAAGAGAGGAACTTGCATGCAGGTTGAAATCTGATTTTCAATACATAGTAAGAAGGTAGAAGAAGTATAGCACGGATCATTCTACTTTGTTATAGAGTGAGGATAAAATGTAGCTGTGTCGGTCTTTCATGCATTTACATGAAATAGTCTGCTCAGATATCATTATGTTTAGACCTAAAAAGGCTTTGTGCAGACGACATTTCTAAGCATAACATTGATTCGGTTCTTGTTTAGCTGAATTCTACTGTGGCCCTTCAGCTCAGCCTCACGCCTCCCTAATTCAGGGTTGATATGTCATATTTTTGCTTATTTGGTGAAACTCTTTTTCATAACTGGAGCCAATCATATCTCTCCCGCCATATATGTTGTACTTCTCAATAAATGTGTCTCTACGCCAAGAGGCCAATATAGAAACCGATCTACAGTACCTATCTCTGGTCGAAATTTGGGCCGATCCCCTGACCATGATGATTTGCATTTGATTTATATTTTTCAAGATGTGTACTTTAAACAAAGACATTACTTATAGGTCCTAGATAGCCTTAATATTATTTACACAGGCTATTTACATCACCATGGGCGTTTTCCAACAGAAAACCTTTGGCTACAAATGGCGCTCTTCCAAATGGTTTATCATTTCGACTATCACTCTTGCCTTGTTTGGTGGTTGGTCTGCCTACAATCCACTTTGTTTTACATTTTGTCGCTAACACTGTCCGCTATTAGAAATCTTCCTATATGCATTCATTGTCCCCATTTTAGACTACATGTTGCGGACTCGCCTTCATATCGATCGCTCCAAGACTCAGAAGGTTACATCTATAGTACTCGGCCTCCATGGTGCTGTTTCTGTCGTCGCTGGTCCTATAATCGGCCATTTCGCTGATAAAACACCGAACCGCAAGACGCCACTGTTGCTATCGCTTGTTATCTGTATTATAGGTACTCTCATGATTGCCAGTACCCATTCGATTCAGATCCTCTTATTAGGTCGCGTCATGCAGGCACTTGCGGGATCCGCAGTATGGATTATCGGTTATGCAACAATCGCTGACACTGCGGATCAGGGGAATCTCGGCACGATAATGGGGATTGTAATTTCCTTTGTCAACTTAGGGGTCATTGGTGGGCCCGCAGTCTCCGGATTGTTGCTCGAAGTGGCAGGATATTGGATAACATGTATGGCGCCTCTCCTCATTTTGGCCATAGATCTTATCGCCCGCCTTTTGATGATTGAGCCTCCGCGAAAGAGTTCTTCACTTAATACGAAATCCACAGAACCAACAGAGACGGCAGACTTAACAGAGACCACGGGTCTACTGCACTCGCATGACGATCCTGAAAATCCACCCACCGCTGGCTTTTGGTGCATTATGCTATGCGATGCTCGCATCCTGACGGTACTTCTCATTCAAGTATTAAACGTAGCCGTGGGAAGCTGCTTCAACGCAACTATTCCTCTTCACGTACAGGAAACCTTTGGATGGGGCCCTAGCAACACTGGATTCCTGTTTTCCTGCTTGGTTCTGCCCAGTCTCCTAGTCAGTCCAGCGGCAGGCTGGATTAGGGACCGCGTGGGAACACGATCACCTGCCGCAATTTCCTTTCTTCTTCAGGCGGCGGCGTTAGCACTTTTAGGTATTGCTGGAAATGAGCGGATCCAATGGGCGAGTACTCAGAAACATGGGGGAGCACTTTACATAGCATCTATCGTGGCTATAAGTGTATTCCGTCCTTTTGTGACTGGCTTGGGACCTACTGAATTGACCGGTAAGTGTTGATTTTTTCTCAACTAGGTCGATATATTTGTGCAGCTTTCTGATTATCCATCGCAGCTGCTGTCAAGTCTTACCAAGAAAAGACTCCAGGTATCTTTGGGTCTGAGGGTGGACTTGGCCGAGCGTTTGCTATGATGGAGGTTGCTGCTTCCATTGGAATGACAATCGGTCCACTTGTGGGTGGCTCGCTCACAGAACTTTTTGGATACAACTATATGAACTGGACTTGGAGTAAGTAGACCTAGACTCTTGGTTATAATATTGCTAATGAAAGTAGGTCTGTTCTATATCTTCCTCGCTGGGCTTGTATTGTGTTTCTTAGGATCCGAGGGTCCCAATGAGATGACCCCTGCTAATGGAGACTGCTAGAACTGTGGGTGGTGTTCTTCCAACACATGTATATTTTGTGCGAGTTGAAAATATGTATAAAACTAGCTAATCTACTATGTAGGCAGTTAATAAGTTAATACTAAGCTTAAGTATCAAGAGGTGTGAATAGTTGAAAAAGATGGGACCAAGTATGTTGTAGATGTGACAAGTGGTGTAGGCCTGCGGCTCTCGGGTATTACCGGCTTCCGGGGGGCAGGCAGCCACGAAGATACCCGGAGATATCCGGTCACCCCCCCCCCCAAACTAAAGTCACCAACCCACCCCATTGTTTACTTCTTCTCTCATCCACTTCTCTACCCATTCTTATGATCTCTAGCATCGCAAGTTCATCCATTTCATCTATTTCATCTATTCTATTTATCTCATGACACCAAATCATCAAGATATTTCTCTTCCAATCCTCCTACAATCCTTCCAGCCTCTTTACAATCCTCCAAAGGCCTGCACCCCAACTACTCTTGAGACAAATGGCTCAATGGATGAGGGTAAAGCAAATTACAAATGTGAGTACAGTATCATCTATCACTCTCCAGTCCTTTGTGGTTGCAGAATTCCAATAACTAACGAAGATTCTTTATACAACAGGTGACCTCGTGCGATACAGCATGCATGGCTCGTTGTGCTACATTGGCTTCAAGGTCTTGCAGATCATATGCAGCATGTGAAGCTTGATGGTGTTGAAAGACCCAACAATCTTTCATACATGTCACGGTGATGGTTATCGACCAGTGACGCCCAGCTTTCGCGGTTTTATCTATCAAGGTGAACCTCGAAGAGAAAGCAAAAGCAACTAAAAGGAAGGCCGCCTCCAGCATTGAAAGCACAAGCCATGGTTTATACTAGCTACTCTTGTGGCGATCGATTGGCTGCCAAGCGCGGATTAGGGCTCTGCAGCGACTCTCACGCCCTCGTCTCATTACCCCCTACGATATATACCCTTTCCACGTCTTCTCCTAAGACACCATTTTTCCTGGCGAGTCAGTCCAATCCTCGATCCTTGTGTGCTAACGATCCATATTTCGCACTACGTTCAGCCCAACCTCGAAAACAAGGTCCCGAATTCTAGGAAGTCCAAGTCAATGGCATCCAAACTTCCTCACACTCTCTCATCTTGTCTCTAATGTTTGGAGCAGAGGACCAAATTCGCTCTTTCAAGCCCTCCGTGGGTATTTTACAGACAAGATCGTCGCAGGCGAGACGTGGATTGGCCCATCAAGATTTTTTGGTGTCCTCAATGATCTCATCAGGCCCAACTTCAACTGCTTGCAAACGACAAAATCATTTCGTTTCATTCAACAAAAGAAAGTCGCCATGCATATATACCTCGACGCGCAGGAGCGGCTGCCTTGAACATAGGTTGGTTGTCCCCTTCATTATAACTTCCGCTCGCAGATGTTTCTCCATATCTGCCACCCTCCAAATGATCACAATCACCGGAAAAGTTATGTCCAGCGCAGATATGCTCTTCTGGATCGACCAGCGGTTCCGAGAGAGCTGCGATATACATACAGACCTGGGTCAGCATATGCCGATGTTTCAACTATTCGCTTTGACAATAAGGTATCGGTATTGGCTTTCCATTGGGACAATGACAACATGAACGTTGTCCCCTCTGAACAGGAACTCCTTGATGTCTTCCAAAATGACTATCGCTTCGAGACATCTTCTTTTGCCGTTCCGGCCCCCTCGATGTCAATTCTCATTATACACACTTGACATCATGGACACCCAAATGGGTGCCGACGAGCGTTGCCCCCCCTTAACAGGAACTTCTTGATGTCTTCCAAAATGACTATCGCTTCGAGACATCTTCTTTCGCCGTCCCGGCCCCCTAGATGTCAATTCCCATTCGACACTCCTCGGACACTTGATGAACCACGCAGATGGCACGGGCGATTTCTACTATTTTTCATCCCGAAACCAAGGGCTTGATGTGCCACCCGGCAACAAGTGGGTTTGATGAACCATGGACGGCCCCTCTGGATACCGAAGACGAAGAGTTCTCTACCACACTCAGTCAAATCATTGAACACCCTAGACAGTTGGTACAAGGCTCATGTTGGAGGGAGATAACCAGATTAGCTCTCTTCATCCTGCGGGTAAGTTACAAAAAACATTCTTCAATACTACCTCGCACCGACCCATTCAACTCGGGTCAATCTTAATGGCCATAATCGCCGTCTGATAGGCTATGCTTCAAATGCCCTTTGGGAAGCATCAAACGAGAGAAATGCTGTGGCGGGTGCTTTCCGTCCTTGTATCCTTACTAGGCTCAAGTGATAAGGACAGGCTCTATGATCTCAGATGTAATGTGGTGTTCTGAGGTCCGAGACAGATCGATCTCAGTCTCAGGTAACAGATTGGCTCTCGTTATCCTGCGAGCTGTCAGGAAAAACGCTCTTGAATATTATCTCGTCACTGGCCTTGCGTATTTCCAGGTTGGAGTTCAAGATGATTGTCGGACGGACGGACAAATTGCTCCAAATGTGCTTTGGGAGCATCAAGCGAGAGAAATGCTGTGGCGGGTGCTTTCCGTCCTTGTGTCCTTACTAGGCTCAAGTGATGAGGACAGGCTCTATGATCTCAGATATAATGTGGTGTTCCGAGGTCCGAGACAGATCGATCTCAGTCTCAGGTAACAGATTGGCTCTCCTCATGCTGCGAGCTGTTACGAACAATGTTCTTGAATACTATCTCGGCACTGGCCTTGTGTATTTCCGGGGTAGATCTCAATGTCATTATCGGACCGACTGCTCTAAATGCGCTTTGGGAAGCACCAAGCCAGAGAAATGTGTCGACTCTCGCCTTCCTCGTTCATCAAGTGTGGTAAATGCGCTGAGGTGTCGTGACTTCCTTATAGGCTATGCTCCCTGATTTTCTTAAGGGTGGGGGCATCACATGAGAGAAATACGATGACCGTCGCCTTTTTTATCACGACTATATCCGATATATGCTTTGGAAGGCATCATTTGTGAGAACTGCACTGACCTTGCGCGACTTTCACCAATAGGGAGGGGGCATTACATGGAAGGAATACGATGACTGTCGCCCTCCTTGCTACGGCTATATCCGACATATGCTTTAGGGAGCATCATGTGTGCGAAATGCGCTAACACGGCTTTCAACACCGCTATGCTCCGACTTTGCTTTGTGGGTGTCATATGAGGAGATATCCGGTGACTGTCGCCTTCCTCGTCACGGCTATATCCGACATGTGCTTTAGGGAGCATCAAGTGTGAGAAATGTGCTAACACGACTTTCAACAAAGCCAAGCTCCGAGTTTGCTTTAGGGGGCATCACATGGAAGAAATACGATGACTGTCGCCTTCCTTGTCACGACTATACCCGACATATGCTTTGGGGAGCATCAAGTGTGAGAAATGAGCTAGCACGGCTTTCAACACCGCCATGCTCCGACTTTGCTTTGGGGGTTTCATATGAGGAGACATCCGATGACTGTCGCCTTCCTTGTCACGGCTATATCCGACATGTGCTAACACGACTTTCAACAAAGCCAAGCTCCGAGTTTGCTTTAGGGGGCATCACATGGAAGAAATACGATGACTGTCGCCTTCCTTGTCACGACTATACCCGACATATGCTTTAGGGAGTATCAAGTGTGAGAAATGCGCTAATACGGCTTTCAACACAGCTATTCTCCGAGTTTGCTTTGGGGGGAGTATCGGTATCATATGAGGAGAAATCCGATGGCTGTCGCCTTCCTTATCACAACTATACCCGACATGCGGGTTGGAAAGCATCAAGCGTGAGAAAGTTGCCAGTCGTTTGATTGCATTCTTGGTCCCGACTGATCTTGGGCACGGAAATGCTAACGCTCTCTCTCGCCTGAAGGCCAAACTAGACTGCCTGTGGGAGGATGTATGAACTCAGAATTCACCACCCTCCTCATCCAGAGAAAGATTTGACGATGTTTCTGATCTTGCTATAGAAATGCTGCTTGGGGCAACTTCGGATAAATGTTACCTCGGGCCCTACTCTTGACATGGGTGCTCTCTTGTGCTTCTTTGGTCTCCGGTACGGTGTAATCGGCATGACTATCTTGGGGGTTTAAGGTATGTTCTTGGAATTTATTTCGCCCCTGGTGTGGAGCTTCTGTCCAAGATAAGGATCATGGGAGTCGACTTTCAGCTCAATGGTATGGTTGCTGACTTGTTGGCCCCATCTATTTTAATTTCTGTTTCCGGTTCTACATTGTCCATTTTGTATCATTCGGTTCACTGCCCTTCATGAAATCCATTTCATGTACATTACATTATAGAGAACGCACACGAAGTTACTGCCACCCCCTTAGCTTGTCTATTTAGCATTATCTCAGATACCTGAGTACGTACTCTTTATAGTTGTAGTCATTTTAAGCTGTGATTTTGGAGCATGACCTAGTAATAAACGTATAAACCAAATCGCGAGGGAAATAGGCGGAGTACGAGACTAGCAGATCCATTGCAAATACCGTCGCTATCGCTCGATCTAATGGACAGCCTTTGTTCCCCACATGATGCAATCCGGATATGTCGCCATACATAGTATATTGACGCATGCGGAAAGTGAGGCTGAATGCCATTACCACATGACGCCCAGGAACACGAAACTCAAACCTAGACCCCTGGAGTTGCTGGATGTAGAAAAATGAATATAACAGTGTATTGATTAATATTAAATGTGACCAGCTAGTCTTGAGAGACCCTATTCTCGCCAGATATCCTCCATCATATTGTACAATCCAATCTAATCACAAACATAGCAGTGGTATCTTGGCTCCCAAATAACACAAAACGGTCATAGAATCATTGACCGGGGCACGGGCTCCCGCTCACTCAGATAAAGATGGTCGAAACAGCAAGTATCCTACACCTGCAACCTAGATGTTGCCAGTGTATGCCGAGTTTCCATAACCATAGCTCCCGGCAGCTGGAGCAGCAGTCGGGACATTGGTGTTCTTGTTTCTGCCCCATGAGCTGAACCAGCGGCTGTCTGGCTTAGGCTCGCCATCCATCTCGAGGTCATGGGGGGTTGGGTGACCGGGAAGGGCATCGGCGCCGGCGGCGGGGGCCTCGGGGTTGTTCTTGTTACGGCGCCAGAATGCCTTGCGGCTACCGCTGGTGTAGCCGTTGCTGGGAGAGGGACCGAAACGCTTCTCTCGCTTGTGGTGGCGGGCAAGAAGGACTTGGAATACGATCGAGATCAAATAGAAGAAGCTAGACAAGTTAGCATCACAATCAGATAACAGTTATCAGTAATCTAGGATCAACTCACATTCCGATAATTGCCACGGCGAAAACGACCTTTTCCAATTTGCAGGCCATGCTGAATTTTAGCCCCTTGGAAGCAGTATCATCGTTGGCGTTGCCGGTGCCCATTGGTGTGTCGACTGTTCCGGTACATTGGCCAACACCATCGCGGGTAAGGATGGCGATAGCGACCATCGCGCCCACAAAGCATACATCCAGGGCTACGCCCAGGAATGCAAAGAAGGCAACACCGCCTAAACAACAGGTGAAAATGACTCCTAGCAGACTATAGGCGGTTGCTGCGCCTGCTAAACCTTCGACGGCCTTGATCCATGTCTCAATGGTTTGGTCATTCCTGGTCAAGACAGCCAAGAAGTAGGAGAAAATGCCGAGAATTACGGCAGCATCAAGGAACTGCAAAACACGCAGTCCAAGATTAAAAAAGCGGAGGATAGCCCCACCGACTCCCATATTGTATTGTATGAGGTGTATGCTTCTTTTTGGGTTGTAGAGGTGACTTATGGTGACCACGAGGTCCAAAAGATGATATATGAAGGAAACTCAGGCAACAGGATTTGAGCGAGTTATAAAGGAGGACAGGTATTTGACGATCAGTGGATGGCGGTACTGTTGCACGTCGATCAAGGGAAAAGCTCTTACCTCAATGGCCGATGTTGCCTGCGCCACACTCTAAATGACCCCAGGTGACCCACTCAGTGATGTCAGTTCCATGGGTGTTGAGTTTCACCTTACTGAATTAGGTTAGGGAATTCGCCACCAAAAATTTTAAAATTAAGATTTCCCCAGCCACAGTGCCAAGACAATTTCAGTACATCTTTTATACTCATGACCCTTACACTTTATACTATCTATAGATTCTTCACTAATCTAGATATTATGTCTATTTCTGTTCATTCCAATCTGGGCATCATCAACTATGGTTCAGCAGTCCATGAACAGGGCCCTACCAATCCCAGGTCTTCATTGATGATTTCAATTGAAAATAAACTCATAAAGAGTTACAATAAGCTGGAACTAGCCGAGACCAAGCAATAATGTAAATTAGTCTAATATCCTTCCGTGCATGACAAAACTTTCATATACCTATACTTAGTATCATCTCGTCCACTGACACCCTTCAAGTTACCCGTGGACCTATGTACTTATACGTCATTGGCCCTTGCAGCCCTACCGGTGGCTGTATTGTACTAGTGTACGTCGATTATGTATTCTAAATAGGGCCAGAGCAGAGCCCATTGTACGAACCCCGCCACGTTGAATGTGACGTTTGCATCCACCCAAGTCTAGTGGGTCTTCTGCGCCACATCCACATGCTGCGTACAAACATTACAAACATAGGTACAATGGGAATATGAGATATTAAAACTGGGTCTGTCGGATGTGGAATGGCTTATCATTATCTTCGTAAAATGGTCTTTCCGGGGATAATCAGGACGATGTGGGCTCCAGCAGGCATGAAAGAAACCAAAACAAATATCTGCCCAGGGTGCTATGATGTGAGATCCGAGATAACTCCGGGCTAGCGCGTATCACTAGAATAACTCCAAGGTATGGTCGTGCTGCTCGGACGAGTATAGCTCGTCCACGGCTGATCCCGAAGTGGATAAAGGAGCCGGTATCGACTCGGACAAAACTGTTACCTTAGTAGACAAGGCTTATGCATACAGATCGTAGAGTGGCATCGCTGCTGCAGTACGGAAGCTTGGGTCTGGTTGGTACATGTTGCCTAGCTCCACAAATCGAGCAAGCTTCTTGGGGAAACGTCAGAAATATGGTCATCATCCAAGGCCCTACCCTTGTCAACATCTAGGGATGTCTTTTGACAATGAACCCTATTAGGAACCCATTTTCAACTCACATTTTATTTCATCAAAGAATCCAAGATTGAAAGCGATGTAATCCTCGGCAGTAGAATGTGAGACTGCAGGGTAATGGACGATATCTTCTTATCGAAACCAGTTAGCCGCCCACGCTTCAGGAGTCTTCCTGGCGTTGCTTTTCTTGTTCAACGAAGGCACGGAGAATCGAATCCAGTCCTTCGTTCCGGCGAGCAAGTAGCATCACGTCAGATACATTGACAGTAGATCTCCCCGCGTGTCTAGATCAGAACATGAGGTTAGTACACTTCTTCTTAAATGTACTATACCACGGGAAGAATAGGAACAAGTTCCTACTCAATCTCAGCAATGGTGCTTACTTCGCAAAGGATTCTAGATCCTGGCTGACCGTCTCTGCAAATAGTCAGTTACAAGAACAGAAAGCCAATTTGACATAAATAGTAGAAGATACCTATCTGAGCCCAAACCATCTCTGTCAATGCACCGATGAACTGCGGAGTTGCATTAACGCCTAGCTTGATAGTCTCCTCATCCACGATCTTGCCGATGGACAACCACAGCGCGGATTTCAAGCGCTACAAAGGGAGTCAGCCAAGGTATAGACAAGATCCTACTAACACTGACCTCCTCCAGACTAGCCTCTTCAGTCTGCTCCATGGTGATGAGATGCAAGATAACAAGCCGAGCGCGTCCTCATATTAAAACCAACGAGATCTGATTGGCCAAAGACGCGTCGGCGGATTAACGGCTAATCCGGCACGCAAACCACGCTAATCCCAAAGAGGCAAATTTCTCTTTGCGGGAGCCGCGGAATATCGAAGAAGCGCAAAGCAATCGCAGATCCCGCCAATTAATCCCTCAATTCTTAATATTTTACTTCATACTTCATACACAACTCTACCCTCATCTACCTTTGGCCGTGTTCTTCTACAACCTCCCCTCTCTCCGCGGGTAGCGCCAACGAGCTCTCACCCCTCCAAACTCTCCAAATAAAAAAAATCCCAATCACCCACCATGTCCACTCCCCAGGCAGATCTGAGCGAGAAGGCCGCCGCCGCGGCCGAGGACTTCTTCGCCCAGCTCTACGTCTTCTTCGAGACGATCGTCACCCGCTTCTTTAAAAATGGATACGCCTCCATCGCCCAGATGAGCGGAAAGCGCTGGACCAAAGTCATCGGCAGTGTGGTCTTCTACCTAATCATCCGGCCGTACATCGAGAAAGCGTTTAAGTGGATGCATGATCGCGACCGCAAGAAGGAGAAGGAGAAGCGCGATAAGGAGAAGGCCAATTTCGGGAAGGTCAAGGTGTCGCCGAACTCCCTGCGTGTCGGTGGTGACAGCGGCAAGGGCAAGGTCCTTGGTGAAGTCGATAACACAGATGATGAGCTTGAGGATGAGGAGGATGTCATGGCTGCGGCTAGTGGTGTTCCTGAGTGGAATGATATGGCCCGCAAGCGTCAGAAGAATTACATCAAGCGTGTTAAGAAGGATCAACGCGCTGAGGATTTGAGTCGGGATCAGATTATGGAGTTGTTGGACTGGAGTGAGGATGAGGAGGTGGATGAGAAGGTCAAGAAGGATCTTTGAATCACTCTTGTGTGCATTGCATGGTCGATGGGGTTTTTGCTTCTTGTACTTTTTTATTACTAGATTCTAATTTAACAGGACCTCTTATGGCCCCTTTGCTCTTTAAGTGAATCTTCAGAACTACTTCTGATATTAAAAACTCTTTGTGTTTCACAATACCATATACTTGAAACTCATAAATCTACTATTTGCACTTAAAACATGCATCCAATCATACCCGAGCCGGAACTTTTTTCCTGGGCCCTTCTAGAAACCATCGCGTCTTATCCGTATTCATGAACGGTTCGTAAAATGTCCCCCGAGATCAGTGAAGTCTCCGCAACGCCTCAATCATTCTCTTGACCTCCTCGACGTCTGAGGAGCCAATCTCCCGCACAATTTCCTCTTGCATGCTTGGACTGCAGTTCAAGAACTGCTCAATAAGCTCGCCATCGACGAACCGGTACGGCGCATCAGCGCTGCGCACCATAGTTCTAAAACCGCGGAACTTGTCGAACGACAAGTCACCCAATGATTTGACTTTGGTGGAAAGGACCGTTTGCAGAGTCATGAGAAAATCTTGATGTTCAGGGTTGATAACGGCGAAGAGGAAGATGGAACCCTCAACCTTTGTATGAGTTAGTAAATGAGGCTTCAATACTGATCAGCCCGGTCAACTGGGATAAACTTACTGTTGCCATAAACGCACGCGGTGTCACCGTAACGCTGGCAAGCTGTGCTATATTAACTGGTCGGATACGATTGACCATCTCCCCTAGTGAAATTTCGCTGGTAGGGATCAGCCTGTGCTTGTCCTGGGCGGTGACTCCATTCATATTCCGTGAGAGAACGATAAGGTTCCCTTCAGCGTCACTCTGGAGGAAGGTCTCGTCTCCGATACAGGCAATTGCCGTGCTCCAAACGGTCTGATAATGACGACCGACTTCGGTCAGCTTGGCAGGTTCCCCAGCGTGGCCCGGCGTATACCTAACAAGGCAAAGGCTCTTCATAAGATCTGCCACCGCAATTATGTTATCGACGACTGTTACGTCGACTGGTGCGGTGGAGGTCCGATATGCAGCGAGCTTCTCGAGCTTCATTGGTCCAACATTATTGACTTTGACTCTATACACAACCACCTGGATATCGTCAGAAGAGAGTTCAAACATACAATTGATTAGTACTCACGGTTTTAACAAGCGCCGCAACAACACAATCGCCCATCATAGCGAGAGCACGACAGGCACCCAGAACTGGCAGCTCGGCAACTTGGCTCAGCTTGCGGCCGTGGTCGACTTCCAAAATGAGGATCCGCCCGCGGATTGATTCCTCCTGCTCTTCGTCTGCAAATGCCGTGCCGACAACAAATCGGTCCTTCATGGTCTCTTTTCCGTTTTGATCCTTCCCTGCCGGGAGCTCAGCACGAACAACACTCTCCACCAGTTCATCAGGACCTAATTGTAATGCATCAAGACGCCGGAACATGATCTCATCAGCGAGGACAAAGTGGCTCTTAACAACCTCGGCGCCATTCTCGAGCTTACGATCAATCGTGCCAATCCCAAATGCCTTCTCTGAAGGGGAGTATGCCACACGACGGACAGTCGAGCCCATTGGTAACGTTTGAATTTGGGTTGTCCGCTCTTTGTCAACTAGAGCAATCTTCAGCTCTTTCTCGGTCGCCACCGCAATGGAATCCGGGTATGCCTCTGCATTCAAATGGCATATCCGTGATGCACCCTCGGAGTTCACTGCAGAGTAGATGATCCGGCCCTCCGAGCCATAGATCAGGCTAGGATTCTCGCAGGTAGCAAAGACGTTGTATAGGCCATCGCCCTTGGGGAGTTTCTTGAATGTGGGTTGTTCGGAACCAAGAATGAGCTTATTCATCTTACTTAGAGAATAGTCTTGTGGGTTTAGTGAGAATGTAATGACGCAGCCATCGGCCATGGAGATAAACAGGGTGGGCTCGCTATCTGCGATCACCTCGGCTACAAGAACTGATCGAGGGAAGCTCTCTCCAGTTGGGCCTAGGGATTTTGTTTGGAGAACAGCGAAGTCCTTAATAGCCATGATTGACACCTTGGCTGACTGTGGGAACCCTGCAATGAAAACCCCCGCTGGCGTTGATGGGACAGTGAGCCCAGATATTTGCTGGTCGGCGCCAAGATCCTTCTGCGTGATCATGTGGACATTGTCCCTAATGTCGAAGGATGCCACAATTTGACCACTGATAACGAGAACCAGATGGTCCTCATTGGCCGACACTGCAGTGATCAGCTTCTGATCCTGAGGTGCCCATTCAAATGTCACCATTCCGCTTTCTAGATCGGCCACCAGCACTCGCTGTTCTGTGACCTGAAGAATACGGCCACCCTGGAGTCTTGCGGCGAGAAGGGTACATTCCGTGAGTGAAAGCCCCAGGAAGTTATCCAACTCTTCAACTTCGCCGTCAGGGCTAAACTGGAACACGCGCGTTTCGTCAACAAATGTAACAATAAGGGTATCCAGGAAGTCGCCGTTGCTTCGAGTTTGCAGTCCCCAGAGATCATTGATATGCTCCATTTCCCCAAGCACACCTAACTCTTCCATGCCAACGCCACTACGCACACTTCGTAACGTCCCGTCATCGAAGGCGCCAGAACCTGTCACAATTCGAGCCTGCCCGGACGAGAATTCATGGGTTTGGCTCTCACTCGTACGGTTCCCGAGATCCATAATAGTGAAGTCGAGGATTGGTGCGATATTAGACAATGTCTGGATGACCTCAAACGAGCTTCCATCGAGCCGGAGGACCTGTGAGTCGCCGTGATGCGATCCAACAAACAACATGCCTCCGCCGAGATAGACCAGCACCGATGCACGAGCCGTCTTGCCCAGATACTCGAGCTTCCAGTCATCGATTTCGCCCAAGTTGTTCAAGATGAAGGACAAGAAGAATAGCCTCCCGTAGTCATCAGCCAACAGCCACCGCTGACTATCAACCTTCTCCCAGGCCACAAAGACCGTCGCCTCGTCAAGATTCCGCGTAATCACATCGTTAGCATTATCGTTGATATACTTTATCGACGTCTCTCCGAGCACAATAAGACCGCCCAGCGGAGCTGGAATGGGGATAAGATGCGACGATCCAAGATCAAGCTCCTGTCCGAATTCACCTCCTTCCAACTTTTGCACCTCCTTGAAAGTAGCATCTGCCGTAGTTCCCGAAGTACCCGGCGTGAAATCCAACTCGCGGATTCGAAGCCGCACCTTCTGCTGGTTATCCTCGTAAAGTAGTGCCAGCCAGGGATTAGACTCCGAATGTAAGAATGCCGAGGATCGAACGAAAAGCTCATCAATGCGGGATGTAGTCGGCTTATCAAGCTCTCCCACCTGCAGGGCCTGGTCAGCCTGAGAACCAGCCATCGACATCCGTCCTCGTTTCTTCGTCGGTTGTACGATCGGAACAACAACTATGACACCCTCATATACTTCCAGCGTCATAAACCGGCCTGTGGGATCAATCAGGCATCGTGGTGCGCATTGAGATTCCCGGGACGAGGGCTCAGCGATGTCCACGCAGGTGCGCGCTGTTTTGATTTCGTTTGATTCGCGATCCCATGTTATCGTAAAATAATTGTATTGGTCTGTGCCGACGAACAGGTGGTCTGTTGGTGAATTTGTTGGTGCCGGTAGCCGCGCGAGCATAGTGACCCGCGCGTTCAGAGCACGAGTCGTGGTGAGGACGATCCCATCCGGGGTAAGTGTGTAGAACTCGAGACGGCTGGCTTTGCTATGGGTTTGTAGTATGATTAGCTATCGTGTTCGTCGCCATCGCGTGACTGGTTGGCTTCAGTTCCGTAGCTTCGCGGAAGGATGGGACTCACGCTGCGACCAGGCACTCCTCCTCCGGAGCGAAGAAGTTCAGCCTCACTGCATGACGAATGCTGCTCGCCCGATGAATGGGTACGACGTAAGCCATGGTTCAACGACCTGGGGTATCTAACAGCGTAGAGCTGGTTGGGTTCGGCGCACCACCCTGAGGGGATGTAATATGTCGGGGAGTGAGAGGTATAGAGGATTGAGATTGCGAAGCTTGGTAGCGCTGAATTATGGACTGAACATATTTCTGAATCAACTCTGTTAAGGCAGGGATTGCTCGGTCGGTGTGGGGGAATATGAGAGAAGTCGAGGTTTCCGTTCAAATGACGTCTAAAGTCCGCGCTTACAACCGAAAACATCCAGAAAGCCATGCATACTTCCAATTGTATAAAGAGTTACATAGATAAACATGAGATTATTCCCAATTTGTAAGAAGGGGAAAAAAATTAAATTCCTTTTAAAATCACAAGTCTAAAGTCGTACCACGCCCAGGCGACAGTCCATAACAAGCCCAAGGTCCTCGATATAAGGCCAATGCTAGGGAAACATGCAAGGCAAATGAAACAAAGGCGTATCGTATCGAACAAAATGATAATATATAGGCGAGACCATCTAAGCATGGTGGAATTGCAAAGAAGTGTTCATCAATCATGAGATCATGACCAGACGTCCTCCTGGTAACTGCCGCTGCTACGCATGTGCTTGACCATCTCCTCACCCTTCTCAGCGGGCAAACCCCGTTGGTCGGCAATGATGTGGCCGAGGACCAGGTTGACCTCGCGGGCCATGTTGGCAGCGTCACCGCAGACGTAGAAGTTGGCCTTTTGCTTGAGCAGGTCGCTGACAAGCTCGGCGTTCTCCTTCAGACGGTGCTGGACGTATACCTTCTGGGGTCCCTCACGGGAGAAGGCAGTAATAATCTTCAGGGAGTCACCCATCTGGTCTTGGAAGGTCTAGAGGGAATCATGTTAGTGTGAAGGTTGCGATTTCAGCTGTAAGGGAATTTTCATACCTTGAATTCATCCTTGTAGATGAAGTCCTCGTCGCTCTTGCGGCATCCAAAGAACAAAAGTGTTGTGCCAACCTTCTCACCCTTGGCAGCCAGAGCAGCGCGTTCCTGGATGAAACCACGGAAAGGCGCAACACCAGTACCGGGACCAACCATGATAATGGGCTTGGATGGGTCGGAAGGCAACTTGAAGTTGGAGTGACGAACATGGACAGGAACGTGGATACCATCGTACTTGTTGCGAGGACCGTTGATCGAATAAGTAAGGCCGTGAGGATCGGGAGACGGGTCGCCGTTCTGCTTCTGCTTGAGAGCCAAGAGATAGTTGGTGGTGACACCCTTGACTATGTGCGAGGCACCCGGCAGACGAACAGACTCGACGACAGCTGTGATGCTAATCTTATCCTTTTGAACCAGAGATGAAGACGAAATAGAGTAGTACCGGGGTTGAAGTTTGTTAATGCCTTCAATCAGCAGCGAGAAGGGAACGGCAGTGAACGGCTTAGAGGTGATGCTTTGCAGCGCCTGAGCAATGGTGAAGCATTGGTTGGTGATCTTCTCGTGGAAGTAATCTTTGTCGTTACCCAAGCGCACAATCTCGGTTTTGCTCTCCTCATCGGGAGCGAACGGAGCGAGAGTCGAGACAAACTGACGAGAGACGGGGGCACACACTTCCATGTAGTAGCGGACAGCAGCATCATAGGTGGTCGGGGTCGGAATAGGGACCTTAGCCGTGACATCGATACCCTTGACGTTGATCACCGAGTGGCGCTTCTCCCCGAGTCCAAAGACTTCAAGGAAGCGATCGACCTCGGCGCCAGCGTTTGTGGGCCAGATAGCGATGTGATCACCAGTCTGGTAGCTAAGGTTGCTACCGGCGATGCTGATTTCCATGTGCAGGCAGTTACGGTCCTTGACAGTGAACAATTCCGAGGATTCGACAATGGGGGCAATGTAGGGGTTATGCGCGGAGAAGGGACCCTTCGCGCTACCATCACGGTGGGAGGCAGTAGGCTCACCCAGGTAGACAGACTCCTCGTCGGCGGATTTCTCAGCATCCTCGACGACGGAGAACACGGCTTCGTAGACAGCTTCACGTTCCTGGAGATCCATGGCTTCTGAGAGGGCAGTCCACATGGGCTCCTTCCAGGCCAGGAAATCTTCTTCCATAGTGCCGGCGCCATCGTCGCCCTCACCAGCAGTTCCAATGCGTTTCGCGCCAAGTTTGGTCAGAGCAGTATCGACCTGACGGACCATGGCGTTGTAGTGCTCATAGGTATTGTTACCCAAACCGAATGCGACATACTTCATCGAGGACAGGGGCTTATCTTCAGCGGAGGCGCCGCTCTCAAAGGCGACATCCTCACCGGTGAAAAACTGGTAGAACTCTACAGCGTTGTCGGTAGGTTCACCCTCACCGTAGGTGGCCAGCACGAAAAACGCGACCTTGTCATCGGGGAATTTGTCCAGGTTCTCGTAATCATAATCCTCAATATCGGCGACCATAGTCTTCAGGCCGAAGCGCTGAGATCCTTCCTTTGCGAGTCGAGATGCGTAATCCTCCGCGGTACCAGTCTGGGAACCGTAGAAGATGACACAGTTCTTGCCTGTCTCCTCCATCTTCTCCACGATATCACGGGTTTTGCCGCTCTTCGCGGCTCCATTCAGGGCAGCGCTCGAGGCATACGGGTCCTTGGGGACGGCCCAGTAGCTACCCTTAGTGAAGTAGGCAACGCTACCCACCAAGAGTGCCACCAAGACGACCAAATCGAGGGTGTCCAGTTGCGCCATTATGTTCGGGGGGGGGGGGGGGGGTTGTTGGGGCGACCCGCCCGGAAGGGGTGATTGGATGGGGGGGGGGGGGGAGGTTTGTTGTGGCGACCCGCCGGCAAGGGATGATTGAATGTGTTCCAACGCCGAGAGAACAAAAAATAAAAGTATAGAAAGGTAGTACAGCCCTCAATACGGAGCCCTAAATGAGAGTGTACAGGATAGAAGAAGAGAGAAGCCAACAGGTGGTCTGATCCCCACTCCTGGGCGGCTTCCGAGATGTGGATCTTCACAGGCAAATCTTCACCGCTGTCTGCTTATGTTTGTATGAAACTCCCCGAGGCCAAGAGTACGGGTATGTAGTGTGTATGTTGTACCTATTACAGGTACGGAGTAGTAAAATTCCGAAATATAAAAAAGGAAAAAAAGTATTCAATCCCCTAGGAGTTTTATATAGTCAAAGTAAAGCTCCCGAAAAAGGTCAAACTAAAAAAGGCCTCGGATAAGGAGGGAGCGGCAAAGCCGTTCGGGAAATAACCTGACCCTTTTGAGATAGCGGAATGCTTTCCGCTTCCTTAAAAAGAGACAAATTGCCTTTTTGGGATCTGTTCCCTCAACATGTGGGGAAGATCGCATACTAGACTATTATAGTAATTATATATACTCCCTACAAAGTAGGTTGTACAACCTCTCTAGTATTCATGTAATGGGATGAATCCAGAAAGAAATGTAACACAGTAATTGCTTTTATCTTATCCAGTAAACACTATATACAATAGGATGCGGTTGAAATGGAAATTGTCAGGTTGAACAATATTCATAATAATGAAGCTATAATAATGAAGCTAAGCCTTAGAACCATATCTTATAAACAGTGACAATTTCCTCTCCAAAAGAGAGGCTGACCCCTTGTCTAGGTGTGTGACGGACTTACCATTTGTCCGCACCGATGTAGGTGAGAAACATGAATGCATATTAGCTATCTTTATGCTCCCCTATCTCTTTCATTTCAACTTGATCACAAGATCCATTTGCTACTCTGGGGCTCTCTGACACTTAATAACCCATTAATGCCGCAATTATCGCTACCGGCGAGATTAACCCCTACTATCCGGTCGACACCAACCCCGTCCATCCATTCCACCTAAATATTCAATGTTGTCAGTGCTTTATTCAAAGACGCCCCATCAGGTGACCAGTTCTTTCTCAGGCACCCAGACGATAAGGGTGACCATATTCTAATTGATGACTGTTTAAATATTGTTGAAGTCGTAGACTAGGAATGGATACACACTGTCTCCAAGGTAGAGACGTTCTGTTCCCCGTGTATGATGTGGCCGGTGGCTGAGTTCTACAACGGCTCTTAACGAACTAAGCGCGGACGGATTGCGGCTAGCTACTTACTCTCTTTCGCGAAAAGGCCCGTGAAGATCTTGCCATGTACGTTGTGGAGGGAGCAGAAAGGCTCAAGGGCTGTTTCTTCGCTCTTGGGCCCGAGAGCTCTTTTCTAGATATCCAGGCACTTCTATATCTTTACACCACTCCAGCAGGCTGTCAACTTTGAAAGCGAGGAGTTGGAGGCATATACGAGTAAGGCTCTGAAGACATGGGAAGGCGGTGATTTCCTCCTAGGCTTGTTGGACTAGAATGAAATGAACGGGGAGGTACGAGAGCTTTAAACTAAATTGTGTAAATCCTTCAGAATAAAGCTTCCTATGAAAGGATTTGTATGTACCTATAGCGGTAAATTGAGATGGGAGGGGCCATTAGACTAAAACGTCATAGCAATATATATCAAGTTACACATACATATATCGATGGATGAAGCAACATACTTGGTTTTTTTTTCCTTATTCTTCGCTAATCTTTCGTAAACGGAATAGGTTGCACTTTCGCTATATATATCTTATATCTTCCCTAGGTACTTGGGTTGAGAAAATTTGGATCATGCCTAGGGGTTTAAGTATCTTTTTTATGGGACACTCATACTAAAGATACTTAATCCATAGAGTTTGGAGCTTGGCACGGTTATGTTGTAATAGGCAAATAGTAGTGTGCTCAGACTTGCTATACCATAGCTTAGCTAGGATATTGAGTACATTAATACATTCGAGAGATCTAAAATACAATATTAGGATAACTTGAAATACTTGAACTTGTGGCGAATGGCATCCCGAGTATATATATGTAAAGTTGGATAGAGATATATATATATCAAGCCCTGGAGACTGGCCAATTAAGTATATCGCTGCTCTCCACGCGTTCTCCAAGGAGTACGGAGTACTCCGTAGATGTTTCAAAATTCGAAATAGGCATCTGATTCGATCAGAAGGTTCCCAGAGATGACAGGTCTTCGATGAATACGAAGTATGATATACAATATATGAATAAACGACAAATTCTTCATTCTTTCCTCATTCTAATTCCTAAAAAGATAAAAGATTGGATAAAACGGAATAAAGAAGAAAGGAAGTCGGCAATAGTTAATGAGGCTCTGGGGGAGATGTAAAAGCCAAGACCGAACAGCCCGGTGCCCGACGGAATGTCATGAATTGTATAATGCACTGTACAATGAATAATAATAACATACAATATAAAGGAAAAAAAACTACATACGTAGACTTCATCAAAAAGATGTTTCAAATAGACATAAATATCGTATGAAGTCGGGGTATATGAGGCTTAATAATAATCCCCAGATGTACCCGTGCGCCCGATAAAAACATCGAGCTCTAAGTCTTCACACCCCCTTGGCTTCTTGAATTGGCTATGTCCAGTTTACTTTTAATTCTTGACACGGCTCCTTGCAGCTTTGAGCAATGAGGTTCCTATAATCTTTAAAAGTATGTGCAAACGCTATCGGAGCAAACGGGAGACATTGACATTTGAATCTCCCAGTGGCTTCACACCCTGCCAAAGCTGGCCCAGGCCAGACAATCCTGCCCCTCATTCCTGACGAACTTAAGTCCGCATCACATAACCTCGCCTCTCCACCGGACCGTCGAGGGAACAGGACAGGCCAGTCAACTCCTTTGCACAGTCGCGAATCCTCTACCGTCCGAGGAAGACCAGTTGATCCCTCCACTCTCGCCCCTATCCAGCCCCGACGCGGTCACTCCGGTTCCAAAAGTCCAGACGTATCGGGCGGTCGCCCTCCAGGATATGACGTGGGATTAGAAAGACGGCCTTCCAACTCGTATGGTCACCACCGGCAGACTTCCATCGTCCACGGGATACAGCATTCGCGAAATCCGAGCATGGCCGGATCAGCCGCTTCCACAAGCCCTTTGAGCCCGGAACTAATTGCCTCTCTCGGCCGCGGTGCGTTTGACGAGGCGACCCTTCCTGCGAAATTCGACCCTCTCGAGACACACTCGGGTTATTCGACACCATCCGGGATCCCCGCTAGTCATGGGTTGACGCCAACATTGAGTACGATACAAGACAATGACACAACGGTGAGGGATGTGAGCCCCGCCGCTCTACTACACAGCCGAATGAACTCGGGAGGGAACCCAAGACGCGAGCGGTCAGATAGTCGCTCACAGTCCAAACATCACTCGGAATCAAAGACAGTTGGGGAATATGCGTTGCATCATCTGTTCAACTCCTTTGTTGGACAGGCGGACAACAAGATCAATCAGGCCATAATGAAGCTGGGGGAATCTGATTCCCCCGTGGAGGAGGTTTGCGGTCCAGGAGCAGATCCGACGTTTGACCAATTGATATCGGCATTGGGACATATCGCTCGACAGAAACCGAAACCTCTGATTGATACAATTATGTTCTGGCGCAAGGCTAAAGGAGATGCTGCTATTACAGCGAGACAGATGTTGAATGAGCAAAGACCCTCGCCCGCTGCCACAGAGAATGGCCCACCCCTCTTGCGCCGCAATACCGAGCCGACACAGCCCGCTGAGCCTTTTATCGGTCGTCCTGACGATGTTGCTCTAATTGAGCGACGCGCAACAGTCTCGGTATACTTGGTCTGTAGAGTTTTGATTGAGATCTTCAATCAAAGTAGCCTGGCTTCAATAACTTTCGACATGGCGGATCGCCTAGAAGACATCGTGTTTGGCCAGGTGAAGACTTCCGACCCGGACCAGATCTCCGCGTCACCTCTGCGGATGGCCAATTGGAGAATCTATGGCCAGTTGCTGGGTATTATGAGCGAATCAAATTTCTCCGGCGTCGCTGGTCGTTACTTGACGGAACTTGAGCGTTACCAGAAGGAGGAAGCTGTCAGGGGGCCATCTCGCGAGGGCGACTCGAGGTCGGAATTGTTGATACTCTGCATGCGATATCTACGTTTGCCTATGACTCCAGAAGGGTGGCCCAAATCTTGCGATTTTATGCGATCGTTGGCGCGCTTGTTTGTCAGTGCACATGGGCAGCGTATCAAACAGGCATACTGCTATGTGATTGAAAAACTTCTTCTCCCTGTCGCTGCCAACCCGAGCTGTGATCTTTCGCTGCCCCGGTGGAAGGAATTCGTGGACTTGATCCAACCACGTCTGACACAGCTTCTTATCAAGCCTCGTCATTGGACATCTTCCTTCTCGTTAAATGTGCTGTTGCTTTGCATCTCCAACAAAGAGACTTTCTCTTCGCAATGGCTTTCGATGATTTCGAGTCTACCTGCACGTCTGAAGGACCGCCCTACTCGTGCGCCCGCGCTCCACGCCATCTGTCGTCTGGTCTGGACTTATTTCTTCCGCTTCTCTGACTCCCCCACAACCACTCTTCGCAAGGTCGAAGAAGTAGCAAAGATTGCCCTGCCGACTGGTAGGAGAACGTACATGAGCGCAGAGCCGGTCTTTGCCGATCCGTTGATCCAGCTAATTCAGATCATCGGTTTCAAGCATCCGGATGTCTGTTTCCGTAGCATTATTTTCCCTTTGATCAACTCGGATCTGTTCCTATCTGGCAGAGAGTTGAAGATAGAACAGATGGAGCCAGAGAAAATGGTCATCGGAATCCGCGCTTTCCTGGCTACAATGTCTGATCTGGAGACAAGTGAC